ATTGCTTCTTTTTCAAAAGAAAAGAAAGGAAATACAACAGAGATAAAAATCAAGACTAGTACTGATTAGACAAATATATTTCTGATAAACGACCACTTTTTAACCTAATTGAATCACGTACATATATTACATTCCACTTATAACGATTTAAATATAGCACGTAGTCAATCTTTTTTCTTACCCTTAAGCAATAAACAACGGATTATTTTCTTGAAAAATAAACCGATTAGTGAAATATTTATGGAAAATTTTACTTTTTATCTCTATCTTTTTTTTTTTAAAAAGAAAAAATAGATTTATTACTTCAATATGTTACAAGAATTTTTATTTGTTCATATGTATATAACATCATATATTATAATTTATATTTGTATATATAAGATGTCTGTATATTTTTTCGCAATTACTTCATTGTTTCACTTCAATTAGATATATATCAACTATACTAAATATAGTAATATTTAGTCTAAAGGTAACTTTTTTCTATCAGGTATAAAATACGTGATTTAAGTTCGAATTGCGCCATAACGTAAGAGCTTTAAAAGAACGTGAGAAAGCGATTCATCTCTTTTACTTTGATTGTCTAACTACCCTTATAGAGAAAATTATTATTTAATTGGTTGAGTAACTTGGTTTGAAAGAGAATTCTATAGATAGGCTAACAGATTATAAAGCTGTTATTATTCTCTGTCTGTATTTTTCTATCCTCGCTTCCTCTCTCTTTTTCTGTCTGCCTGTCTTCCTGTCTGTCTGTCTGCCTCCACTCTGCTCTTGTATATCCTCTTGACTTACGTCAATTGTAACTACTAATACTTTAAAAGTATTACGAAGCAAAAGTTTGTTCTTAGAAAAGAGACTATAACTTTATATTTAGAGTTTCCGCTATTACTTTGAATATAGAAAGGAGAGAGTTTTGGCATTTCATTTTGACAAAAGTACTTATATTAGCATAAAAAGTCATCTCGAGGGATTATAGTGAACTATAAACAGTACATATAGTAAATTGTATGATTTTCTTTTACTTTTAAGCATATAAAAGAAGTATATCCGGAAAGAGAATTTAGCAAAAGGGAATTATTGTTACTAAAGGAAGTAAATTAAGACCTCGATCAAAAGATTAATACCCGATCAACCATTAATAAGGGGATAATGTATAGATTTTGTATATAAAAAATATTTCTCATTGTATATAGAGATATTATTTCGAAAGAAAAGAATTTTTACAAAGCCTTTATAAATAATAAACTGTAAATTTGTATATATTTTAAAAAAGAATAAAAAACAGAAATTTGTTCCCCTCGAATCAATACTCAAGCATCAATGCTTTAGATGTTCTATGAAGCCTATAAATGGAAGAGACGGAATAATTTTTATCTAGGTTTCTTTTACGCAATATGAATTTTTTTAAACCGGAAACTTGAAATAAACTCTAAAATTCTTCCCTAATTATCTATGAAATCGTGCTTAATGGTTAATTTGAGTGGATAGCGTGTTGCTGAATAAGTTGATTCCGATTTTAAATATTAGATATAATAAAGGAATAAACGATTTATATACGTATAGACAGAGATGAGAGTGGGAGGAAGATGGGGGAGTAGTTGAAAAAAACTATACTCTATATATGATATATATTACCCAATGAAGTTGCAAAATAAAACACAAATTAATAATGTAAAGAAGATAGTGGTAGTTCAAAGAATAAAAAATGAATAAAAGAAAGACACGGGAGATAATTCACATGAACTTTTCGATTTGAATAATTAATTCAAAAGTAACCTAATATACACAATAGACTGTTTTTTTGCTGTGTTGTTATAATTTTTGGAGAAAGAGGATAAAAAAGAAAAATAATATGTTAAAAGAAAGCCTATTGAAACGTTAACAAAGTTAATTAATTATTTTCCTTTATACTATAACTACTTTATAATTATCATTAATACAAAAATTGAATAATAGCATCAATTATTTTGTCAATAGACAAAATACAATAGATAAATATATTTATTATCCTCACAGGAGAATGTGTGAGGTTGTATTTTTAATATATTCTACTCTTATCGTTATCGCAATTATCTTCTCTTATTAGAAGGTAATATAAGAACTCTATTCATTTTCTCCTTTTGTTAAAAAGTCTTTTGTAACCTCTTTTGAAAAAAAATGTTTCATGTTTTAATATTCTAAGCTAATGGAAATTTATTAATAAGCATTAAGCATCGTCTGTTTAAAATTTATTTTCCGGCAATTCTTTACCTTAAGGGAATGATTTCTTTCAGTAGTCGTATTATTGTACCTTTATATAATTTTGTTGTATTAATAACAATCAACTAATGCATTATATAGCTCTTTTATTTTAATCTTCACACGATCAAAATCCTTTAATTAAACCTTTTTTTGGCTCTATTTGTTTGATTTCCATTTCCGAAATATTTATAGTCCTATAAACATATTTTTTTATATCTATAAATATATTATCTAGTTTCAAAATGCTCTTTATACTAGTTTTTTTTTTAAAGTGTATTTAATTTAATCTCCATAGCCTCCATTCTTTAAGTATGTATTGAAATCTCCTGCATAGAACTATTGTATAATCTAATTTTTATTTTTTTGTGTTAAATACACTTAGAAAAAGAGTGCGAGAGGGGGGAGGGAGGGAATGAGAGAGGGTGGTAGGAAGAGATATGTAAATTATATTTTAGCTACTCTAAGCAATTAATTTATCTGTACAATTTTAATTAGAGAAAAAAATTCTACATTTATTCTCCTCATGACAGGAAATGAGATCACAAGTGTCTATCATGCGTGTAAGAATATGTAAATCAATCGCATATATATATATATATATATATATATATTTTAATATTCTTATCTTCTCTTTCTGGTTGAAATAGTGTTTTAAAAAATTGGATTATTAAATAAAGTGATAAATTTATTAGAGAAATTTTTTTACGTAATTCTTACTTTCATATTAATTAACGTTAATTACTTTATCAACTCGACATATTTGTTTATTAACATCTATCGATAATTTATATTTATCAAGCTATTAATTATATTTTATTCAATCAGATGAAAATCAATTTAAGGAGATTGTTAACTTCCTCCATCCTGCCGATACTCTTACTCTGCCTAACTAGTAAAGTATCATGTTCGGTAAATTTGTGCGATTACGACAAATGCGAAAAGAAACTGGCAGAAACTGACACGATTCCCGTACAAATCGTCGACGTTTGCGTCAACTGTGGAAATTATTGGCCTCAGCTTTTAGATGTAAATTTCTGTTGTAGATGCGACCAGCACGTATTCATGCATTGTTTGAAAGCCGTAAGATCTGGAAAGAGACGAAAATGAAAAAAAAAAAAAAAAAACTACATAAATCTAAAAAGAACTAAAAAAAAAATTAACATATAACACAAAAATCAACAAATAAACAACCAACATAAACAAAAAAGTAAATAAATTACAAGATGAAGAAGAAAAAAAAAAAATAAAAAAACGATATGAAGAAAAGTTTTTAAAATTAGTATTCTATAAAGATAATTAATAATTTAATAGCTATAATAAAACATAAACAAAGATATATATAAGGAAAAAGTGAAAGATTATTATTAAATACATTATTTATATATAAATATACAAAAAAAGAAAATTAAAAAAAAAGCATAAAACAAAAGTTAAAAAACAAAAAAATTTCTCTTCTAAAAGATTAAAAAAGAATTGTAAAAGTTTTAAAGAAAAACATAATTGAAAAAACAAGAAAAAACCTTTTTTCTTATTCGTTTTTTTCTTTTTTTTTTTCCTCTCTTTTTTTTTGTTTCAATGTTTCAAAAGTGCAAAATCGAAAAAAATTCACAAAAAAATATTTAACACAATGTCGTGAAAAAAGTAAAGAAAAAGAAAGAAAAACATAAAAAAAAGCAGTTATTTTTTTTCTATTGGTTTTTGTTAATAGATTCAACATTCATTTATCCTATAACAGTAAAAATGTAAAACAAAATAAGCGATTTGAATTGCTAACTTTTAAGAGAGATTTTCTCTATTTTCTTCTATAATTTACCATTTTGAAACGTCCTGTTTCGGGAAAATTAATGTTGGACTAAAAGCCTAAACCATTTACCATTAGTCAATAACAATGGCAATATATATAAACCGTATTTGAATAACTACCTTATATACATTTTGTATCTATATAGAGAGATATCGAAGAAAAAATGATTAATATGATGTCATGACAAAATGTTCAGCCAGATCAAATAACATTCCTTACATATTTTAATTAATCTTCTTTTCTCAATGAAATATTCACAAGAGATAAAAAATGATTTTACAAATTATTTCATTAACAATACCCACTTAACTAATAATAATCAAAAATATTCATATCATTCTCTCGTCTTTTACTTATTCCCCCTTTTCCACATTCTTCCATTCTTCTACTTGGTCACCTTCTTCTCCTCCTCCCTCTTTTTCTTTTCTTTCCAAATTTATGCTAGAAACAAGACATAGATGGCGTATTAGGTCAATATTAGGTAGGAACTTCCTCGCACACTGAACCGTTTAGATTCAGTAAGAAAGTAGGATGTAAGCGCAAGAACAAATCCGAAGGAGTTATGCTAGAAATATTTGAGATATTATCTCTGGTAGTATAAAAACAATATTTAAATATTTAAAAAAAAGAGAATTGAAGAAGGAGAAGAAAGGATACAGTTTTTTTTTTAATACTTGTAAGTATAGACCTTTCTTATTAATTAAAATAAAGAAAATAAACTAAATTATTAAAAAAAAACCATGTAACGCATTACTTTATTGTCAATTCTTCTTGTAGTTTATATAATATATATACTATATGCACTGTTTATACTGTATATATGTATATCTACAATAGTAAAACTGTCTATTTACACAGCTATATATAAAAGACATTATATGCTTTTATAAGGATATTTACATTTACATATTTAATTATTTTACTAACATTTATCACCTATTATCAATTTTAGCCTAATGCAGACAAACATTGAAATACCAAACATCAATGAAGAGAATACCATCGTTCTTCATGAGTCAGAATGTAATGGAGAAACGCAAGATACTATACCAAATTATAGTGTAGCTTTGGCTCTCTTTACCACCTTTTTTTGCTTTTGGCCAATTGGAGTTGGAGCTCTTGTCAGTTCCCTTAGGGTTTGTCTTGAATGTTTTACACAATACGTAATAAGTATGAATATTCATCTACCAAAATTCTAGTACAATCACTATTTAACGACTCAACCATCGAGAGTTAAGTAATAAGGAAGTTCAAATATGGAAATGTTTTACAAGAAAATTTGTCTAGAAAGTATCATCCAACAAAGGGGGAAATTGTAGTTTACGTTTAAATTAAGAAATCTCTTAGTAACGGAAAGTTAAATAGAGCTATGGAAATTGCTTTTCCAGTGACGAAAAAAAGGAAGAGAGAGCAAGAAAATAAATTCTCTGTTTTTGCGATAGATTCTTAAATTAGATACCTTAATCGTGTTAGAAATCCTAGGAAATTAACTTTTAATATAATTTTAACAGACGCGACGAGCCCTACAAAGAGGAAATCTGTCATCTGCTAAGGCAAATGCTAAAAGCGCTAGAAGTCTGACTTTAATTAGCATAGGAATCGGAATTATTTTATGGGTTGTCATTGGAATATTGCTTGGTGTTATTTTTGGTTTATCCTTCTAGAGACAATCTAATTATCATTAGTGTAACGAAATAGAGAACAAGTTAGAAATCGTTAATTAAACTAAGAGAAGATGTATGACTTATAATCTATAATAAAAGATTTTTGTATATTGAATTTATTTCTTTTTCTATAATTTATTATAAACACTTGGTAAAAAGAATAATTAAAAAAATAAAGAAAAACCAAAGACAGGTAAACCTTAGAAAATGTATGATTGGCAACTATTTACTTTTTTATTTTTCTTTGTCTTTGTTCCAGTGAAAAAACGTTGTTACACTTTCTTTTCCTTTCTCTTTCTTTCTCTTTCTCTGTCTCTCCTGTTCTGTTTACATAAAAAAGTATTATAGATGAGTTGTATTGTATTAATAATAATATTCGTATCAGTGTATAATTTTTTTCTTCTCCTTTTTCTTTTCCTTCTTCTTGTTCTAAAATAGAATAATAAAAGAAGATAACAATTATACAGAGTAAATAAAATAAAATAAAAAAATAAACGAGTTTAGGACAAAAGTGTCTTTACTAGCATCTTAACACTTAAATAGAAGAAACATGTATAAATACTAATTCTACATGATGTACAACTGTAACATTATATACAAGTTATATATACATAATATTATTGTATTGTTTTAATCAGGACTAAGTTTAAAAGATGACTTCTTTGTAAGACTCGACCGAGATCTTATATCTTCTGGTTTAATTCGATTAATCCATGTAACCAATGAAGAATTTGAAATTCCTCTTTGTAAAGTTGGTATACTTGGTCTAGAATTTCCAATGTTATTATGATTATTGTTATTATTTTCATTACTAAATTTACGGCAACAGATAATTATTTTAAGTTCTTTCTTGAACATTTGCAAACCAAAACAATAGATTAATGGATTTAAGACGGAATTTAATAATAGTATTTGAAAAACTATTAATATTACTATTTGGCTTATTTTCTTCCTACCGTAGTATTCACACCATAAATAGATATTAAAAGGCATCCAACACCCAAGGAAAACTGCAAGAACAACTGCACTCATTTTTGTTGTTCTCATATGACTCTTTTGTAATGCTCTATTGAATATTGACCTTGGTGTATCCTCCGCAAATTTAGACATTTTTTCAACTCTTCGCCAACTCGTATAGAAAATGACTATGTATAAAAATATTTTTAATAAAACCAATAAAAGAGAAATCGGAAGTAGAAAAGCTTTAACATACATCTCTGAGAAAATCGTTTTCATTTCACATTTTTCACCTTTAAATTTTTGGGATGATTATCAATTCTAGAAGCTAAATATTAATTAAAAATCTATTGCTTTGATTACTTGTATGTCTACAATAGTTTAATATTTTATCATAATTGACAATCTACATCTTTATCGTTATATATATATATATATATATATATATAAATCTTATAAAGTGGTCTAGTATTTGGACAGATTATTTATTTCATATTAAAGAAACTAACTATCTTATCTAAAGTAGAAGTATGAATTAATTATTTATTCTGCTTAAGGGAGATAGACACAGAGAGAGGGAGAGAGAGAGGGGGAAAGAATTATAGGGATAAATTGAGAAAAATACCAAATAAAAGAATTAATAGAAAATTAAAAAAACATAAATCTTGACAGCTTTGTATTATTGTTTAGTCGGTTATCCTCTAGGGTATCTCTTTGCTATAATAAAAATACTTAGTTTCCTGGTTAGTCGATAGGTGGCAGCATCGGATAACTATTTGGCCTTCCTTTCTATCCATTCTTTTTTAAGTAAAATGAAAGAAAAATTCAAATTAATATATCATAGACTACAGACAAATAAAAGGTTCCTTGGCTCTCTTCCTTTGTTATTTACACTGTCTATATGTCTATATTTCTTTCTCTCTTTCCTTATTCTTTACATATTCGACGTTATTCTTAAAAAGTATTTATTACGTAATGTCGTTTTATAGATTTATATAGTTTGTTATAAAACGTATACTAGAGAATACTATATAGATATATAGATAAAAATTTTTGACATACAAATGAATACAGTTCGTTATAACTTTTATATTCCTATAATAGCTATATTATTATGACAATTTGCTAGTATTTGCATAATCATCCCTACCATCTCGACTTTTAGATACGGATACTGGTAATACTCCAAATAGTAGAATGGATCCTACGTTAATAATTGTACAGAGTACGATTATACCCTTTCTAGAAACATTTCTTCGGTAAAAGAAAGGTAAAACAACTGCTATGAATCTGTCAAAGGTTATAGCCAACAACGTTTGCATACTCATTGCAAAAGGTACAACCATTACCAGGTATCTCACTGCGCAACCAACTCTAGGTTCAAACCACGCAGGACGCCATAGAGAAGCTATATGCACACTTAGGAAGGCACCAGTTGCTAAATTTGTCAAAGCCAATTGTATGAGATAATAGTGTGTAAGAACTGACCTTAATTTCTTATTCTTAACAAAGGCTATAAGAACAAGACCATTTTCGACGACAATAATTGTCATGAAGATAAATTCAGTTACAATAAAAAGGGTTGTCATGTTTTCGTCTACAAAAGCTAATGATTCGAAAGAATAGTAGTAAATGAACCGATGCAGCTGCAAGTTCGATTAAGATGAATCCGTTTCTTATCTCTTGTTTACTATGTTTATTTCATTTAACAGATAATTTAGTTTGTCATGCAAACGAAATAAGTATACTTTAAAAGATTAAGTCTAAAATATTCTCTAAAAATAATGTCTTTTTCTTTCTTTATGGAATGCTTCATCCTTTCCTTTTTCATTTTCCTTCTCTTTCCTTCTATTTCAACTAATTTTAACTCTTTTCTTCTTTCTGAAAGAAAGTACTTTGATAAAACGACAGCCTTAGCCCACTTATGCTCTCCACCTACTCTCTATTCTTTTCGCTCTTTTCCTGAATCACCTTGCAATTTTCGTCTTCTTATTTTTCTTATAGTATCCCTTATTAGATTTATACTCATCTGTGCACTTACTCGAACGACTGGAAGACATAATATCCTGAACATTCTTGACATTGATTTTTCCCAAGTCTTTTTGCCAAAGTTTTCGTTCCTATATATCGTTTATAAGAAATTCCCAGTTCTTATATTTAATGAATTCGTTTACATTCTTTCATCTTCAAATGCATCTAATATAGATATAAATGGATATATCATTTCGTATTTATGTTTAATAAATTCTCTATATAACATGTCAATTTTTTCCCCTTAAATTTTCTCGTTATCTTCGTAATATAAAAATTATTATTATTTCTTTTTAAGTAAACGTGACTGCTGGCAATGTTTTTTCTCTTTCTATCAACTAGATTTACGAAGATGGGCAGATAGAAGAGAGCAAAGGAGAGAGAGAGAGAGAGAGAGAGTGCATAAGAGAGAGAATGAGAGGAGGGAGAGAGAGATAGCTATAAGTGTGTGGAAGAGAAGTGGGTATTTGTAGGTATAACAGTTAGTACAAATAGAGGACTTTCCTAGAAATTTGCTAGAAGATTTATATATATATATATATATATATATATATATATATATATTTACTTAGAGGATTTTTAATGTAATAACCAATTTGAAATGAGAGAAAGGATTATATAAAAAAAACAAAAGATAAGTAATATTCAGTACATTTTCCCTTTTTCTTCTTTTTTATTATAAGAAGGTTCATTTCTCTAATTAAAAAGAAAACCAACCAATAAAAAAGCTTATAACCTGAATAAATTACAAATATCTTTATATATACAATATATAAATTATATATATATATATATGTTCTAATAGGTTAACAGAAATGAAAAGAAATACTATACACCTAGATTAGACAGTAACTGTTACTTAAAGGCCATCTTTCCTCTTTTCTTTTGCATTTTTTATTGCTAATACCTACTGCATTATTATTATTATTATTATTATTATTATTATTATTACTATATAAACAACATAACAATACAAGTCTATATTATTTCATTTATTTAGCTTTATTATTAATCTGTAAAGTTATATATTTACCTTTGCTTTGTTGTTTTTATATATTAGCATATTATATACAGTATATCTTTCGTGTAAAATTCTTGGTCTATATTTTTACATTGAACATCTAAGTGAAAAATTTCTTTCTCGTCACTTTCATTATATACAAAAACACAATTAATTTTCATGGATAAAACATTTAGACCTAACTATTAGCGTCTTTTACAGTTCGTATAAGCCTATATTTTCTATTCTGAAAGTACAAAACGATCTTCACAGCCAGGTAGAAAACGAAAAATAATGAAACTATGGCCAAATACGTTAGCTTGAACATGAACATTCCAAAATCAGCTAGGATAAGAGCTGCTATCGGTGGCATTATCATCATTCCAGTACAAACAGCAATGTTATAGACTCCTGCAACTTTTCCAGATTTTGGTAAGCCCGTATCCTCGAATGACATTAGAGAGGAATATAGATTCGACATACCAAAAGCAAACAAAACTGAGCAAAGCCATGGTATAAACGGCCATCTTTCGAGGGCAAGAGTCAATATTCCAGCGGATGGAAGCATAATTAGGAAATCAATGAGAACGAGTTTCGAAGGTTTTATGCACCTTACAGCGAATATGGAGAAAAAATTAAATATCACTTTAGACATTTGATAAACGCCTAGTACTATGGTACTCAATTCCTTATCCCAGCACAGATGATTGACCAAAACGTGCATGAAAAGAGCGGAGAAACTATAGTCGAAACTTCCTCCTAAAGCCAATAGGCATGATATAAAGAAAAGGCTAAAGGCCTTGTAAACATTCCATGAATCATCCTTTCTTTCACCAGGTTTTTTGTCAATTACGCCTTTCTTTCTCCTCAGTATTTGAAATTCGCTTAGACAAAACAAAATAGAGAAAGGAATAAATAGTAACGAAGTTAATAATCCAGTGATGAAGAAGGCATAAGGTATCCTCGACTCCTGCGGTTGGCTTATTCCACTGGTATTCGACGAAATATTGAAATATTTTATTGGACATTTAGTTGAGTTGGTTTCTTGATTGTACTTATTCGATATTTGCGAAACAAATGGCTCGACAATAAAGGGAATTATTCCCAAACCAAATAAAAATGCAACGTTTACTGCTTGAATCATTTCCTTTGATTTCTTACCGAAGAGGCGTAGACCCAACATTATATTACCAGTACATAAACCCCCATTGCAGAAACCAGCCAAACCCTGTAGGGCACACATTCCTAGAAGGTTCTTCCACCATCCCGAAGCTATAACGCTTCCTCCTTGGATTAAAAGAGTTATTGCCAACACTAAAGGATAATGTAAGCAATCCAATAATAGCCCAAATACTACGCTGGCCAAAATGGATGCTCCTCCGCGCCAAATGAATACCTTTGATGTATCATAAACTGACGCATTGACTTGAGCGGAGAGATCGAGGAGAGCAGGAGCCAGAAGACCAGCATTGATACCCTATAGAAACGTAAAGATTGTAAAACTGATAATATTATAATCAGAAACATTATTTTATTGATTATTTTTAAAAAAGTAAAAGTTATAAATATGATTGATTTAACAAAAAAAAAGGGAATGATTCTTAAATTCTCTCCCATCCTCCTCAAATGAAAAAAGACAAAGAGAAAGAAAGGAATAAGCGATTTTTTTCTATTGACATATCTAGACAATTTCCGATACCTATCAGATATTTACTGCATAGTAAATCGGTAGTAAGAAAATGGGAATTCATGCATAAATTTAGATCTTATTCGACTATAGATTTTCCTGTCACCAACACTTAAAGGGGATCTAAACGGAAAATTCGTATTCGATTTAAAATCTCATTATTTATCCAATTGCCACTTTATTTCAGACTTATTTGACAATTTTTAACAATTGCCTTTATATATCAAGAATGCAATATTTCATAAAATATGACTATATATATAGATATATATATAGTATATACGTGTATATAGATATAAATTGGTGTGTATGTCTGTAGATGTCTGAATATCTTGTAAATATTCATTTATAAAGCACTTATAATAAATATTTGGATATAGGGAAAGATATATAATATAATAATAATCGTATATAAGTATAACAAAGATGATAAAACTTTTATAATATCAAGTGTAGCGCCTACAATAGTACAATATATTTAAAGAATTCCAGAATAAGATTGTTAAAAGGCCTTGTTCGTAATATTAAAAATGTGAACATTGCCATATTATCAACGTTTTATATTAATTATTAATATTATTACTATTATTATTATTATTTTATAGTAAAAGAGAAAGATTCCTAATGAATAAAAAATATATATTGGAAAAGTAATATACTGTAGATGCAGCTTTTTCAACTTATTTTATTTGAGTAAAAACATTTTCTGCACGTACTGCCTCGAACCAATGATTTTTCTATCTTTCTAACTCTTTTATTCACTTACAGACACGCATACACAAGTATATATAGTATATACTATGTATACTGTTTTATATATAGAGTATATACTCTGTGTCTCTCTTTTCTCTCTCTCTCTCTCTCTCTCTCTTATTCGCCCTATGTCTCGCTCTTTTTTTCATAAATCGTACACTATTGATTCTGCTTGGTGCATTCTATCGTATTTTATATATATTAGTATTTAATAAAAAGTTCCTCATTTTTAATACATATACTATATTTGTACGCTGTTTACATTAGTAATCCGTAAACAACGTACTGTATGCGTTTCCCGTATATCAGCTTCTCCCTTACGCCAATATACAAGTATCAGAAGTGAAATATAATTTATACTAAAGCTGTTTAAGCCATAGTAAATTGGCAAATATCTTTAATATATTCTTAATTTCTTGCCTTTCTACTTTTTTGCTTTTAACTTTGCCAACTCTAGATTAGGAATTTTTGGTAGAATGCTTTAGAAAATGTCATACTTACTGCTATAATAGATGATAAAAGGACCACCAGTACGTAAAATGCTGTTCTACACGATATATTCCTTCCATGTCGTCTTCCTTTTTCACCTTTACCGATAGAACCTTTACAGTTTTCGTCTATTAAATCATTATCGCTTTCCAGAAAGTCCCTGCTTCCGGCTCTGCTTGCAACCCGGCTGTTTACAGCACTTTCATCGATGAACCTAAATGGACTTTCCTCAGGTTTCAATTTAGGCTCAAAAGCCATAATAAAATTGCACCAATTTATATATTTAAACCATGTAGAATGCTTTGCAGACAGCTGACTACTCTAGTGCGGTTCACGATCAATATTTTATTACAGCGTTGTGAATTAGTTCCAATGCCATCTAGTGTAAATTTTTATTTACTCACATTCCTATAAAATCTAACATCATTTTTATATAACAAAGTATATATTTGAAAAGATCTGCGATATATAGATGTAAAGGTTAATAAATAGGAAAGTTAATATTCCAGTATTATAACAATAATATCGTATTGATTGATTAAGATTAAATAGTTTACATATCACTAGTTCAATGTTTCTAGTGCAGTATGTTATTATTTATTCTATATTTATTTGTTTTATTTGTATTTTGGTAAATGTTGCTTAAACCAAAATATCACTGTAACATACATATTATACTGTATGTATACAGTATAATTGCGTAAAATGAAGCGACGTTTTATAAATATTTAGCACTTTCTAACCTATAAAGAAGATAATTAAACCGCTAGTAAATAGTAAAATGTTTAAAGCAAGTAGTTTAAGTATTATTGATAAATATCAACGTAAAAGTAAAGATATCTTGATAACTAAATATACATTTAAGTAATAAAAATATTGAGAAAGAAATAATTGCATTCTTCTTTTCTATTATCATTTTCTATCCATCTCACCCTAAGTCTCTCGTTCTTTTTATCTTTCATCCATTCTCTCCATTTTACTGATTTCTTCTCACAAAAAAAAAGAAATCGATTAATTGATTTTTTTTAACGTACTTTTTTTTAAAGGTTAAGTAGTTAAAGAGAAAGAGTGGTTTCTCTTCTTTCTCTTTATATTAAGGGAGAGGCAATATCTTAAATTTTAAATCCTTTGAGAGACGGCTGCAAAATCCTGATTGTCGCATTAAGTTTAAAATTGTTTTGTTTTTCTTTTTTTCTCATAAAATTCGATCTGGTTTTATTTATATTTTTGATTAAAAATTAGCGAAAATGTTTCATGATACAAAGAGATAAGAATTAAGAAAAAACCTATACATGTATGGTGCTTCACATGAAAATATCTAAATGCTCAAAACGGTCACTAGTAACATCTACTATCTACTTTAATAGCATGATAAGGGTTTACAAATATAGTTAAAAAAATTCAAAGAAATAAGATTATCCTAACTACTTGAATACTTTCCAAAAAACTAATCTTCATCAACTGTATCTGGAAGGTGAGCATTCTTTGTTTCAGGTAAGAGGAGTGCAACTAGACCAGCAGAGAAAGAAATACACCCCAAGACTATGATCGTTGGTGTTTTATGCGTTTTTGCCTAAACAGTTTTTTTTTGTCATAAAACAATAATTTATTTATTAAGGTCATTGAAACATACCGAATAGGCTACTGCTGGACTTAACGCCGAACCAAATCTACCAAAGAAAGATGCACCTCCAACTACAGAATTTCTAACCGACGTAGGAAATAGTTCTCCAGTATAAAGCCAAATCATTATGAAACTAACAGAAATTGACAATTTTCCAATCATTGCTAAGATAAAGATGACTGTATCGTCAGACAGAAAAACGGTAATCAAAAGAAATATTCCTCCTAGGAGCATTGCTGAGCAAATTGGGTATTTACGACCGATAAAATGGGTTACTGGGATCGCCACCAAAGTACCTATTATCTCTACAAGACCAGATATTATGAAGGCAATATGAATTGGTTGTTCAAAGTCGCCACTCATCAATGAAAGACCATAGTAAACACCAGAATTTGCAAACCTAAAGTTATTATCAGCATAATTGTGTTTTAAATAACATTCATTTTCCTAAAAGAAGGTAACAAAATATAAATCAATATACCATTACATATAGTACATTACTATATATATCATTGATAATTAATAGTTAATAATACCTTTTAATTTCAATATTTTACTTAAAAGTGCACTGTTCATATTAAATAGTGTACCAAAATCATATTTATTTTAATCTTTTTCCTCTTAAATCTAGATTATTTAAATTCAATTTCCCCTTTTTCAACTATAATACATAACGAAAAGAAATTTAGAACAATGAAAGAGAAAAGAGAGAGTAAATTATTAAATTTAATATTTTCTCTTAAACGTGACTTTTAATGCAGTAATAGTACAAAGTTATAGATTCTTCTATATGCATATATATACATATATATAAATTTATACTGTAGTATATTTATAGAACACATAGAGCTTAGCAAATAGGAAGACAACAATTTAAGGAATTACTTAAGTTTCATATTGTTATTATTTAATTCAAAGTTATATTCCTTTAATATATCTCTATCTATTATTATGAAAATAATTTTTGTCTGCTAGAGGTAGCTGCAATACTGTACTACTGTAAAAGTCTATTATACAGTGTGAGTCATGTTTTACTAGATCTGTGTTAATGCTAAACTCCTTCACTTCTTATTTTCCCTTTAAAAGCATAAAATAAACGACAAAGTAAAAAGTCTATTTTTAAAAAAATGAATTCAATTGTAAATCTATAATTAGATAGAAAATCTTATCTTCTACCTGAATTAACTTATTAATTATTTATATATTTTCCCTTAACTTAAGTTTGTTATATTTTTATTAAAATAATTAATAAAAAATTTTTTCTCACCATATAATTGATACGTAAATAAATCTATTACGTAATTCTGGTACTAATAACATATTGAATATTGTTTTTTTCGGATCGTGCTATCGACAAAAGAAAAAGTAAAGTAAAAAAGATATTTTTTGTTTTTTTAAAAAAAAAAAACAAAGGTATTTTAATAATTAAATAATTATTATCATTGAGAAACTTACTTTTATGACAATTTCAAAATTTTCAATTTTTTTACGGTTAAATTTCATCATTAAATTTAGAATTTTATTGCCATCGCTAGGTTTATTTTTAACAAACAACCATCTCGGTGATTCCGGTAGGAAGCTATTAATAAATATATAATATATTTATATGTCAATAAGTTATTTATGTGTTTATACCAACAAATAGAAAAGATATAAAAAGCGCGGAATAGTTAAGGCCCATTGTAAATTTTTCCAAGATCTTACACCATAAGCTATAATGCCCATCAAAAGTACGGAAAATGACCAAAACAATCCACCCGTTGTTCCCAACAATCCTCGCCATTTTGGTGCCAAAACCTCCAGAACTTGAATATATAATATACATGATTGTTTGGAAAGTAAATAACAAGTCAACCTAATATAGGCTACGTAAAAAATACTAATAATACAATATAGTATTTACTAAAAGTATGCTATACAGTGTACAAGTAAACGTTGTGGGATACTACTGTAAAAGAGGTTATATTTAAAAATATACTTACAATAGACAAAGCCTACTATCATCATAGATAGCGTTAAAACTCCAATAATAAATCTCCATATTACTATTAAATATATATTTGGTAATAAAGCAAACGTTGAAGAAAATATCAACTCCAAAACTATTGAACCACATAGGATCTTTTTCCTTCCATATCTTTAAAAGAGAATTATTTAATATAAATCTTGTCTTATTAATTGATTATTATATAATTATAAAATAAAAAAATGATTCTTACAAGTCTGAAATGTAACCGGAAATTAAACCACCAACCATCAAACCCAGAAAGTATATTGTTGATAGAATTAATTGAATGTATTTTTTATCACAAATTAAATTCCACTGTTGAATAATTTATAGATTTATTTATGAAAGATAAGAAAAAATTTATTCTACACTATTTAACTTATTAGAAATTGAACTCATACTTCAGTAATTATTGTATCAACAAAATCTGATTTATCATAAACCGATCCATTGGTACAACTGATTTCACTATCGAAAACACTTTGCCCAAGTGAACTCTGATTACTTTTGTACATTTTACAAAAATTGTATTCTGTACTATTGTTCAATTTCATCATAGATATATAATTGGGAGAGAAGGAATTGTTTGTATCGATCTTGCAATGATGTTTCGGTTCAGCAGCTCTGTAATTTATTCAAGAATGAAGTTTATTATATTATATAGGAAATAAATACAGTTTATATGTAATAAAGTAAACTAATGAACATTTGATATGTATATATGCAAGCATTTGCAAATAGAGGATAAAATTCGTTTAAGGGGAATAAGTCTAGAAAATTTAGAAGTTAGAAGCAAACGATTGAACTGGGAATAGACTTTTTTCCGAGTTTTATGAAAGTCTAAAGGAAGCCTGCTGTTTTGAAAGATAAAGAGATTTCAGGTCTTACTCGAATTTACTAAATTATAAAATAAAAGATTAATGATATAATAAACGTAAACAATTTGCTGTAATCAAAAATACTTGTCTAATCACCGTTTTCCTTATCCTTATAGTTAGCTTGGGAAGTAGTATTACGGTTAATGATTACCCATACTTCCTCTAATGTTTATTGTATGTTATTTTTACTATTATATTAATCATTAAAAGGATACGTCAAAACTAATTAAACAGTATACTGTATATATATATTATATTATTGCAGTTGATAACCTACATAAAAACTGGTCCTAATGTATTAGCAGCAAAACTGATATTTATCAATCCGGTTAAAATATAAATCATTATCTGATAATTTCCAACTTCACCAATTTCTTCAAGAAAACTTTCGTATTCAAGAGAACGTTTTAATTCCGATTCCTCCTTCATATTTTTTTCTTCCATTTTTCTCGGTTATAAAAGAGGAAGAGAGTTTAATTTTCAAAAATTTGTAATGCCTATTAGAAGTGCACCTATTCACTACAAGAATCAGTTTGACATATATTCTAGTTTAGTAAATCTATCCTATTGTCTAAAAGTTTATACTTTATTGAAGTATTCAATTTCGTTTTTGGAACGAAGGCTTACACAACGTTTGCTTTTCTTTTTTTATTATTCTATCCTACATTAGAGACAATAGACAACATCTTTTCGTACTAAATAAAAAAATATGGGAAATTGTTGTTTTATTTATCTTTTTTTAAGTTTATTAAGAAAAAAAGATATAGAAAACAATCACAAAAAAATAGCATTTTTTGCTCCATATTTATGCCGTTATACTGTATACAGTATACTCATTAAACAAGTTCGCCGCGGCACCCATCCCCTACACAATCTTCGAATGGGAAAGTATCTGGTAGAACCTGGATTTCTGTTGTAAACTCAAAGTGTGTATCTTCTTTAGGTCCTCTAAAGTATGCCTAAAAATAATTTTTAAAATGAACCAGTTTATACTTTGAAATAAAAGGATGAAGCTAAGTAATTTTACCTCCATGATCATACCAACATAAACATCATCTTCTTCATTGTACTTTGCTTCCCAAACACCGGGTGCCTGTAAAACAATTTCTATTAGTTCGAAAGTAGTCTTAAATTATAAAAATATTTCTTACTGTATTGTTAGCGTCCTCCCATTCCCAAAGAACGGGATTAACATAAGGTGGGATTCCGGTTACAAGTCTAAAATCTCTTTTACTTCTTTCACCGGTTTCAGCGGACACAGCATTAACTTCATACGGATTATCGTTTGATGTTAATCTTATATAACCACCGTTTGGAAGCTAAAAATAAATAGTATTCATTTGAATATTAAAATATAATATATTATTATTAACAAACCGATCCTCTTTCCCAACTTAACTTTGGCAATTGATAGCCAGGAGTATTAACTCCAATAAACAAAGCTTCTAATGTGCTTATAACTCTATGATAGGAACCAACAAGAGTGTGTTGAGCATTAGCAAGCAATCTTCAAAAAATGAAAAAATAAAAGGAGATATCAATACAAAAACTATGAACATATTAATTAATATATACAGCATATATTTTGGTTCTGGTAATTCGTTGAAAAAGACATGAGAGTCGTCTGGTCTAAAGAATTCGTCTCCGCAAGCAGCAACAATAACTTTTGGCATGGTTAACCTTTCTTTATAACCTTGAAAGAAATGTGATTTATTAAACATTTTTGGCAATCTTTAAAATGAAAGAAATTACTGAAGGGATCAATGTGTTTCATCATCTCTGTCACAACTGGAGAGTTAAGATCTTTCGTAATATTTTGATTATAATAATCTTTTAAAGCAAATGACCAGCCCCCAAGAGCTCTCCAATGCCTTCTCAAATTCTCTTGAAAGTTAACGGCAGTTAACACGACAGGTGCCATAGCGTTTACTCTTTTATCAACACATCCTAATAACCAACTGATCCATCCTCTCTAAAATTAGATGTTTAATAAATTAATAGAGATAGTAGAGGAGGGTTAAATTAATTTAGCCTTAAAGTTACCTTGGATCCCCCTGATACTAAAAATTTATCAATGTTAGTCTCTGGTCGAACTTGCTTTGTGAATTCTTGGATGGCATCCAAGGCTTTTACAGCTGCTTTGGTACTGGGAAATTGCAAGAGAATTTCAGGATCAGCTGGATTTTCAATGTATTGTCTCCATGTGTATGCTATACTGTCATCTTCACTTCTTCTCTTTTGTTCGGGGTCATTACCATAAACTATTGGTTGATAAGGTATCATTTGTAACATAGCAACAATTCCCTTTATATCTTGACAAATATCAGAAAGAACCCCCAAGAAAACGTTGTCATCTACTGTTGGTGGGCTATTCATTTTTAAGAGAAGACACCTAAATGATTTACTGATAAAAAAAAACTATAACAACTTACTCTCTCCCTCTTCTTCCTCCTTCAATCCACAAGATGGAACTTTCGCTAAATTCAATTTCATTTGGAACGAGAACATGAAGAAAATGATACCAAACTCTAGCATCAGACCAGCTATCTGTAAGTTTATTTTACAACGAAGGACACTACAATATTTAATTGTTATTTATTAAGTAATAACTTAAAATTACCATTTTTCCAATATTGAGATGTCATGTTTAAAACATGGTGAGTGAAATTTTCATATTTTTCTTCACGAATACTTGCCCATTCAAATGCACCATCATCCGCTTTTACAAATTTATCTAACGCCGTTTCTACATCCTTAGAAAAATAGCATAATAAGTTAAGATATTATCAAATGATTTAAGAGGATCCTACCCAGTCAATAGAATAGACAAAACCACAAAGGAGAAAAGCGAGAAAAAGCGTTTTCATCCCCATTGAATCTTAAAGACTTAAGTTAACAGAGTTAACAAATCTAATATATATATATTTATATATATATGCGTATATTGTTTTAAAATGAATTTCAAATGTTATCAATGGGAATCAACAGATATCATAAAAAAAGACATGTACCATAACTTTCCAAATCGTTTTTTCTAGATCTTATATCATTTGTTACTGTTACATATACTCTCCTTTGTAATATTGTAACATATACCTGAAACTGTTACTCATTTCTTAATTATTTAGAAGCATCAATGTTCATGTCACTCTACATGGCTAAACTACACACCTTCTGTTAATTGAAATACTTTTATTGGCTCCGCCTTTAGTGATTCAATGAATAGTTTAAGAAGAAAAAGTACATTTATATTTAACTCACATAACTCTCTCTCTCTCTCTCCCCCCTCTTTTTTTCCACACTTCTTTCTGTCATAGATCAGAAAAAGCATAGAAAAAGGAATACTCAATAAAAGTTATGAATTTTTATGAACTAGATGGCAGTTACTGATCAATTTACTGTCCTGCACACTTTTCCTATGCTGTACTAGGAAACATTACGAGAGCCACTTTAAGTTTAACGATTAATAGATATGTTTGTTTGATACTTCATGCCCAAATCAGGCTGCAACATATGTAGATAGTAAAAAAGAGCAGGATCTCCCTTCCATGGATGTTTTTAAACATTCAGGATTTTACAATGTGGATAAGGGTAAAAAGAGATAATATGAAAAACCCTTTTCAAATCAAAAGCTATTTATAACAGAAAATATAGTTTATTAAAAAAAGAGGTCTTATTTGATGGACTGATGTTGCATTTGCTATTGTAAAACATGCTCAAAGTTAGACATCTTCCCTAATAGGTATTCAGGGCTTCCTTCCATTGAAATCTGGAAAGAAGTGTTCCATCAAGAGAAAGTATACTTGAAGTTTGTAAAGCCAAGAGCGAAAGCTAATGATTGTGTTAAAGTGTTACAGGACACCTTTACTCAAACAACTCACACTCTGTATGGCGAAGATTACTATTTACCACAAGAGCCACTTTAATCCACACCGTTTCATAGAAAGAAAATATCAATTACTGCTCATGTCTAAAGCATTTAAAGATTGTCTTTTAAAGACGTTTATAAAAAAATCGGTGCGTATGTATAAATAATTGAAGAAAAGCGTATTATTGTTGTGATCTATCAATAAAAACATATAGTAATTTGTAAATTTTGTTTATTTTTAATTATATATATATAGTATAACTTACTTGATTCTTCCTTCACAAAGCAAAACTATCGTTAATCATAAATACTACGGAGATAAAATTCTTGATGATATTATAGAATAGTCTTTATTTTGCTACTCAGTTCATTCAGAGTGAATTAAGCGACAGAATAATATCTTATTTCCTTTAGTTTCAGATTACTTGAATTAAATTCATTAAGTTCTCTCTAAATTATAGGATTTGTTCTTGCTAAGTTGCCTATTCATATGCACTTTTGTTTTTGATGTTAAAGAAATAAAGGTGGGAAACATAGACTGTTTTTTAGATCCTTCCTGAAGGTTTGAAATACTTCGACTTCTCTCTTTTATATCAGGAATGGAATTATTAAGATCAAAAGTTTCTTTTGAATTCTTTCCTTTTGAATTTTCACTATCAGAAAGTATTCTTTCTCTCTGAACAATAGAAACTGAATTACGGAATCTTTTAGTTAATGATAAAGAATCATTAGTCGCTTTTTTATGTGAATCAAAAAAATTTTTCTTTTCATCGAAATTCTCAGCAGAATTCCTAAAAGTAATAACGGTCCCTCTACCTTTAACTTTACCTTCCCTTCTTCTGGGATTTCGTTCAACAACTGATTGGATGTCATTTGACAGTTCGATAGTTTGACTACGACAAGGTAGATCAAATACATCATCTGCATCTAAGGAATAGCATCCACTGGACTTTCTATTAGCTCTCTCGTCTAAAACTGTTTCTCGATCTTTCTTATTTTTATGAAAATTAGACGAATTCATTAATTGTGCAGAAAACAATGACTCATTAGTGTCGTTGTACAATTTTATATAATTGTCAGAACTTATGGACATCATATGGCCGCATTGATCGCATAAGATTTGCGGAAATGTATAAGAGGGAAAGTCAGTTTGAGTTATCTTATCGGCGGAATGTGTAGCTTCATTCGACGTTAATGATTCTGCAATGCTCCAGTTATAATTTGAATTGTTAATAGGGTATCCTACATCATGAGTTGCGTTTACTTTATCTTCTTTACCAAGTTCAACCTCTACCTCCACTTTCTTTTCTTTTTCCTCTCTTTCTTCTTCTCCGTTTGCTTGTTCTCTTACTACAGTCTTCTCTTCAACACAGATGATAGAAGGGAGTAAGTCGTTGGATACAGATGATTTTTCAGCAATTTCCACATCACTATCTTCGGGAATCGGGTCACAATTCATTTGACTTTTATTGTTTTCCTCTCTGTTAAAACAGAATCTACATTTGCAATTATCTGGACAAAATAATGCATCAGGTTTCGTATAATCATCTACAGAAATCCACTTCTTTGATTCAATCAATTGTGACCTTTTATTCATATTTCTTTATAATTTTTAGTTTTATTTCAATTCAGTTTACTTTTATTTATCTTCTTCAATTAGCCAATAATAAATGATGGTATTTTAAAGATATATATAAATAATTAAATATCCTTGCTCTGTCAGTTATGTGTAAATTTCAATGAATAATACTTAATTGTTCTAATAAATATATGCTGTGGTAGAAGGCCAAAATTGTATTGAACAGGAAGTTTTAGTTGATAATTATCTCCGATTAATTTGCTGACCGTATATTTCTGCGTATGTCTATATTGCAACATTAACAATAACGTTTGTAATAAATCAGAGATATTATCGTAAAAAGAGGCAAATGAGAGAATATATATGAATATATATATATGTGGATATTATAGAGAAAGAGAGAGAGAGAGAGAGAGAGAGAGAGAGAGAAAGATGAGAGACAAGTGAAAACAGATGAAAATATGAAATGAAAATTAAAAATGTATTTTCATTATTAAACGATATGAATATTTTTTATTTATTACTGATAATTACATATAGCTAAACCTTAATATACTGTGTAGTAATGTCTATTTTATATTTTTCACAATATAAATTATGCGTTTGCTATTATTCAATGTTTTTTTTTTATTAATTAGCTTATTAATTATATTATTAAATTAAAAATTTATACTCCATATTCTAAGAAATAAGGGAATTAGATTTTTAATCATTTTTAATCATTTATCACTTTTAGCTAGCTATTGAACAGTTACGATATAATCAAATGTCTTTTGTATTCATTTCTTGAATATTAATTAGTTGTTTGTAAATATAATTTTTTAAAAGACTACCGTATTTTGTTTTTTTTTTAAAGGTAGGTAAATTTATTGTTCTCCCATGTTTTTCATTTCAACCATCGTAACGAAATAGTAGTAAACCAGATGGCGCTAACAATGATTAGTTGTTCATTTGTGTCATATTTGAAAAGATTTTCTATTTAAGATTTGAACCATTTTATGTAATTTTATTGTTATTTTAATTTTACTATGTCCATTTTTAATAGATAGCATAAAATTTAATGTTCATTCATTCATTTTAACACATGTTGCCATATGCTATACCTGCAGCTATTAATTTTATAATATAAACTCCTGTTCCCTTCATTAATTTCCTGTTGTTATAAAAGACAGCCGAAATTATTTTTTTTTTCATTTCACTCTGAAAAATGGATCTTTACCCAGCAGTCACCTTTTCAATCTCTTCTTCTATCGAAGGTGGAACTTCATTCATTAAGGCTTTCGCCAATCACATAGATCATTTTCTGGGAATTCAATATGCAACTGCCGGTAGATTTGAAGAACCACAAGAAGTTCCTCTATGGGAGGGAAAGAGAGATGCCAAGAATTTACGTAATGAAGTTTATTTAGTCTTTTGTTAAATAATATTCATAATAATAGCTTTCCTATAGGCAATTTTGTTCCTCAGTCTATGGAATCTCTATCGAAAGAATTCTCACCGCCGAAAAGATATATTAAAGAGCAAAATATGGACGAAGACTGTCTCTATTTAAATATATGGAGACCTTCAAAAGTTAATAAAGGCCATCGTCTACCAGTTTTGGTTTTTATTCATGGTGGAAATTTCAAAAGTGGATGCGGTGATATTTTCGACGGAGAGATTCTCGCCTGTGGAACAGGTGCCATCGTTGTGAACTTTAATTATCGTTTGGGTATTTTAGGTAATTAAAGTTGATTAATATTAATAGAATTTACGATAACAAATTATTTCATTTTTCTAGGATTTATGTGTACAAAAGATGGCGTACTGCAAGGTAATTATGGACTTTTGGATCAAGTTGCTGCCCTTAAATGGATCAATAAGTACATCGAATATTTCGGGGGAGATAAAAATAATGTAACTTTATACGGGGTTGGCTCAGGTAGGCGCCACTTTTAACACAAATTTTGTTATTTTATTTAAAATTTTTATTCTGATAGGTGCCACTATGGCGACTGCCCACATGATGTCAAGTTTATCAAAAGGGCTCTTTCATAAAGTTATATGTAGCAGTGGTAATTTAATTAGTCCTATTGCATACTCAAGAGAATTTTTTTCCGAAACTCTTTACTTTTTTGCTAAACGATTCGGTTATTCTGGTAAATATTTATATATTAATATATACTTTTTAAACATTTATATATATACTCAAAAAAAAATAACAGGATCGAAAGATGGAAAAGAGATAAAGGAATATCTAATGCAACTTCCCATTTCTTCTATAACAAGAATTACACATAACGCAATTCCTATGGGAGTTTGTATCGATGGGAAATTCTTAACAAAACATCCAAAGGAGCTAATAGAAAGTAAAGAATATTCACAGGTTCCTCTTATGCTTGGAACTTTTGATGAGGGATTCAAAATGTTTTCTAAATATTTAACCTCAACTGATGGAAAACTTAAGGGAGCTGATCATTTTAACATGATTCTTAACGGTATCGTTAAGGATTTTACGTTTATGAATAGTTCAACCGAAGTAACTGATGAGGTTGTACAAAAATTAGTTAAATCCTTTGGTCCCAAAAGAACAAAGAAGGATGAAGATTATCTCAAGAGCGGTTGTAAAATATTTGGTGATATGATGGTTAATTTTCCTACTTATAAATTGGCTTATATGCATCAAAGTAACGCCCCAGTATATATGTACGAAGTACATGTTCCAAATATGTCGGTTGAAGCTCCATCGTGGGTTGAAACATGCCATGGCGAAGAATACAGATTTACCTTTGGAGAAACCTTTGCAGAAAGGTCAGAAATACCTTGGAAGAAAGAACATAAAGATATATCAATTTCTTTAATTAAGCGATTTACCGAATTTTTGACCAAAGGGTTAATATAATCTTCAAATAAACAATTTAATATCTATTTAATAATCATTTATATTTATATTCAATTAAACAGAGAAATAAGCGACTGGAAACCATTTACACCTGAGACCAAATACATCGAAATATTTAAAGCACCCGAAGCAAAAATTCAATCAAACTACGACGATAAAAGAATGAAAGTTTGGGTTGAATTAGATCAGAAAGCCGAAAAAGACGCAAATAGAAAATCTATGGATCAATTAAATCTCAACACCACAATTGAAAATTTGTTTAAAGTGTACTTTGCCAAAGGTTTTAATATATAAAAAGATATTAATAACTAATGATAAATTATTTATGAAAGATATTGAATGTCTGTATAATTATAAAAATATATACGTCTATATAAATATTCTATATTATGTTAAAAGTAATAATGATAAAGTGATTGTTTTTTTTCAATTCATTGAACATAATACAAAAAATTAACATAAGCAGATTATCTATTGAAGATTAAAAAATTACAGCAACATTTAATATCTAATAACGAATATACATCACTTTGTTTTATTAAGTTCTTTTTTTAATTAATAACTTTAAATTTATACATTAAAATATCTGTGAATTGTAATCTATCATTGATTTTACATAAACAAGATATAAAGATAATTACATAATTAATATTCATCATGAATTAAATATTTTTTTTTAATTGGAAATTCATTAGCATGTGGTAACAAATAAATTGCATACAACAACAGATTGTTAACTAAGCCCACTATTTTTATGAACATACTGTATATCTATGTACAATTCACATGTGTAGCTAAATTAATAATCTAAAAACCAGCAATTTTTCATTAAATTTCCTAGAAAATAGAACATTAAAAAGAAAAAATAGTAGTATTTATGTTAATTAATCTTTTTTAATTTTTTTTGTTATTCTTTTAAGGTGACCTACATTTAAAATTTTTATGAAAATAGCTTTTTTTGTATGTTACTCTTTCAGAAATAAAATAGATGGCCTTTAGATATGTTTTTTTTATCTATAAAGTATTATAGAAAACATTAAAATTGTATATAGGGAGTATTTTCCTATATATATATACATATAAATTTATACTGTATATATAGTACTACAATATATTTAACCTCCTACAACTTAAACTATATTATTACAAGTAACGATAATAACCAGTAAATTGATTCATAAATCAACTACTCAATAAAATAAGAATGATTGAATTCTTACAAGAGGGAGAATAGGAATACAATATTTCATGCTATTGCGTTCGAATCGTTTAAAAGTTCCATTTTAAATGTTGGAAAAGTGAATAATTATATATTTATATAGTATACGACTGTATGATATGATTTTATTCAAAAGGATGGAAAGAGGCGGAGATCACATGGTTCGTCTAAAATGTCAGATTCTCTACGGAATTGAATGCTTTTCACCTGACCAAAAAGCGGCTAATTTTTGTAGTGACGTAAAGTTTGCAGTTGGCTAACAAAATTTTGTTGACATTGTCACTCGTATAGTGTATATATAACTAGGATATTCATTGTTTTAATCAGTTTATACCATTGGAAACATGGTGGACCTTTTTCGAATTTTATTGTTAGTATAGACTGAACTAATTAATTGGATATATTTCATAATTCTCTTCTTTTTTTGTATAGATTAATCATATCAATTGCAACTTTATATATAAAAGTTACAGAGTCCAGAAATGAAATTGTGAAAATTAAAGAGCAAAGCGGTAAAAGAGTCGAATTAACCTGTAGAAAACCATTTCAAAGTAGAATTGTATGGGATCAGAAGAATCATGGTGGCGGAGTAATAGCTCTCTTCGGTATCCTCCGTAGAGATAAATGGAAATATGATATAATTGTCGAAGATACGAGAGAAACTTTAATTATCCTTGCAGCCGTTGTTGAAGACAGCGATACCTATGAATGTTTAATTGGAGCGGAAACTAAGCAGTTCTTTGTTGAAATTTACGGTTTCAATTCACTTTGATTTCTTATTAAATACTTTTTATCTACATTATATTTTATAGTTGAACCATGGGACACTAAAATATCAACACCACGTGGAACTTTGGTTGAGGAAAGTTTTCTAAATATCTCATGTACGGCCCAGTCTAGTAGACCTGCCGCAAATATTACTTGGACTTTAACAAGTAATCCTTTTGGAAATGTTTTATAAACTTTTGTCCTTTTCTTAAAACTTTTCATTCTAGCAACGAATGGAACAATATTGGAATTAGACGAAAACGGAAGTCAAACTAAAGCGCACGATAATAAAACTCTTACAAGAACATCAACAATTAAAATATTTGCCTCAAGAGAATTATATTCAGCGAAAATCGAATGTAGAATCAGAGTAAACCAAGTCAATTATGACGTCACCAGGACAAAATATCTTATCTTTAACCGTAATTATTTAATCTTTAAATATTGAACATTCCCCGAGAATGACTGATGAGTTTGTTTACAGTTAAGCCTACTCTACCTTACATTACGTCAAATGGAAATATTGTAAAGGAATCTTCAACTGTCACTTTAGTTTGTCATGCAGATGACAGCAGACCCCCAGCACGTTTACAATGGTTTAGGAATGGTTATTCACTTTTAGGCAAAATAAAAATGATACAAAATGATAATTCAACTTATAACGTGGAAAACGAAATAAATTTCATAGCGTCATCCTTTGACGATGGTGCCATCTATATGTGCCGTATTAATAACGAAGTGTTACAAGATCCAATTAAAATATCCAAGAAACTTGCAGTACAATGTAATATATTTAAATTACAATTATTAATTATAATAGAAACTAATATATTCATATACTATATAGATAAACCAATTACTGTCACAAAGCAAAGGGTCGTTGCTGTTGAAGAAGGCAATGAACTATTATTACAATACGATTATAAGACAAATCCAAGTTTAATTAATGTCAATTGGTATCTAAATAATATTGAATACCTCAATAATGCAACAAAACTAATAACAAATACAACTGTATCTCTAAAGATATCATCAATTAAAAGGTATAATTAATTAATCAATTCAAAATATAGAAAAGAAATGATATATAGCATAGTAAGTGTTTTATCTTCTTTTTTTTTCAACTTTCTTCTTTCCTCTTCCGCCTTTTAAGACAACATCAAGGTTTATTTTATTGTACATTGGAGAATACAGTTGGAAAAACTATGAGTAAAAGTATTGACGTCATTGTTTATTGTACGAATATTTTTTTTTATTATTGTGCTCTTTTTTTAAATATTATCATTCTTATTAAAATAGGATGATTGGCTTTTTTATATATTATTTTCTATCTCGTTATTTAGATACCCCATACTGCAAGAGACAAACTATGAAATATGCTGGTCTACTTAATTCAACAATAGAATTAGTTTGTCGCGTTAATTCGTTTTCAAATTCTCCTACTACATTTAATTGGTCATCAATCTCTGGAGATTTTACTGGAATGACGTATCAATCAGATAGAACTCATTCTTATCACAAAATAAATTATACTGTTGAAGAATATGGTAAAGTTAGCTGTTCAGCTTCAAATGGAATTGGTCGTATGAAAGAAGATTGCGTATTTGAAATACTACCACCAGGTCCTGCTGAAGCGCCGATAGATTGTCAAATTACAAAACCAATTAATGGTCGAGTGTCTATTGAATGCGTAGAATCGTTTACGGGAGGTTATAAAACAACTTATTCCCTATTTACCAAATCTAGCACTGATTGGTCAAGAACCAAAGAAAATAATTCACCATATTTTGCGTTAAATAGCTTGAAAAGTGGACAAAAGTATCTTATTAAAATCTGCGCTCTTAATATCAAATATAAAACGGAATCAGATTGCACGGAAGAATTTGAAATAACTGTTCCATCAGAGAACATTGCTACAACTACGGCCACTTCTAAAAAGATAACAACATCATCCACAGAAAATTCCAAATATATTATAATAGGAGCTATTTTGGGAGGTGCCCTCTTTATTGTCATTGTTAGCTTAATTGTTTTTATATGTATGAAAAAAAATGCGAAAACGGCTGCAGCTGAAGAGAACGCAAATAATTATTTTACACCACCAGTTCAACCTAGAGCTCCAACTGACGATGGTCCAAACCCAAGAAGCCAAAGATATATCCCTCCACCAACCGAACCACAACCAAACGAAATACAAGAAAGAGAAATCGTTTAATAACATTATTAATAATAATAATAATAATAATCATATACCTTCTTGTTTTATACATTTTAAAAGAGTAATGATTAATAAATATTACTATTTATTTAAATTGAAAATTCAATAATTTACATATTTAATACTCTTTAACAAACGATTATATCGTAAAAGGTATATATATGTTGTATTCACATGGCTCGTCAAGCTAAATGATATTGTTAGAAGGTAAAATAATAAAAACACAATATTCTTTTTCCCATCGGAAATTTTTACTTTTCTAACCTTTTCAGTGTAGAGTTGTAACCTTTTAAAAATAGTTTTTTTTGCTATCTAGCTCTTGTAGTGCTTAAAGGATGATGAAAGGAAACACTAGAGAAATATGGCGTCTATACATCTGTTACCAAGCCCGTTTCGAAGAATAAATCCTACTCATTTCTCTTCACAATTTTATTCTTCTCTCTCTCTCTCTCTCTCTCTTTGATTCCTCTTAATCTGGTTACATATAACCCTATTATTTTTATTTTCAGATGAACTATAATTAATAATTGACAAATATAATGACAGAGGAAATAAAAGGAGATATGATATATTATTTAATAAACTATAAATAAAATACTTTCCTACAGGTCTTATTATTAATTAATTAATTCTCTTAAAGTATTTATAAATGCCCTACTTAATTCATTTTATCACCAACTTTAAGACAAACTGTCTTATTACAACATGAGGAGGGCTCTTTGCTTTAACAATAGCTGTTTATTTTTTTTTATTTACTTTCTTTACCAAGCAACAAAGTGCAGTAAGTATTTTGTGATGGACAGTATTAAAAACTTCGTTTTTTTGTCTTTTATTTAAACTGTAGAAAAATTAATGCAGAATCAAAAGAAAGTATAAGAAACGTAATATTCGATATTGTAGATAATTATAATAGAATTATATTAATGCTAATTCTCTCTCTCCTGTATTTTCTTTTGTTTAGCCTCTTTTTCGTTATTTGTAGTTGTATATGATTACTTATAAGCTAGATATAGACATTACCTTTTACGTCACTAAAGGAAATATATAAAGCTATAATATAGCTTAGAAATTTAATCTAAGAATTAGCTTTTCTAGAAATGGAATTGAAAAGTTTGCCTTACTTTTTTTCTCTTAGCTAATAATAGAAAAAATGAATGATACTAGTGAAAATAATTCAAGATCAAAGCCTGGATATATTTTGATTGGTGTATATTTACTTATTTATTTTCTAATAGTATTCGGAAGTCTGGTAAATATAATTGTTATAAAATTAACGAAAAAATTACATAATGTCTCCGGTTATTTGATGATGCATCTCTCTTTAGTTGATATTCTTTTTGCTCATTTTTTTATAATTCCAATTTTAACATTAGTATATGATAGTCCATATTTTACTCGAATTTGTCTTATAAATGGGACATTCTCAGTATCTTTTGCCGGTATATCCTTATGGACTATTACCCTCTTGAATCTAGATAGATTTATCGCTATAACAAGACCGATGAAATACAATATTTTAGTAACTACGACAAGGATGATGATAGCTTTAATAATTATCTGGTTAGTAATGTTAGCTTTATCTTTTCCGACGTTTTTGCAAGGTAAAATTAAATTAAATCCGAATACTTTTCAATGTTATCCGGAGATACGATTCTTCAAAGAAATATACATATTCTCAGCATTCATAAGTTATGGTCTATGTTCAATAGTCCTGTTGGTCATTTATATAATGTATGTATTTCATATTAAATCCTTTTTTTTTCCCAGTTATCTCTTTATTTCTTAATTCTTTCTAGTATTTTTAAAATTAGTCGAAAGCATCACAATCTTATTGGTAAGAATAAAAAATCACTGTTAACTGTCGCATTAATATTGGCTAGCTTCTATATATCGTGGACTCCTATTACAATTATGGTTATAGTAGCAGCTGTTGGTACAAATGTACATGTAAGCGGTATTATTGAAATATTCCTTATTACTGCTTTATATCTAAATAGTTTTTGGAATAGCATTATCTATAGTTGCACGAATAAACACTTTAAAGAATCTTTACTATCTTTTCTATCAAAAAGAAGAAGAGTCGTTGGCGTTGATGCAGATGAAACATAGGAGAATATCATTACATAATTATCCGATATCATTCCTATCTACCTCACATAAATTATTCTCTTTGCTAAAAAAAGTTCAAATACAACTACGAAACCTCAATTAACTTGAAGGGAGAACAGACGAAAATCATACTATAAGTGCAATGTCATAATTCGCATTTATCAACAATTTCTTGACACATGCCTTTCAGAGAAGGAACAATCTGGGATTGAGCACTTTGGGAATTTTCTGAGGATTTATACGAATTAAGTAATAATTGAACTGTTCCCGAGTTACCACACTCTAAGGCCTTTTCCAGTAAGGATTTTTTGATTAATTCAACGCCGAAAGCTTTCGTATCGCATTCTAATTATAAGAAAAAAAGGAATAGGAATAAGATTGATTTACAGATGATATCTATGAATATATGAAAATTGAATAGATATTAACCGTTTAAAAAAATATCAGTCTTTGCTCCATAATTGATAAGGATATCTACAATTTCTGGATAGTTCAAGGCATTCCATATTGGCGTAATGCCTAGTTTATTTTGAACATTAACATCAGCGTTGCGTTTTAATAATTCCATAATTAATTTTCCATTTCCTCTGTAACATACTTTGTTTGTAATAAACATATAAAAAAATTGTAAATTATTAACAAACCTCAGCGAAGCGAAATGTAACGCCGTGTCACCTTGGTCATTCTTCACGTTTACATCGCATTTATCAATAATTTCATCAAATATGTCGATGTATTCGTTAAAAACCGCTGTCATTAACGTTGAATAATTAGCTCCCATTACCGTTACGCATTCGTTATATTCGATATTAATATGGGACACTAAGAAACGAACAATATCCAAATGTCCGTTAAAAATAGCTAAATGAACTGGTTTAACATTTGAGAAACCCATATTTAAATTCGTATATGATACGTTCAAATCGTGATTAAGATTGTATAAATATTTTAAACAATTAATAGACCCTCCATAGCAAGATTCGTGTACCATACTCCAACCGTTACTTATGCAATTTAAATCATTCTTTGATAAGTTTAAGAATGATTCCAAGAAATTAGGTCTATCCAATCTTATTATACTATCAAGTAAAGTTTTCCTTAAATCAGTAGATAATTCACATTTAGTCTCGAGAATATTAAAAATCATTTCAAATATTGAAATCGATTCGAAAACGCTTGATTCTGTTATGGAGAGAGAAAAAAGTGAGATAAAATATCAAATATCCCTATTACTATGTTATTTTGTCTAATAAAAGAAAGTTAATTTCACCTATACATATATGTAAACAGTTATCATAATGAGAATTAATAGCTTCTAGAGAGCATTCTTGTTTTATTAGGACTTTGACGCAATTTATCTTTCCCTGAAAATTTTAAGAATCGATATTAAAGTAAGATATTCTGAATATATGCAAGTATTTTATGAACAAACAAGGCAAAGACATATATATCCCATAAATCTATTAACCATTCATAAACATAGCATTGTACATTAGTGTTATAAATCTGTATATAAATAAGTATTAAATATTGCTTTAACACTCTATTAGAGAAAAGATTCTTTATATGAAGTTAGCGATTATCTTTATCGTAATATTATGGAATTTCGATCATTTTACCATGTTCAACAAATTACTTTTTCCACTTAAGTATAGACATACATACACAGTGTATACAGTATATAAATATATATACTGTATATATATAGATATACTGTATAGTGTTTCTAGAGATTTTTTGCTTTTTATAGACTAGGTGTTTGACCTTTGCTTTACATTAATAAAAAGACATGAACCAGGCATTCTTTCGATTTTATATTAAATAGCTACTTACGTTCATACAAGCATAATGAAGTGGTGAATTTTGCAAATAGTCACTTCTACATTCTACATCGAAATCTTTTGCTATCATCTTCTCTAAAAGTTTATCATATCCCTTTGCAGCTGCAATATGAATTCCATTTAAAGCAGCTACTGTTGTTACGTAGCTGGAAGATGGTAGAATAGGACTAACACTAAGGAAACGATCTTCATCTATTATATTCAGTGTTCTTAGTTCGCATTCACTACTACCTGCAGAACTATTCTCGAGAATTGGTTCACCTTGAAGACTAGGATTGTCCGGTTCGATATCAAAAGAGAAAATTGTCTCGGTTTCCGAGCTGGTCTTTCTAAATATTTTAGGTATTTGTCTTGGTAATATATTTGTTTTTTCCTTAGGCTCTGGAGGATTTTCCCCTTTTTGAAATTCTAATGAATCAGACAGTGTCCACGGTTCCCTTAAGCTTTCATTCGAAGATGTTTTTGAAGACAATGATATCTTTTCAACTAGGAATGGACTAAGTTGTTTATCAATTGACATAAGTTCCTTCCTTAAGTCCTCTTTACTTTCACTAATGTCGAAATCGAATTTTTTAAAGCCACCAATACTTTTTAAATGTTGACATTTTCCTATTTTTAGCCATTCCATTATTTCCGAAATTATGTCATCATTTTCATATGACAATGATTCAAAAATACCAGCACATTGGCAGGAGCTAGTCGTTTCTGAATAATGTATAATTATGCAATAAAAATAGTAAATACTTAAAATCGTATGGATTATTAAAAAATAACTGTACCAATCTGAAATTGAAAATCCTTAAAGAATTCTATATTATTAATCTCTTCATTCTTGTAGAATTTTAAAAAGGATTCGACCATTGAAAGATATTCGTCCATCCTCCTCCTCTTGTCTCTTCAATAAAAAAAACTGTTCAAATAGATCAATTTCTATATTTAACATTTAAAACGAATAGAAATTTTAACCTACTAAATAGAATAAAAACCATTAGAAATATTAGTATAAAAAGCGAACTTACTATTTCTATATATATATTACTTATTAATTATTTATAAATTAGTGTACGATATCCTTTAACTAATATTAAATTCAAGTATTTCCCTAAGATTTTGAAATATTTTCTAAATTCAACATAATGAATGTGACTGCTTCCCTTATAAAACATGAATAACTCTCCTTGCCAACATTGAACAATTTATTGATTTTCTCCGTTGGATTTATTTTGGCTTATGTCTTTTATTTTTCAAAATAATTAGTAAAATTATTTTATATAGGAAATATTCTATTCTATGTTTTAAAATATATATCATATATATATATATATATATATTAAGACTATTGTATATACTTTGCATAAATTTAGATATTGTATACATATATCTAGGTAAAAATATCTATAATTAGAAATTAAAAGTTATTCTTAATTGTAAATTACCCCTTACGTGTGACAAAGATAATAGAAATATATAATGTATTATCGAATTTGTAATTACTGAATAGATAATGTAATATAAAATCTAGCCTTCAAATAGGTGCATAGTTTATATATATTAAAATTTGCTTTCTTCTTTTTCTTCTTCTTCTTCTCTCTCTCTCTCTCTGTCTCTCTCTGTCTCTCTCTCTCTCTTTCACTCAATTCTCTTCTTTTTATTTATAATGTTCAAAACAATAATAATATACAAAACTAGTTTTTCCATATTTTTTTAACCTTTGGCTAGTCGTTTTCTTTCCCCTCCATTTTGCAATTTTGCAGTTGTTTTATTGAGATTTTTTTAAATGGAAGTTAAAAAAAGATTTTATTATATTGAATAATTTATTAATGTAAGGATCAATCTATTATACTGTGTTCATCACACAAACATTAATATATTTGCGTCAAAAATTGATTAATATGGATTATCTTATCATATCGACGTAACCCTGGAAATATAAAAAATGAATAATCTTTCTTTTTTATTCCTTGTCATCTAAATCTTTTAATTTATTTAGTTAAAAGAGAGATCTTTATTGATTAATTAATACTATAACGAAACAAGAATAGAAGAACATCACTAATTTTAATTGGTTAAAATTATAAAAGCTCTATTTTCAATGAATAACTTGGAACATGTCTTTCTTTTTCCAGTTGTATAAACATTCCCTTAATTCAATCATATAGATGAATAGTTCATTAATTTAATTGAAAAATTGTAATGAAAAGAATTTTAAATGTTTAAAGCATAGATAGAGAGAGAGAAAGGGGAAGAGAGGCGAGAGAGAGAGAGAGCGGCAAGGTGAGATTGAAATTATCTATATCAGTTTTTATTAAACTCATTTCCTTTTCATTTTATTAATTGAAAGAAAAGACTGAAATTACCATTAATCTTTATATAATTTAAGATATTCTCTATTTGCATAACAATATAGTAATAAATTATGCTTTTTATGCTTTTTCACCCTTTGTTTTTTAACCATAATCTTTGAAAGTATAACTGAATTCTCTGTATTTTACAACTTTGTTAGAAACACGTTTACTTATAGATAGAAAAAAATGAAAACTGGCTTGTATCTTCGTTGAAAGAGATCCTAGTTTAAACAATTGATTAGTATGTAAATGTTTGTCTTCCTCCCAATGCGGGACCTAGCACAGCATAGAAAAGCGTTAGAAAAAAAACAGATCCTTTATCATACTATAATAAATTAATTAACAGTTAGATTATTATAAAAATTTGCTATTTTAAAACTTCGATTGTTGTTTATCTTATTTCATTTGTTTGTTTTCTGTATTAATTAATATGTCTCTTTTAAGAAGAAAAGAGAAAAAAAGTAATTAACCCCGGGTTAATTAACAATAAGGGAAAAATTTAGGATAAAAGTATGGTAGTTAGTCATTTTCTAGTTCAATTTAAGCTCTTCTTTGGATTTAAATAACAGTATTTCTAAAAAATACAACAGAACGTAGTATAAAGAAGTGAAAATTGTATTCTTTTTTATATATAAATGCATGAATATATCCTTCTTTTTTATCAAAATAATAGTAATAATAATAAATTGGCACCTAAACTTTACATAATGTGTGATTTTAATTGTTTTCTTTCTATCCCTTTGTTGAAATTGGGCTCTGAATATCGTTTATATTGATTAGACCTTATCAATATTTGTTTCTCTAATTTTTTTTCGTCGTTTCTTTTTCTTTTTCTTCTTTTTTGCATTCGGAGCTTCTTGAACGACAACTGTTTGTATATTTGGTAAATTTTTTGGACGTTCACTATCCATATCCTGCAGTTTTGGATCACTCTCGTCGCTTTGTGGTATTATTTCATCTTGCTTTTCAAAGTGAGCAGTCCTTTCAACATGAATACCTGTTTCAAGTCTGTCCGAGGAAGACCTCTCCGTTGAGTATAGTGGACTTTGAACGAAAGGTGGTGTAAGAAGATGTTTGGCTTCAGCCGGAGTTATTGGTCTAAGACCACCTGCATCGAGTTCGGCAAAAGTGTGAAGAGATTTGAGCGCGTTTGTTATGGATGAAGTAGACCTCTTTGAGATTGAGGAAGTACTGAGACGACGAAATTTTTCAAAGACTCCACCTGATGAAGTACTCGGACTTCTTTCTCCTATTGACCTGCTCTTTTTACGCCTGAATTCATTTATTACAACATCATACATATCCGGTCTCTTAATTTTCTCCTTTTCTCTTTTCTCTTCTTCAATTCTTATATAAAGTTTTTTCTCACGAATATCGCAAACAACAACGATAGCCACAACGCAAACAAATATTCCAGTTCCAATGGCTACACTTCCGGCTATTCTAATTTTGTTGAACTTAACTAAAAGAACTTTATCCCTTTCGGAGATGGTTGAATTAATTACGTTCAACACATCTGAAATTTCATCCGCAGAACACATAATAGCTCCTGCCCCCATCATAAATAGGCCTACTAAAATTGCAAAGAACACGCCCCAAACGCAAGGGCAGTAACAGTGACATTTTTCTTCCTCTTCCTTTCTATTCCTAAAAAATTTTGTACTAACGTGAGAATTCGGCGATGGAGGTTCGGCCTTCGAACGTGAGACGACCGCTCTCGCGCCGACAAACATTACTGTTTGCAGGTGAGGCGGATAATCGATTGTATTGAAGCCTATACGTGTTTTTCTCTTATATAAAAGTTGTGACGCCACCTACAATTGTCTCAATGTTAATGATAGAGTAACTGCCCCCCTTACCTTAAGTGTGTATGAACTCGCGCATCGGTTTCCCATATAATTCATTGAACCAAACATTTTTCTATCTATTTGAACGTGTTCAACAATAAAAAGTAGGTGAGAGAGAAACTAAAGATAAATTATTATTTTTCCAAGGAAAATATTTCGATTTTATTAAAGAGAATGAAAAGGAAAAGTTGTTTTAAATATCATAAATTATTCTCTTATTTAAATTCCTTATACTCTACTACTTTTATTTTTTTGTCTCTTTTTAATAAATTAATTTTTTCCGTGCAAAACGAAATGAAAAAGGAATCAATTACTCTTTTATATCTTTTCATAAAGAAAAGAGAAAAGGAGAGACGCACGCGGGTAGAAGAAGAGAAGAGAACTTTTAAGATAAAGGAGACTTATAATTGTAAAAAAAAAAAAGAGATAAATCTATTTTTAACACTTTTCAGTTGCTTTTATGCTCAGTAATTAAATCTAGCTATTTTTAATTGTTGAAAAGATTCATTTACAAAAAGACAATTCGTACAAAACAATGTATAATTCGTTTGAATTTTTTATGGTAAATCATATGTCCGACATCCTTGAACTTTAATGTCTTTTAGAGAAATTTAAATCTTTTTCTTCTTCCTACTCGTTCTCTCTCTCTCTCTCTCTTTGTCTCTCTCACTCTGTTCTTTTAACACTAGAAACTTTGTCTTTTCAACTTGCGACAATTGAATTATGGCAACAACCCTAGACTGATTTATATTTTATGTACTTTTTGTACACTAAACAAAAGAGTAGAAGAATGTTCTGTTTATAGCCTATTTTTAATAACTATGTATTAACGTCATATTTATGACAAAATTGTATTATTCATACAAAGTGTTTTCATTAATAATTTATTTATATTTACATAGAATTGACCAATTTTTAATAGAAAACAGTTAACAAATAAATAGAATAACCTACAAACATATGACTATTAATGATACGAATAAATAAAGAACGATATATCATAACGAAAATATTTAAGAAAAATTTTCTCCATTTATGCTCTTCGTGGTATTCTATACCGATTTTCCATATATATATGTATTCATTCTAAACACGTATAACCTATTGAAGAGTTTGTCTAATAGATGGCGTCTAAAATTCAATAATAACAAAATTTAAAAATTGTTTTATAATTATTAAAACTATAACAATAATGATTTAATATAATTTATAATCGCTGTCTGTTATTCATCTGTACATGCATATATGTATTATAATTAATAGGCCTATAACATTATACAAAAGAAAGACAGTAAAATTGTGAGAATATTAATTGAAATAACACACCCATGTAGTTCTTTATTGATTTATATTATTTTTTCTAGTCATATATGCTAACTCACTCATAATTTTAAAATATCTATATATATATATATATAAATTATATACAATATATTAATATATACTTATAAGCTTATAAATTTACTTTTCATCTCTTTTAAAAGTTCTTTTTATGCCTTTTTTTTTACATCATTTTAATATATCTAAATATATACAATAGATGGTTTTTTTAAGCATTCATCATTATAAAATATGAATATTTCACCAATAAAAATACTCTCTAATTGAAAATATTTTGTAAATTGATGGAGAGAGAGAGAGGTATCTACTTTCATTCTTGCCTTAGATTTTGAAATACTTTCTTATAACAAAAAAAACAGGTTTTCTGAAATGATTAATCAACAACAGGTGAGTGCTTACGTCTTTTTTTACACTGGATTTCCCCCTGCAAAGCTCGAGTATTTGCTCTTTAGAAGTTTCGTTATGTACATAAATAAGCATAATGCAGGAAACCTCCTGAGCGATAACATAGTGGAGTTGTATATATCGCTCAAAAAAAATGTTTCTCTCCCTTTTCTAGTTGAATTTATTTAGAAAATTGGAGAGACACCTGCAACGCAATTATAACATAAACGTTCGTATTATTAAAGCTACTAATTAGGAGAAAAGTAATCTTTAGAAATTCGTATTTTATCATATATCTTTGCATAAAAAATTATATATGTATACAGACTTTTATGGCTAGATACAGAATTGATTTTTAATCTAAATTCAACAGGAGTTCTGTAACTGATACAGTACAGACAAGAAATATATTGTACATAAACTCTTATGTATAGTATATTTTATCTTGAATGGAGTGCTATATATGCTATAAATGTTAAGAAGATTGTTAAATCAATAAAATAGAGAAAAGATATATAAATACCAAAGAAGTATGGATGTGGCTAAAAATTATTGTTTGGATTTAATAAAAGAAAACTTAACGGCCACAAATGTAGCTGAATTAGCCGATTGTTTAGTAAAGGCATACGAAAAAATATCGACTAAGAATGTTACTATACTAGACTTGTTTGAAGACGATGACGAAGATTATGCTCCAGTAAATGGGTAAATAAAAATTTTTTATTAGAAATTAATAAATAAATACTAAGAGTTAATTAATTAATTTTAAGAACAAATTTCTCTAAATGTTTCGAAGTAAAAGACACACAGAAGAAAACAATTGTATTCTCAGCACCTCTTGCGGTAAGTAAATCTTTTTATTCGTTTATTTAGTAATAGACATATATCTACTTGTACTGTTGTATACAGTATTAATATAAACAATATCCTTCATTTTAATAAATTAAGAGGAGTTAAACAAACCAATATATATATACTGAACACGGTATATATTTACAGCATACTACTATGTATATTTATATTTTATAGCTAATAGGCTAGCCACCATTTCATAACAATTATTCTTTTTATTATAATTAATATTTGAAAAATTTTGAATCATTTTTGATATCAATGCTATTAATTATAATTAATATTCAACAGATTGTGTTTCTACTAATAATGTCCGCTTGGGATAGAAGAAGGCGTTGTAAATTGAATTGTTGTTGCGCTTGGCCTGGATGTTTATTGTAAAAATAACAGACAATTATTAAAATTATTTCTTTCAAGTTAAACATTCATTCACTTTTTTTTACCATTACAGTCCAGTTAATCTATTAGACGATACTAAAAGACGGTTATATTACGTTTGCGCGTTTGTTTCGATGAGTTATCTGCTCCTTGATCTTTTCTTTGGCGAAAATTTTTGGGAAATAGGTGTCGAAGTTCGTAAAGATCCTAAAATGAAATGGATAAATAGTAAAGTTTCACTTATAACATATAATATTGTCTTAATAAACATTCCATTATTTAATTACTAAATAGCTTTTGTTAAGATGCTGAACGTATGCCTACTTTGTTTGGCCTTTTATCCAATGTTTGTATGTGTACGGCTACATAAGGTTATTTTTGCCAATTTAGTTGGAATTGGGAACATGTTCTTTTGGTTGGTTATTAGAACAAGGGAGTTGTACTTTTGTACACCCCGAGGATCTGGATACTATGTAAGCTATTAATATGACATTTTCTTTACTATTAATATTTAATTATGTAATCTATTATATTAATCCTTTGTTTTGCTTTATTAAAAACAGAACATAGTTCACTTAACAAGTTTAGCCGGATTTATACCTCTACTGCTAGTAATGTTGGTATTAAGTTTCAGCTACTTGTATGACCTATTCATCAACCTAAAGCTAATATATCTTCGAAAAGTAAAGGTTTGTATTATTAAAACATGTTACCTCGATACCAGAAAGATGCACCTTTTCCTATTATACAATTGTGAAAAAAACTGTTTAGAACAAACGGGAAAAAAATTGACAAAACTATCATTAATTTCTTTTTTTAATTCTCTTTTTTTTTTTTAAAAAAACAATTCTTTAGAAACTTAAACCAGAATATCAGCATTTAGGAAAGGTATTTAAAATGCAAAGCAGTCAAAAATAAAGTGTCAATAAATAAATAAGATTCTTTCGCTTCAACTTTATTAATTAATTAGCAAATATCTAATATGTGTTATATATTCTCTTTGATTTATTTTTTTAATCACTTTGTACAAGATTAATGTATTGATTTTTACTTAAAAAGATTTTATTACTACAATTAAAGACTTATATTTCATCTTTTAGTGGCAAATTCAACTTCCTTTCTATCAGAACGTTGGGGTAAGAATATAGTTTGCTCTTTCTCTCTAATTTGTTTATTTTTTAAACAGTATTTAATAATTATTACCTTTTTATTATAGAATTGCGATTTTTGTGTACCTTTGATAGAAACTAATGCTTATAAATACGTTAGAGATTTACTTAAACCCGAAGAAGTCCAGGAGTTAGTATTTTCATATGTATTTATATTATTAGTTGATTTACTAATTAATTTATTATTACTTTCAGACCGGTTAAAAACATTATTTACAAGATAAAAACAAAATTTAAATTAGAGAATTTAGATGGTAAATTTATATAAATTTATTTAAATTCTATAAATTTCCATTCAATTTTAAAAGGATTCAAGTTTTCAACGAGATTGTGCTCTACTCTCGCTGTTGGCGTTGTTGGAATGTTTGGTGTAAGATTAGTTTTATGCTCACTTATATATAATTTATATATATATATATATATACAGACACATATTTCTAATATCTTCTTTTCTTCTATTCAGATCGCAATTTTCTTTCATAGAACTATTGATCCGAGATTTAGATTTTTACACGATGTACTAGAAGCGGTAATTGACCAAGTTACCGAAAAAGATGAAATCAATTTGGATGATTTAACAGAGGTTTTTATTCTTTAAATTCCAAATTTTAGAAAAGAAAAAAAATCGGCATTTGTAGCTTATTAATTTAAAAAATTCAATTTCAATGAATAAATCATAGCTACATAAGTTGAATTATTAGTTGAATGTTGTAAAATCTAAATTAAAAATGGCTATATTCTCAGCTTATCTTGTATGTGGTTCACGGTGAAAAGTATAGAAAATTACCAAAATCCATCTTAACCGAAATATTGGCTATTGTCAACACTTTTAGAGGTCTATCGCTTTATATTTCATAATTTATAGTATATGTATATACTGTATACACTGTATATATATATATATATATATATATATATTTATGTAAATTAACAGGCTGCTTCCTAACTGGTATTTATCTATCATTGATGCTTCATATTTTGTTTTGTATTCATATGGCTATAGCCTACAAGTAATATTTTGTTTATCTTTAATATAATTAAGTTATATAATAATTTCTTTTTTTAAGGATTCACATTGCTAAACTTTATAAGGGAAGAAAAAATTTTATGGGAAAATCTCTCCCATCTCCGGATTCGACAGTTGTATCGGCATTTAAATATGCGGGCTATCAAATAGCTTATCTCTTCTGGGGCTTCACATTGGTTATGATACTTATTACAGTCGTCTTATCTATTGTCATTCTGCTATTTATCAGACCTCTATTAAAGGGTCATGTCAACTGGCTGATAAAAATTTTACTCTCTTTATGGTAAGCTATCATTGATTTATTAAACAATTGTTATTTCATATTCCAATATATATAGGCCAAGCGTCTTGGTCAGCATCATTTTAAATATTCTGCAATTAGTACTGGCCAGATTAGCATTTCTGCAAGAAAAAGGAAGGTTTTTGGCTATTAATAACCGAAGAGTTTTTCACGTCATTTCATTCTTTCTTTTCTTCTTTAATGTCATTATTGGTGTATTTGGCTGCCTCAAGAGAATCGTTTTTTCTGTCGTTTTTGGCGCACTTTTAATTAGTAGAACAGATAGATGCCTATTGATGAGAGGGTTTGAAAAATTGGACACGGGTCACAACGCCTATCTAAGAATGCTTTATCTAGAGCTTTATCATAACCATCCAATCTTAAGATTTTTCTGTTACATGCTTATAGATAAGTTAAATAGCAGAGATGACAGAACCGTAAACGGTAGCATTGGTGATCATCCTGAAAATGCAGCACCTTTAGCCGTCGATGAAGAAGTTCAATTGAAGAGAAACCAAATAAAATTTAGATGGTGGAAATGTTATACTTTATTGAACAATCCTGAGTTAGTGTTTGATATCAAAAGGAAAATACACGAAGAGATCAGACGTAAAAAGAGGGAAGAATTACTCGAAAAAATGAAAGCTGAGAAGGAACTAGATAAAGCTAAAAAGAAAGATATAGAGAGCGAGAAAAATTCAAGAAATGACGAGAAGGAACCTAAAAAGGACACTCAAATTGTTGTAAGTACCACTGTTCTAGTATCAAGTATTGCATGATTACCCCACAATGGAATTTAATACAGGATTCAGCAATTGAAATTGTAAATTCAGCAACGGTTACATATCTTTAAGAAAAATAATATGAATTTTACATGAAAGATAATTTTTGTCTTTTTTTCTTTTTTTTTCTCTCTTTCCCCTTATCCCACCAACCTATACCGAAATTCCATTATATAAAACAGAGGATGAATCTAACAACCTAAAAACATTATGCAAGGTAATAAAAATAAAGGTAAAAGTAATATAATTATCCTACAAAAATCACCGTTTGCGCTTTCCACGAAAATATACTGAATTGATTTCTTATTTTCAATGTTTTTTTCACCTTAATTCACCAGCTTAAATTAATGGTAAATAAAAAAAGTAACAATAGCACATCTATTAGCATATATATGTAATTTACAAACTAAACATTAATAAGTATATATTGTATATTACATGTATAACCTTTATAATTAATATTGAATGCTTTTGTACTACATTTGCTCACTTGGCTTATTTAATATTAAGTATGATATTCAAATGTAAAATCAATAAGATCTAAACAAAAAAGAAAAAAAAAGTCAAATTATTTTACTGTATACTCAATTTTTGTATTGTGGCTTGAGAAATTCATGTACATATCCAGCTATTACATTATTTTTTTTCACCTATTGCTTGCGAAATTTGTAAATAGCCAATGTCCTATTGCTCTAATATATTTGGTGTGATATTATTAGTTAATACTGTAATTAAATTAATATATATAAAATAAATACAACCTAAAATATTTTGCAACATACAGTCTTTTATTAATTATATATTAACCATAGAATAATTCTCTCTGCTATTATTCTTCTTTCTACCTTTTTGCAATACATTCAATAATCTTATAATAACAAGAAAAAAAAGTAAAAAAAGACAATTTTTTCATAAAATTTCAATCATTAAGTATCATTTTCAAGCGTTATTCAAAAGATGATGATGATTGAATCTACTTCTATTGAAAAGGTAAGCCTATATTTTCTACGTTAAAAAACGTTACTATTAAATATTAATTTTTCAGGTATTAACTCTTCAATAAAGATATATATATATATATATATCATATATTCAACTTTATAAATGCAGTTGACGAGAATGCAAGAGGCCAACTCGCTCACAAAATGTTACATTTTCAGTTTTTCAACCGTTGCTTATTTTTTGTCAAAGCTTCTTGAATCACAATGACATTTCAATTATTATTTAATTCCTTAGTCTTAGATCATTGATAACGTAAAATAACAATTATGAAATTTTTGTTATATACGTTATTATAATTTATTGCTACAGGTGCTCAAGAAGTCTATTTTTAAATTTTCAATAAAGTAGGTCAATCTTTTCATGTTTTGAACGAAAATAATAAAATATACATGCATTTAATATTTTGTTATTAATATTTGAAAAAATATAGACTCTTCACTATCTAACAAATATTATATAATTAACATATTACTACTAGTCGTCTGATAAAATTTAGGAAAGTTTGAAATAAATAACTACGGTTTTTATCTTTTTCATTTCTTAAAATGGCATTTTCAGGCTACTGTTTGAACGTTTACGTTATCTACAATATGGTATTTGCTAATATTGTTTTATTTCCAATGAACGCTCTCTTTAACAGTATTTCAAACAACAGATTTTTTTCAAATTTGATTTCCGTTTCCGGTTTTCATAAACAAAAAACTTTTCTGTTAGGATGTAAACAATTGAAACAAAGAACTATTCAATATTTCATTACTTAAAGCCCGCTTAAACGTTTGTTTGCGAATAAGAATGCGTGAAAAGCGTGAAAAGTGTATTTGTTATGCTTTTTTAAAAAAATGGTAGCCCTTTTCTAGAAAAAAAGAGAGTCGAAATATAGCCCGTGACGTCATAAAGTTTGAAATTCTCTACACCAATCATATTTTACAGTTAAGGTCACGTGGGCACGCTATACGCCGGTCGCCATCGCGGAAACTATCTGTTAATTTCGCTCAATATATCTATTAAATTTCGACATTTTCACTCAAAAACAACGATCAAAATGAGTGATAAAGCCGAATTAAGCCGTGCAGGGACAATGGTAGCTACAGCTAAGGTAAATATATTTTTAACATTATAAAATTAGTATAAATAGCTGGACATTAGTGATCAATGAATTTTTGGCTCATATTTACATGTAAATAATGTCGTTACGAAACCAATTAGAAGTATTCATCAAAAGAATACTAATTTATTTTGATATCTGCTTCAATCAACCAAATTAGTGTCTTTGAAAGCGTTCCCGCCGTAGAATGTTCTTTTGTTTACACCGTGAACACTATTATATGTTTCTACAAATCGTGCCATTTACGTTACAAATGGAGGCAAAGAGCTGTTATATCTGACCTCTTATCGGTAATCAAAAAAAAAACTAGGGGTATAAATATGAAAAATTGTATTTTAACTAAGTATTTGTAATCGATAAAATGTTCGATTTATTCTGCATATTCAGAGAGTTTGCGTTGCGTTGATTTTAAACCATATTTGAAAAAACCGTTAAATTTTTGCCTCTTTTAAAAATCAAAAGATTTTGCATTTTGAGCGTTTTTATATTATGAGTTTTATTCAACAGACTTTATTTTTAAAAAGAGCACTAATCGGGGAACTTGTTTTCATTTGCATTAATAGCTTATTGTCATTCATTTTTTAATAGGCCTAAATTACTATGTGATCGATTTTCCGTATAATAGTCGCTGGTATATAGTTGAGTTCGTTGTTTTTATATTTAAAAAATATACGAACAGGTGTTTAGTTAGTGAAACATGCAAAAAAAAGGGATAAAGTACTTTAAAACGTCCTCATTGATAAGTTGTATTCCATTGTTACGTAACTTTTCCAAAAGAGTCTATTTACGCTGTTGCTCTTTTGTAACCGTGTAAACATGGCACAAATACGATTGTTTTCATTTTTTATATAGATTTTTATATTATATTGATAATTTTTAATATTTTCTTAGCAAATCACCTATTTTTTTCGCTGAAGGTTTTTTTTATGACGCACTAAGCTATTAGTTCAATTATGTATTTTTTAAAAAATATTGTTTCATAAAAATAGGAAGGAAAAGCCTTCCTGGAAAAAAATCTGACCGAATGGAAGAAACCCTACCTAATGGACGACAAAAAAGTCGGGAAAAAAGCCAAAATGGCGAAACAGGGAACTATGAAAGCAACCGCAAAGGTTTCTTTGCTTTCTCCAGTACAAAAATAAAAAATATCCCTTCTGTTCACAATTTCTTAATTCATTTCTGCTGTTTTTTTATCTTTCACGCACACTGATTGTTTATTTTTTTTGTTCTGTGTTTCGTTTTCTTAAAAAATTTTGTATGCTTTTTCTTATTTGCATATGATAATTCCCACTTTATTTGAAAAAACTAAAACTAATTTTACATCATTTTCTTGAAACAGGAAGGAAATGCCCTTCTGGATTCTGCAGGCCGTCCAGATGAAGATGCCCATACAAGAGGGCAGCAAAAGAAAATTGAAGATATTAAGGGTGAGAAAAAAGGCACTAAAAAAAAGGGAGCCCCTAAGAAAATGTCATCCATGGCTAAAACTGCTGCGGAAGCTAAAGCCCTTGTTGGAAAGGATTTGGATTTGTCAGGAGGTTGGCTTCACATTTCTAAAATTTTGTAACAACTAATTCTCAGTAGTTGAATTATTACTTCTTAACACGTTTCAATTTCGCTTTAAAATTGGATTATTTCTATACTTCATTGATTTTTTGCAGAAGCTTTATCGATTTAGTTGAATTTCTGATTTTATTTTAGGTTACACCCAGGTTACAATTTACGAAGGGTTCAGTTGAAGAGAAGTTTAATAATTTTTCTTTGCTAATAAAGATAACTAGCTACCCTATTATAGCTTTCTGATTAAACCATTTTGCGAAATTTTTTTGTCTTAAATTATACAACTACTTTTTAATTTTGCGATTGAACTTTCAACAACTTTTAACTGCTATGTTTAGGTCGTCAACTGCGTAAACGTCCTCCAGCGCCCGAAAAAGCTGAAGCTCCACCCAAGAAAGCAAAGGCAAAAGCACCCGCTAAAAAAGCCGAGTTGAAAAAGGAGGGAACTATGCAGAAAACGGCCAAGGAAGGCAAAGAATTCCTTAAACGTGGAAGAAAACCAAAAGCTGGGAAGAATAAAGGTAAAGCCGCAGCCAAGAAGAACGAAAAAGAAAAAGATGACGAAGAAGAGAAAGATGAGACCAGTTAACTTTTCACAGAAAAAAAGTGTTAAAATCCAACATTGATGGATTTATTTCAATGTTATATATTAGATCTCGTCTATTCAGTAAACCATACATTTTCTACTAACATTATTAAAAAAAAAAGTAGTAATAAGTGTGCTTGTGTTTGTTGTGCTTGTGAAAATTTTTATTTTCGTTATTCTGTCTCTATGTTTATAGTGACATGGAAAGTTAGTATCTTGTAAGTTTCAACAGTTTTTTTTACCAAAAAAAAAAAAATACAAGCAATCAGCATTTTTGATGGTTTGTTAATTGTGGTTGTCCACCTCTATTTCTCAAGAAGACAAGAAATATTCGAACAATACATTAAAGGCCCAATAGTGGACATGCATAAGCTCCTATGGCTAAGGAACGATACAGGAAGTCGAGGATTACTTGTCATTATCACAAACAATATACATTATAGAGAGGTAGAAGAAAGAATAATACGTAAATAGAAATAGCACACTGTAACTTTTCATCAAGTATATGATTTAATTGAATATTCAATTCCTACCAAAGTAAGGCCAGATTCACTTTTTCTTTACAATTTCTTATTAACTCGCATAATTGTTGTAACATTCTTATATAATGCTTTAATCTGGCTCGATTTGTTTCGCAAATCTTCTTAACACCGTGAACTTTTTTAACGTCCGGTTGGCCATCTTCTCTAAGCGGTGTGATATCGTATGCATTCGCCGATTTACCCTCGAAATAGGCGTCTAAATTTTCTAATTTCCTTAGTAAATTAGGAGATTGTTTAATTATGTGACTGCATACTGTGCTATACTGAATATTGAAGAAAGTGAACTTGTTATTAATCACGAAGAGAGTAAGACAAATTACCTCCGCATTGAATGTATCTAAAGCTTCCGGTACTCCTCTCGGTAACTTCCTCCTAATTCTAGTGATCTACGCGTCAAACGAGTTTATAGAAGGAAAAGACTATTTTGTAAGAACAAACCTCTTCTTCGTCGTCGTCCGTCTCTTCTTCGCTATCCTCGTAGACAAGTCGAACAAACTCTTCGAAGGGTAGAATTTGTAGTTCTTTCTTTATTGAATTAAAAACGGAACGCCTAAGACCATAGACGCAATCTTCTAAGCTGCAATGTATATCTTCAATAATATCGATATCATTGAAAATTTGTTTCATTTTCTTCTCAGCTAAATTGTAGAATGTATATAAATCTTCTACTTTTGAAATTGATGAAACAGAGGCAACAACTAAGGCGTCTACCTATAATATTAAATCGTTCGACATTTAACGCATTAAATACTTTATGACTTACTTCTTCTATATCACATTTTTGCATTCCGAAAAATTCCTCTTCGATTTCTTCAGTTTCGTTATCATTTTTGGTATTTTCATCTGTTGATTTCTCTTCTGTTTCTTTGTATCCGTTCAATTCTAGCAATTTTTTTAATATTAGATGAAATGCTTTAGACGATGTACTATGCTTGGCGGATGCTGCAATACTATAAAAAATAAATAGTAGTAGGGCTATATAGTTGTTTATAATTGTCTTCTTCCTTCTACCTTGAAATAAAGTCGAATTCTTCTCCAACGTGCTCTAAGAGTTTAACGCAAGGAGGTTTCTTGAATTTTTTTTTCTTTCCCAAAGAAGAATCATCTACTATAACATCATTTCTATCCTCGTCTTCGTTCTCCGAATTTTCGCTAAATTCAAGTTCTTTTTACAAGAGAAAATAATTAGAAGAAAGGATAAAGTAAATCATTGTTTTCTTTACTTTTATCTAAATTCTCTTCAAGGCTTAAATCTTGACAAATTTTATTATAGGCTGAATGATTATTCGAATCATCCTTGAATTCTTCTTCCATCTGATCTTGAATCTATTGATTTATTGATTAAAAACAAGCGTTTTCTATTAACAATAGTTTTTTCTTTTATATTATTAACTTGTGTAAATATTAACAATATCAAACTTATTTCCAAGAAGTAAGACAGGCATATTATAACCATTCGTTGGTATATATTCGGAAACGATTCTCTCCTGACCATTCTTGTCTTTAGAACGTTTATAGATAACTTTCGTTACTCTTTTACAAAAGTCTTGTTTCCAAGTACCAGCCATCTCTATACTTGTTCTATCAGTGAGATCTACTACGACTGTTGATTTATTAGAAATCAGTAATAAAAAAATAATGTTTTTAATAAAACGTTATATAGAATGTTAACCTATAGCTGCATCAGCATTTCTATAATATGTGTCTCTAAGATCGATATCCTCCTTGGCTGGGATATCGAGAATAGTTAAACCACAAGTGATATTCTTATCAAGGTCGACTTTATGCGTTACATTTTCTAGAGAAGAATAAGAGAATAATTCAAGAGTTTTCATAATAATTTTGTATTACCCATATTCATTTGATAAGAATGATGATATTCTGTGGAAAACTGATTCTTTAAATATCTTAGATAGACACATGTCTTTCCAACTTCGCTATCGCCTATTGAGAGAAATTTGTTGATAAGTCTATACAGTTTTACCTACGTAGTATACTCTTTCTTTACCTATTAAAACTATCTTAAAACTCTCTTTTCTCCTTCTATTCGACCATTTATCATCCGTACAAGCTGTTTATTAATAAGATGTTATACTGATTATCTAATTCATTGAATAAAACTTACGAGTAATTTCATTTCTTCGAGGAGAATTCCCCATTTTTGACCATGCAAATATAGTTGAATTTTTTTCTTTTTACAATACTCTTATTAAGTAATATTTACGAATATTTACAATAATCAACAATACCCTATTCAGGCTTTGTCATATTACCTGTTTGGACATGTTTCTTAGTTACCAATTGGCGCCATCTGGTAGGTTTGTAAAAAGGTGAAAAAAAAGAAAGAAAAAAACACCAAAGAATTAACCGCCTTCCTCCCTCCCCCCTCCTCTCCCCGCCCCCCAAAAAATAGGTAACTTTGGTGAATTCTAAACATTTTAAAGTATTTATTCATTAATGGAATTATAGAAATACGTTACCGTTAATAAGTTTAATAGGTGAAAAACAATTTTTTTATTATATAATGGCATATTCTATCATAGAAAATTAGGTAAATGAAAATTGTATCCCATTTGTAAAATGAATATAAAATGTTGATTGATATTCAAATCAAGTTAAAATAAATTCTATAAAGAATATATTATATATTCTATGTTTTGTTTCAACAAAAATATTACTTTATACAATAAAATCTCTTATATGATAGAATATTTATCAATTTGTAATTATAGTAGAGAAATAGATGGTAAGAATTTCAAAATATATCGAATCTTTCTTATAATGAAGCAAGTGTATTTTTGTAAAATAGAAAAATAAAGAAACATTTTCTTTATATTAAAACAAACTTTAAGCATAAAAAAGTTGCATTTAAAAAAAGATATTGATATAGATAGATAGATAGATAAATACAAAAAGGATTTTTTTATCAAATATTTAAATAATTACCAGATCTATATATATACAATGAATGTATCTTAGGTTAAAGACTAGAATGGAGTCAGAGGTAGCCACTAAACATTTCCTTTTAATTATTACGCTAGTATTACAATAATTTTTTTATATAGGAAATATTCAGGTTTGGATAAGGGCGATATTTTCCAAATGTTTTATCTTTACAAGAAAAGAAAATACTGTAGGCCTTTTAACAGCTTAGTTGTAGTTTGTCTTCGGGAAATAGAGTGCAACTTTATGTTGATAATTTGCAGCTGTTATTAGTTTTGTTACATTATTATTAGTTGTAGTTTTGGCTTTACAAGTGGTATATCATTATTTTTTTTTGCAGACTTCTTAAACAAAATTAATCATATATATATACATATACTGTATATATGTATATCTTTTAAGTAGAAATTCTCTTTTAATCCATGGACTATAAATAAATCACCTTTCTTGTTGGCTTTCTACTTCAAAAGTGTAAAATGAATTTGTTTAAAATGAATTCCTGCTAATATCGTTGAAAAAGGTGATATATGTGTTATTTGAATATAGATATGTCTTAATTATATAAACAAAACTTAACTATTAGTTTATAGCAGTATATACGTATAAATATTTAAATTTAAATATATATATATACTTAACATCCTACAGTTACATACGTTCATGATACGTATGTAAGTTGAAATAGAGTATGCATGAAAAAACAAATGAATTTAAGTAATAAAAGAACTTAAAGGGAATAGAAGCGCTGGTTACGTATGCAAGTTAAATAATTCAGAAATATTAATAGCTGTTTGCTACTATTTCCGTAAACTCATATTAAACTCATATGTGTGAAATATCTTCTGCTTCTTCTGCTTCTCCCGCCTTTCCTTTTCTTTATAAAAAAAGTTAGGAGAAAGATTTCATAAAAAATAAATGACTTTTAGTCAAAATAAAAACTTAGTTTAACTGTTTTGTAACGTTTTTGAAGTTTTACTAAACTGCTCCCAATTATGCTTGACTGACAGACCTAGATCTTTCTAAGACTGTTCTCATAGCAGGTGATAATTCGTGTCTAATATTTTCTATACCGCATTGACTAATCACGTCTCCATTAAACCTCCTAACTTGATATAATTGTCTGTATCTGTTAGCGGACCCTCCTGAATTGTTGTAAGGAGGTTGCTGCTGCTGTTGTTGTTGCTGTCTGGCAACGGGCTGCATAGGCCTATGGCTGCGGGCGGGATTTGTGGGTCTGTAAACTCTAGCCGATTTTACAGTTATTCTTTTCTGCTTTCTTCCACGCACAACAGTCGATCTTTCTTTTTTTGTCTTTGAAGTTACACGAAATTGAATCACTATGCCAATGAGTGTGGCGAATGGCCAAAAAATTAATAAAACCCAAGAAATCCAACAGAGTTCAGGTTTTGGATCGTCTTTTAATTGGTGCAATGCCGCCGGTATTATTTTAACCGCTCTAAACTCTTCAACAAAATAATCGAGCGAAATTGTTAAGAGAAAAGCTCCTGTTCCTGATGTTCCTACAATGACCAGAGCTCTTTTCCAATAGAGTGTAGAAAGAGCAAACAATAGACCAATACCCAGAATTAAGCCGAGACTGCTCCATCTAGATAGAGGCTCGGGAGCTAGATAAAGAATACTGACTAAGGTTGATATCCCTAAAAGACCTCCTAATACGAATCCGGTTATAAATAAGCCAACCATTTCCAAGAGCATTGTTATAAGGCCTGTCATTAGTCCAGCTGCAAAGGATATCCCTATCGCACCACCAGTACCTGAATATATAGTATATAGTAAGATATGAAATATCTCGTTTTAACAACAACGACGAAAAATAGGATCTAAAGTAGGATTTTTATAGAAAATAAAGAAAAAAAATTTCCATTGTATGTACAAAATAAAGCAAATAGCAAAAACATTCTATTTTTTCAGTTGGATTCATTGAAGCAGAAAATTTAAAACCCTAGTTTGTTAGAGCAAATATTGTTTAATTATTCTTACCGAGCACTTCGGCTTCTGCATTTTTGCATATTAACCATGTTAATGAACCACCAAGCATTAGACCAGTAATGAACATAACAGCTTTGAAAAATTTATACCCTGAAAATGTAAACAATACAATTTATATCAAACTTAGAGTAAAACATATAAGTTGGACACCTATTTATCTTACATTTATGTGTGCATGGATGTATAGAGTATGTTTTATTTTTTAAATAGGGTATCAAAAGGCTAATAAGCGTCCGTAAATATCAATTTTAATTATTAATTATTCCATTTTTGTTAATCATAAAAGCTATTAATAGATCTGTCTATTTTTGGTAAGAGATTAGAATTTCAGAAAACATAGCCTAAATAAATTTATATAAACGTATTTTGCACAATAAAAAGATTTATTTTCCTTTTTAAACAGGAATTGTCACCAACAATTTAATGATATTTAATATCATTATTTTCTCTTTTTAATCAAAAGGTAATTAATTTTAAGCTGTTTTTTCCATTTTATCATTTAATAAAGAAATTATCTTACTACGAGTGATTGTGTACTTGTTGTAAGATTACTGAATTATCTTTATAAACAAAATAACGAGTTATTTTCTAATTATTATTATAGCAGGAGCCATAGATTAAAAACTTTATGCATTACTTTGACATACGTATATATACAGTATATACATGTATATATGCAAGTAGAGGCTGCTCTTATCTCTTTTTCAATTAGACACAAACACTATTAAGATCCATAAGGCGGAGGAAATGGCTAGTGTCTAATAACATTGTGGTTTAAAAAATCCCTTGAGAGATATTGGAATCTCTGTCGCTTCCCCCGAGAAAATCATTGTGTCTATTTAACAAAATCGATTTGAAGCCTCTATTTGTTTGGGCCTGGATAATTTATCTAAATTTTTTTCTCATTTTTTCGTTTGTTATAGTTATTAGTTAGTCTATTTAATACATAGAAGTGGCCTTTCATTAGTAGAACCATCTCTTAGATTATTGCTTAATTATATATAATAAAGCAAAGAAAAATCCATCTTTCTTCATTTTCGTGGAAACATTATTTTTTTAAATGTAAATCAAAAGAGATACAATCAAACATGAATAGATGTATAAGAGAAGAAAAAATATCGTATAAATCTACTGCACTCCTTGCCTCCAGTATAATATATGACACGAAACCAAAAATAGATATTTGCATAGGGAATACTACACAACTATAAAGTATAGGGGCATAAGAGAGAGAAAAAAAACCAGTGCCATATTTTTCTACCTTGTTTAATATTCCCACCTCTATTAAAATAAAACCAGTTTTTAATCTGTTGTATATATTGTTATTTTATTATTAAAATATACAATTTTCTCATTCTATTTGTATTTTAAGAGATGTTAAGTATTCTATTGTAGATAGGTTAATTGTTAATTAAAACTTACTCGGCGATTATATCGGGTTTAGCTCAGATTTTTTTCACTTTTGAAACATTTAACCTGAATTACCTGGCTAATATCTCTATTCAATATACAAAATAAAACAGACTTACCGAAGAATGTATATAATAGACCAAAAATTGCGCAAATGGCACAGGCAGCTGCAGGAATAACATCGTATTCAACTATTCCGAACAAACAGGAATCGCGTTCTATATCAATTGTTGATGACTGCAGCGTAGATGAAATAAATGTTGGATCGGTAGGTCTAACCCTGGAAACGTTTGCGCTCCCACTCGACATGATCTGAATTTCAAGTATATAAATTTTAACAAAGAATCAACACTAATTGTCGCTCATTACATTTTACTATTAATTAAGATTAAACAACTTTACCTTTGTTTTAACAGCACTATACTTTTATGAATTCATCATATGCTTGAATGCGGTGTTCAACTATCTAGGAGATAAATGAGATGGTACAATATTCGCACATTTTTCTCTGCTTCATCCAATTATATATTCACCGGTTTTCGTAGCTCGAAATGAATATTTTGCCAGCGTTCTAAGGGTACGTAAGCCGATGATTCGTCAAAAATATATTCTTTACCACAAACCTATTCAAGTGTGTTTCATTGTCAAAAATTTTATTATTTTATCATATTTTACTTTTAATAAAAGGAAATTCCTTAGGATTTTTTTTATTAATATCCTTAAAAAAGTATAGAACAAATATAATAGTGATATATATAAATAGCGTATACAATATTCTTTTCGTAACGTAAAATCTTTAATAATTTGAGCAGAACGTAAGAACATTCTAAGAGTGTATGTTCCATAATTTTTTGTTGATAGAAGAGAGAATAGGAAAAATAGGAAAATAACAATTTTCTAAACTAAATATAATAACATTCTTTTTATTAAGATGAAGCTTTTAAAGTTATACTTATTATTGTTTCTTAAATATTATATGTATGTATATATTCTTTTCATAATAATAATAGTTACAGAACAAGGCTTCTCTGGTGATTTTTTAGTTTTTCCTTCTTATTTAAAAAATAAGAACGTTCTACTGCGTAGGTGGATAAACAACTCCTTTCTTTATGATAACATTTCCGTACTGCGAAACATCTCTGCAGAACAGAAATATATATACAGTATATATATATAAATACATCAATATATGAAAGAACTATTGTAAAATCATTGAAAAAATTTTTTAGATAATACATAAAGGATAAAAAAACCACTTATTTTGTACCCTGTATGAATAATGGCGAAAGCACTTCTAGCTCTACCGTAAAAATCGAATCTGTCCATCTTTTCTATGCTAATCTACGGAAGTATATTGAAAATTTAAACAATTAAATTCAATTCTGAATGCAACTAATAAAACCTTTTTTCCTTCAGCCTCATTCACTATTCTTGATATTTCGTCCCAAATTGGAACAGGAAGGTTCTTGGCTTCGTCATCAGCGGTACGCTGCATTAGAGCCACCTATGGTTTATTTAGTGATTTAAGTTTTTGAATAATCAGTTCAATAAAAGTCTTTATTGACAAAATTGTTCGTACCGGCTCTCCAACGTATTGATCCAAGGGAAAAAATTTTAAAATAGAAGTTAACAAAGGCGGTATCAACAGACCTAGAATATAAAGAAGAAGAAATTATAATCTTTATTCTTTTGATACTATACTGGATTGTATATTTTAGAGTTTCATTTTCTTTTACCGTCAGCTCGAATTTCTACGGGGGCATTCTCTCCTTTACAAATGGATGTTGTTGGAAAGTGGGCATCGGCCAAAACTATTAATATATATATATATATATATATATAGACTATTATATTGATTTTTTCTTTGTCTTTTTTTATTCTTACTTATTTCATCTCCATGACCAGCAGCCGATAATAGCTTTAATAAATCAGGACTCAAGTTAAATGGGATTCCTGTTTTGTAAAATATTCAGTTTTAACCGCTTTTTATTCCTCACTTTTTTTGAAATTATAACTCTAACCTTTCAGCGGCATCTTATTAGATATCTCTTAAAAAGTTTAACGCCTTCTAAATTATAACCTTGACCTTTATCAAAATGATCACGTGATATTTCAATGATAATATTTTTTATCCAATAGACGGGATGCGCGGGAAGAAGTTTAAATGTATTAAAAATTTAAAATTAGCGGTATAATCGATCAATTCTTTAATTTTCAGAATAGCTAATGTGATTCATCGAATTGAATTTGATTATATAAACCGGAAATATTATATATATACAGTACATATATATATATGTTAATATATAAAAACTCTAAACAACTTTTGTTCAATATTAATAAAAAATTGTTTATAAGCTGATGTTATTGAATATTACGATTAAGATTATCATATCATAGACATAGAAAAAGAGAAGGTTCTATATACACTCATCTTCTTAAAAGGAAATATAATAGAAAATTTGTATTCTAAGCGTAAATCAACAGGAATATTGCTGTAGTAAATTTCATTACGACATATAGTAATTCAAACGTACTTAAAAAAAATTGATTTTTCCCTACTTCTAAAGAAATGAAAGAATCTTATAAATTTACTTTGAAAAGTGGGTCAATTACTCTTCCACTTCTTACTGTTTCTCTCGACTTCCTTCTTCTCCTCATCCATATTCCTTTCCTCAATGTCCATCTAAACCTCTACACCTCTCTTTCCCCTATTATCTACGTCTTCTACTACCGAACCCTTCTACCTACTCGATCATTGATAACCTATTATCAGTCCCTCTGACAATTCAACTGACATGGTCTTGTCCACGTTATAGATGAATGACACAGCTGTATAATAACCGTCAGCTGTTCAATATGGCGATCATATGGATTTACAATATAAATAAAAGAAATCTGAATTGAAACTAAGATATTTTTTAGAAAGAAATGATAAAATTAATAGTATTTGGACTATTTACTTTTGGATTAGCCTTAGATTCTATAGAGTATGTAAAGTTTGGTGCTTCGAAGAAAGGAACTACTCTGAAACATCTCAGTACATTTCAACTAGACTATTTTTGTATTGGAGAGAAATTCATAAAAATTGAACTCTATGTTTATAAAACATTAATTTGGCATAATACGTGGTCTTGTTCAAATGAAAAAGGCTCTAGGTCAATTGTCGTCCCTCTTCCAAAGGTTTTAGCTTATAAACCTTCTCAACATAACAGAATTTATTGGACTTCTTCTAAATGTAATTTTGAGTTGTGTATCTTACATCCGAAACTTCAGAGATGCTCTTATTCAAAAGTTAAAACTGAAGAGAGTTTCAGCATACCTCCTCCTTATCAGAGGAAACAATATCACCCTAATTTATGTTTTACTCCCTTTCAAGAGATTTTATATAATAAACCATTTAGGCCTATTTGCAAATTAGAAGCAGGTTAATTTTATCTTAATAAATGAATAATAACATATTATGTTAATTTTATTTTTTAGAAGTGTTTAAAGCAATAAAATATCCAGTTGCTTTTAATGGAGAAAGAGGAGGAGTTGTTAGGGTTTTACCAAATTATAATTCTAAAATATTAGAGAAGAAAAGACTTTCTACATTTACAAAACCAAAGTAAGTAAATTAGTTTGTTATTCTTTCAGACTTTAGATCTAACTATAGTTGAATTTCTTTTAATTAGATTTACTTTAGATATTTTACTATATGTCGATCAGTACTGTAAGAATTCAGACGTTTGTAGCCTTATTCAAAGACATACTTGGGACGATCGGGTAGCATCTTTTTTAATTTATATTCTAAGAACAGGTAATTTATTTAATAAACTATTGCAACATTGTATTAATTGATTATATAATTATTCTTTTCAATAGGACAATTACGAATACAAGTAGTAGCTCAAGGCGGAATACCTGCATGGGCAGAAACTAGTTTTACTATACCTTTACAAACGTGGTTTCGATTAATTTTATCCGCAGATAATAATTTGGTAAAATTACTATTCTCAATTGTTTCTTTCATCCTTTCATCCTTTCATTCTTTCTTCTTTTCCTATTATTATTATTATAGTGGAATATGCAAATTCTACACGGTAAAAACTTGAATGTTAAAGAGAAGACGCTTATTCAGTAAGATGAAGATTATTCAATTTTTATATACTTTTTAAAGTTAATTATATAAAGAAAACATTAATAACAGATTAACTATGGAGAGACCAGTTCATTACGATGATTCTTTTGGCCTATTAGTTTTCGGAGGTTCTGAAATTATTAATTCTTTCACTGGGATTATTGCTATGGCAACGATCTACAGAAGAAAGTATTACTCTGCCAAAACAGTAATAATTCTTCATATTGTTATCTTAGAACTACTTACGCTTTCTATTAGATACCCGATATTGATTCAAAATGGTTATACGAAATGAAAGATGAAAGTACTATCTGTAATAGTTATATTAATTGGTTTGAGAACAGAGTTTGGAGAGCAAAATTAACTTTAGAAGCTATAAATCGAAAACGTAAAGACTGTTGTAGACAATAAACACAGTTTTCATGGTCATTCTTTTTTCGTTTGTAGGTAGTTGTAATAGATTTATGAATGAAATATTTTTTGGAAAAAAATCATCATTTAAAAGAGCAAAGAAAACTTGCGCAGCATGGAAACAACCGGAAAAGGAGAAATTTAAATTACTCGGTTTGAAAGTAAGAAAAAGCGTTTTTAGAGGACATATACCAACTTTAATAGAAGCTGGAAGGTTATTATACAGAAACGTTACTGACGTTTTAGTAAGTTTGTTTGTTTTTGTAAAGCGAAGGTAAAGTTATCTCTTCTTTATTTTGCAGAATAATCCTAATCCAGATTTTGGAAAATTGGAAAGAATTTTGGAAGAATCCAGTTGCTATGGAAATAATAATGCAACAGCACTTCTAGCGGCAATGTTGAATAATGGATTTGGAATTCGTATGCAAGAAAGAAAGGTATAGTTTTACATTACAAGTGATGGCAGCGAATTAACCCTTTAACCCTGTTGTAATTTTAAAAAATAGTCTGGAGGTTTACTCTTAAAATGTGCGATGAAAAGTCACAGAAGTTGTTTACAATCACTGGGGGCAAAACATAATTTAGGCTTAGATAGTTTCCCTCAAGATTACGAAATATCTTATAATTATTACAAGGCATTGGCCGACATTACTGGTCAAGATAGATTAGAACATCACCAGGAAGGTGTTGTAGCCGAAAAAATTCGACTGACAGACGAAGTCCAACTTAAATTACAAACTGATGATCAAGGAGATTTATGGAATTGGATTACCCATCAAGCATCTCACGGAGTCAACTCAGCAAGGGAGCATGCGTCGAGGTATTTGGCTATTGTTTCTCAGCTACAGTTTAGCTTTTTTTAATTACATTGGAATATTTTATCGTACAGACTATTATTTTGGGGAGCACAAGGTATAAGGAGGAATTTACAGGCTGCTGTTAATTACTATAGAGAAGGAGCCGAACAGGGCAATACAATAGCTCAATACGATTATGGAATTGCTTTGCTTAAGGGTCATGGAACTGAGAAAAACGAAACTGCAGCTATTCATCAGCTTAGTAAAGCTGCTTCCAAGGGTAATCCTAATGCTCTCAACGCTTTAGGCTGGCATGCTTTAGAAGTTGAAGGTGATATCGCAAAAGCTACAAAACTGTTTGAAAGAGCAATGGGAAGAGGATTAGCCGATGCTGCTCACAATTTGGGCCATATGTATATGGAAGGCAGAACCATAAATAAGGAAATTGATAAGGTGAAAGCTTTTGACTATTTCTCTTTTGCTGCTGTAAGAGGTCAGCTTGATTCAGCTATTGTTATTGCAATGTTCAATATAAGAGGCCACCCAAAAGCAGTCCGGAATCCTGAATTAGCCGTCACGTAAGTTTGAAATTTAATGACCATTATAAATTAGTAAGAGAACATAGTTGTTTATTTTAGTTGGGCTCGATACGTTAGCGAAGAGAATCCGATACAGGGTACATTAATGGCCAATGGGTTAAAAGCCTACAGGCACGGAAATATGTAAATATCACTATAATATATTCATAAATTTACTGATAGTAGTTGTTAAAAAAATTATTTGATGTTTATTAGACCATCAGCTTTGCTTTGGTATTCATTAGCAGCGGAGAGTGGTATTGAAGTTGCCAATTTTAATTTAGCATGGTTATGTGAAAATTACGAGGTTAGGTTGTTTTTTTTTTATTAGTTTTATATAATTTCTAAATGGATTTTATAAATATATTTTGTAGCAATATACAAGAATATATTTCCATAAAGAATGCGTTTTTAGAAATTACGAAATTTCTATTAAAAGAGATAAATCGAACGCCGATCCATATGGTCAGTTATTGCAGTTATATCTTTTATCAAAATATAAATATATCTATATTCTATAATACAGCATGGATTAAATTGGGAGATTTAAGTCTTGATATGAAAAATGAAAAACATAATGCATCTCACTTTTATGCTAGTGCCGCTCTGAAGGGAAGTCCACAAGCCTATTTCAATTTGGCTTATTTAGTAGAAAATGATTATCAAATTGATGAAATTATATGGAAAAAACTAAAAATTAGGTGCGATTCAAAATTCTCTCTTCTTCAAACTTTATACGAAAAATGTAAGACGAGTAGAGAAGCTTTTCTTCCATGTACACTTGCCTTATGGAAAGCTAAACTGATGGCAAGCATATACGAGTATCCAAGATTAGTTAAGGTAATTATAATAACTTTATGTCCTTAAAAACAAATATAATATACAATATAAATTGATCTATCAAGCAGGCAGTGGCTGGTCTCGCTTTGGCAATCATAACTGCAGTACTGATATGCGTTGTTTCTGTTCTTATCAGACATATGGGACCTCCAAGAATAGCCGAGATATAAATAGCTAAAATATAATATATTAGTAATATAATAATTTATCATCATAAACATATAATGTTGATTTTCTACATAAAAATTAGTGCTTCTGGCTTTCAACTCATTTCTCTCTCTATTTCTATAAATCTTTTGATATAAATGATAAATTTATGAAATATTCAATCAATATAAAATAATAAATATAATGAAGTGTACAATTTTAATTAATAAGCTTAATTACGAATACCTTGATATTAATAAATAAGATACAAAGTAAGTTATCTTGAAAAGTAATCAGACTATTTTTTATTATTAAATTTTGAACAGGACTATAATCTTTAAAAAAAAGTATATCATTTTAATTGTATATTAGTTAATATATATATATATATATATATCTATATATTTATTAATATTAGTATGTTTATTATTTTATTATAACTTTATATACAGTATATCTATTCATACATACCTGTAGAGAATTGATTAATAAATATATCTTTATGATGGATACTGAAGGAGACACTTCATCAGTGATTTTTAAGTGACGTAAATTTATCTTGCTTTTTTTTTATCATATTACATTTTTAAAATGAAGTTGGCGGTTCTCCTTCTATTCGTATTGGATTTTTCTAATATTATTAATACCCTAACTGATTTGCCAGTATTCAACCATGGACTTCCAGGAATTTCAGTCAAGACTCCTTTGAATATTGCCCATAGAGGAGCGTCTGGGGAACGGCCTGACCATACAGAAGTCTCATACAAATTAGCTATTGAACAGGGAGCGCACTTTATCGAATGTGATATTTGTCTATCAAAAGACTTAGTTCCAGTTTGCCATCATGATTGTTATTTAAATGCGACAACTGACGTTCATTCTTATCCTGAATTTCACAACAAATCTAACTATCATGATATACCAGGTTTAGGGTTTCCAGCGAGAGATTATTACACAGTTGACTTCACTTGGCAAGAGTTGAGAAGATTGAAAATAAAGAGAAAATCGTCATCTGGGAGAAATCCTAATTATAATCTACGATATAGATTTCTTAGTTTAGAAGATTATATTTCAATAGCTCAAAATGCGTCAAGAACAATTGGAATCTATCCCGAATTAAAAGCTTCTGCTTGGCATAATGAAGTTCTGAAAGATGAATTATTAAACAGTCAGAATACGTCTTTTGAAAAGATAGTTGTTAAAATCTTACACGACCATGGATACGATGGAGAAAAGAGACCGTGCTATTTACAAAGTTTTGAAGAAGAAACTGCTGAAGAATTATCAAAGTTAACAAAGATTCCCGTTATATTCTTAACACCACTGCCGCTTATTACTGACTTCTTTCTGGACAGTCTTTCAAAATATGCAGCTGGTGTTGGTGTAACAAAGGCCGCCGTATTTTTTGGAGGTGGTTCAAAAATATCGACTGGAGAATCAACTGGTTTAGTAAAACGAGTTCACGATAAAAATATGAAAGTTCATGTATGGACATTTACGGTTGAAGATCGTTCTATTCCTTGGATATATGGGGACGATGTAAGAAGACAGTACGATGCCTATATTAAGGAGAAAGTTGACGGCCTATTTACAGATTATCCATATGGATTAAGAGAGCATTTAGATTACCGATACAAGAAAGATGAAGAAGTGAAATGCGAAGGAAATTCTTTATCATTACACTTCCTTTCCTCTTTCCTTTCTATATGGCTTATAAACAAAGTCTTATATTAAATACAAATGATTAGATAAAAGAAGATATAAAGATTTAAAAATTAAAAGAAAAAGTACAGTATATTCTAAAGTTTGTTGTAATGACTTAAACAAATGTTTATGTATAAAAATTAGTCTTTTTCAAGGCCAGTAGCAACCGCGGCAACGAAAGCCGCTCCTTTACCCGAACCGTCATCAGCTAGAATAAATTCGTAAACTCTATTCTTATCGAATTCTTTCAAGATTTTCTCCATGTCTGATTTCATTTTAGGGTGATGCCTATACCAGGATCCGTCAATTGCAACGGTTACATGATTTCTTTCCATTATGCTGCCTAGTTCAAGGATGATTGCCGATACGAGTTGGCAACATCTTATCGATATTGCCCGGCAGATATATCGAGCAATTAAACAATCATCTTTGCTAACTTTAACTTTGAGTAAATTCTGCAAAATTTCTTCGACGTTGTGTCCCTTTTCTATATCAGTCACGTGCCTGCCATTAAAATGACCCCATTGTTTCAAGGCTTCGCATGGTTCCGATAAGAAAGTACCTGCAGAGTTTAAACTTTTCAAGTGAAGTCTAACAAGATCTCCCACGTAGTGGCCAGCAAACAATTTTTCAAAAGTAAAAGATCCAATATGATTAGAATGCTTGTCAAGAAGAAAGTCTTCTTCAGACTTGAAGAAATCCAAACTTCCATTATCTCCAAAAGCGCCACATTCAGTATCAATAACCACCTGTTTCGTATCACCCATTTCTTCATTTCCCCAACGTTTAACATTTGCGGCATTTTCAACATAAGCCGCATTGAATCCAGTACCAAGTATAAGTCCAATTGAACATTTATGATCTAAATAAGATCCGGCCAATAACGTTCCAGTAGTATCATTCAATATTGCCACAACTTTAACTTTTGTAACTTTCTTTCGCTTCAAAGCATCTTCCAACATTTCAACAGCATTTTTACCAACTCCATCCGGACACTTGAAGGTTTTTGTCCAAGTAACAAGAACACCTTTATTCAATCCAAATTGGCTCATAGGGAAGGAGAATGTAAAGCCCAGAGGAATATTATTATTTTGTATATTGAATTCAGTAAGGAATTTCGCAATACTATTGGCAATATGATCAAAAACCTATGGAGAATAATAGTTTTGTGTAAAATTATCGAATAGAGGTATAGTAAACAATTGTAATAAAATACAAACTCCGTCCGATGGTCCTCTTAACACTTCCTTCTCTAAATTATAGTTTTTTACTTTGGTTTCTCGTAATTCTCCATTTCTCATCTTACATAAAAGAACTCTAAAGTTTGTTCCACCCAAGTCTAAAGCCATATAATCTCCACATTCTAAAAAAAGAGAATAATCAATTTGGATAAAATTAATGCAAAATCATTTTTTATTAAGGACTTTCTTTTATTTAAGAAATTAGGCTATTAGTTCATTCTAAATATATTACAAAACTCAAGGACGGTTACAGTTCATCTATTTTAAGCTATATTTAGTGGAATTGTAAATGATGGTTGTAATAAATTATTACGATAGAAAATAAGGCCTATTTGCTAAAAATATCAAATAATTATTACAAACCAGCGCCATCTAATAGATGTCTGACAAAAGTATTTTCCATTTGTAATGATTTCCTCTTTGTCTTATCTTTATTCAGACCATCCTTAGCTTCTTGACGAAATATTTTACATACCTTAAGGAAATCTTCCTCCTCTAATATAATGTTCTTACTAATCTAAATATAAAAGGAATTTCACTTTGAATTCTTAATAATGGAACTTTTCTATTTTTCAAATAGATTATCAATACCTTCTTTAGGAGAGTTTGAGGAACGTTAATATTCATTAAATGTGCCATTTTGTGTACTTCTTTCTTGAGTCTAAAAAAGTGGTTGTATATATATATTAATATATATATAGTATATAAGTCAATTAGGCAACAATGGGAATAATTTAGGCAATCACGTGAGAGAAGATAAGATAAATAGTTATATTCGTATTGATTAGATCCTATAGTAATAAATAGAGTAGAATATTTTAATATGAAATATAATAATTATAATAATACTGTAGATCAATTTCCTTTTCTTCTCTCTATCTAACTGATTGATTCATTATCTGTCTGTCTGTCTATCTATCTCCTTCCTTCTCTCAAATTCTGTAAACTAAAGCCGTATTAAATATTTTCTTTTCTAAATATCTATACAGTTGCAAAACTTTCTATTCGGAAAATACATGTACATACGTTTCACTAACTGGATTAAAGTATCAGAATTAGGTCAGATCTTTTTATATTTCCTATAAAATTATAAACTATATAGATTTCTTTTTTCTTACCAAAAATAATAACAACAAAACAAATCAAATAAAAACTTGAATAAAAATTGAATTTTTAATTTTCTTCTTTTTTGAAAGTCTTTTCAAAGTCTTTTCTCTTTTTCTTTCCAAATGGAAGAAGTGAAATTGAAAGAAGTTAACGATTCTGTCAGTTGACTGCAACAAGAAAGCTCCAGGTGCACATGGTTCTTATAAACATTTAATACTAAACGAAAATTGTTCTTATTTAGATTGTTTGAGGTGTCCATTGAAGTTTTTTTTTTAATCTCTGTCTCTCCAAATATTAGGACGAAACTTAAACCTATTGTTCATAGACAATATATATACGTAATTAACTTTTTTTGTCTGGTTCTTTTTTTATAAATGTATATATAAATATAGGAAAAAGTGATTGTTACCAATAAATCTATTCCAATTTCTTTGCTATTCTTTTCCTATCACTTTTCTTATTCTCTGACTTTTATTGTTATAATAAAGACAATTATCTATTTTAATCTACTTTTCTTCAATTTTACATTTCTAGTCTAAAAGATAAAGTTAAACTTAAAAAAATTAAAAGGTCAAGGTTAAAGATTTATAGCATTAGTGAACAGCTAGAAACTACCCTGTCGTAATAAATTATATATAATTGCGTAAGTCTTTTTTTGTTGTCTTTTAAATATAACTTGAAAACTTAAAGGACCAATTGTTAAAGTTCTTTTTTTCTTTCTCTGCCTGTCTCTGTCTTTCTTTTCATATGAATCATTAGAAGAGAAGAGAAGAGAGGAAAAGAGAGAGCGATAGAAAACATTAACAAAACTTTTCAACAAATAAAAGTGTTGATTTTTAATAAATTTATTAATATTTCTTACTAATTTATCCACTGGAATATACATATATTTAGTGCATATACAGTATATATTTATAGATAAATGTACTTGATGTTTTCTTTGTAAAATGTATTTGTTTTTATAGTTTATGGTGTATTCGTAATATTTTCTTCCTTATCATCATCTTCTGGTATTCTATAAATAGATTTATAATTGTAAATTGATGATGTATAGTTTCTTTATTAGCTTTATACAGTATATAGGGTATATTTAGTAACATGCAAGTTCAAAGAAGTCATCTAAAATCGTTGATATTTTATATATTATGATCAATTATTATTATTATTATAGATGGCCGCTTAGAACTTGCCAATACTATATATACATAATACATTACCTGTCAATATCCGAAACTTTTTGGGGTAGATAATGACCCTTTGTTTCCGGTAGCCATGGCATCATTACACCAGCTATTATCGCAGATGTCCAACTAGTGACAGGAGATGCGTAACCTCCCTTTTTTTTTTAATAAAAAAATATTAATAAGTTGTAAAAAAAAAGAAAAGATAACTTACTATTTTTCCTACGAAAGGCACTATTATGGCTGCTATTCTTCCGACAGCAGATATAAAACAGAAGCCAGTACATCTTAGAACAGTTGGCAACAATTCATTTGTATATAGATATGTAGTTGTAAAGCAGCCACTTATCATCATTTTACTAATTAATATAAATATTAATTTTGGCCATTTCGCAACAAATTTACTTATTATTATTGAAACACCACAGCTAATAAATAATATTGATAATACGTTATTTCTTCCTAATAAACCCATCATGACTAGACTAAGGATTACTCCTGGCATTTCTGCGGCTCCTTCAATCATAAAATTTATAAAGATATTTCCATGAAACTTTGATGAACCATAAACAAAACTATAATAAATAAAAGAGACAGCAAACCATTGAAAACATAGAATTATTACTCTCTTTCTAAGAACAGGAAAACGGAATAGATCTATTGGCGTATAAGTTTTTACTTCAACCTATATAAATAAGAATAAAGTATATAGTATAATCTTATAATATGCATATGAAATTATAATAAAGAGCGTACAGTTCCTGTTTTAATATGCTGCTCTTCTTGTTGCTGCTGCCACTGACCAGTTGAAGCTTCCGATTCGAAATTGTCACTTGTTGACAGCAATTGCTGCTAAGAAGAAAAGTTAATAGTTGCGATTAGAAGCGGTAAGTAAAAATGATATATAAATATAAATATAGATTTAATATTAATTGATATCGTTATCTAATTTATACTTGAGGATCTAGAATTTTCAATTCTTCAGAATTAGCAGACTTTAAAAATTTTCTGTCATTAGCCTTTGCCATTTTATTTAATACTTCTAGACATTCTTTAATTTTACGTTTTGAAAATAGCCATCTAGGCGATTCTGGGATAAAACTATATCAATAATATAAGAAAATATTACGTTAAAATAGTATAAATTGTAAATTTAATAGTCAAAAATTTACTTACAAATAGAAGGATAAAAATAGAATCAAAACAGATCCTGTTACTATATGTATAACTTTCCAATTATTTAATTTATATGCTAAAAGTGTTAGGAAGAAATATCCAAGTACCCAAACAATATGAGAAGCAACAACAACGACAATTCTCCAATTTGGTCCAGTAATTTCTAGACCTAGGATAGGTTTGTTATATTGTTTCACTTATTGAATGAATTTAGCTTTGTTTCTTATAGTATTTCAACTTACATAAAATTAATAATATACTAGCAACTGGAAGATTAAACATTCCAGTTACAAATCTCGTTATTAAATAGAATAAATAATTTCTGGCAACTCCACTAAGTATCGTTACAACTATTAAAAATACTAGGGCTATTAATGACGTTCTTCGCCTTCCTATTCTGTAGAAATCATATAACTTTTATAGTCTTTAACAAATACCAATCAATTAAGAACAATTAAAAATAAATGAAAAATACAAACAAATCTCCAAGGAATCCTATCACAAGTAAACCGAAAAATCCACCAGCTTGATAGACGACGCTTGCTAAATCAGTTTGCCATTTTTTACCACAAACTAAATTCCACTAAAAGAAGAATATACAATGTATTTATACTGTGTATATAGAAAAGAAAAAAAAACATTTAATACCTCTGTTACAGCCGTTTCACTAGCTTCTGATGTGTCGTAATTGTATCCGTTAGGACAAGGTATTGTTGAAGCTGTCTCATTTTCTAACAAAGTCTTATTAGATAAAAGCAAATGAGCTTCATCAGATGTCATAGTAGAATAAGGTCTAGTTCAAGGGAGAGGAAAAACGTTAAAAGAGAGAGAAAGAGAGAGAGAGAAGATAGTTTATATTTTAAATGTATACAGTATATAGACGCTTTTGACTCACCTGTCAAAAATAGCACAGTTTTCAAATTTTCCTTTGGAATTCTTCGGTATTATAAGTAATTTTTCATCATGAGATGATAATTCATGGATGGAATGAGATATATTTTTTGGATATTTACAAACATGAGGAACATCTGCCAAAGTTAAAGATGAAGAAAAATTGTTTGCCGAAGCAAATACTGCAAATGATGCTATTGCTGTTAAAATTAGTATTTGATATAGTCCAAAATCTCCAGCCTTATTAAAAATATTATCATAAGACACCGATTTTTCCTCTTCTTCATCTGATTTAACATTTTCCATGTTTCTTTCCTTATTTCCCTTAAAAATTAATAAAAATAGAAGCTAGCTATTCAATATACCATATATTATTTATGTAAATTGTTTCAAAAGCACCAATTAAACATTTCCATTCCAAATGACAATATGCTATTATTATCATAAATCTTGAACATGTGTTACAATGTACTGATTACGTACTTAGGTATTGTTATTTAAATGTGTTTCCCTCCTCATAACTCCAATATTATCCTATATATTGTCATTAATCAGCAATATACTGTATTGGTAAATTATAACAAAACAGCATATTAATAGAAATCTAACTATCCATCATTTTTTTGTGACCAATTAGATAGAGGACCTATATATTTGCAGTTATATATATATATATATATATATATATATATATATATATATATATATATATATATATATATATTATGTATGTACAGTATATATAGTATACTGTATATTGTATATTCAATAACTTTATGCCCTACAGACAGGTTATATTATTCAATAAAAAGTACTGAAAAAAAGCATTCAAAACAATAAAAAGAGAAAAAAGTATTAAATTAAAAACATCTGCTTCAAACCAGAATCACAATGAATAATCTTAATTTAGAACATTTTTTTTCCTTCTATACTTAACTAAATAATTTATTACTTATTATACTATTATTTTCCCCTAGCTCTTCCCTTTTCTGACTATCTATCTCTATTTTCTCTTTCTTTCCCTCCAGATCTCATTCTCTATTCTCTTTACAAGGTTTTAGCATAGTTCTGTATCAAATTAAAAAAAAATAGAGCAAAAAAATATCTCCGTGACGGGGAATCGAACCCCGGTCTCCTGAGTGACAGTCAGGGATACTCACCACTATACTATCACGGATCTTGTATATCGTCTGCTTATTTTAGAATATATACAATGTGCTTATCAGAATTCAATACTCTAGAATTTAAATTTTATAATAAATTAGATATGTGTTAGACAAACAATCTTTCACTATTTCTAAGGAAATAAACAATAAAAGTATGCGTTAAATTAGCTATTGATAACTACGACGCAGTAATCTTACATTCTACGTATTTTAGATATGTTGAAAGAACTACTAGTTTACAGCGCCATCTGCAGTTATTTACAAGGAAATAAAATATGGATATACAAAAATCTTTACGATAATATAGAAAAAGATATGCTATAACTCTATCCATCATTAAAAGGGATAAAAGACGTACATATAAAATATATAAAAGAAAAAACTACAAAAAGTCTCCGTGACGGGGAATCGAACCCCGGTCTCCTGAGTGACAGTCAGGGATACTCACCACTATACTATCACGGATCTGATATAACAGATGCATTATGTCTTTAATAACATAGTTTCAAAAGTAACCTATAACGAGCAGCGCTGTAAGTTAAAGTATAAAAAGCATATATTGAAGCGTGTTTTTATCTATATACCTATAAATAAAGTCTTTTATTTTTACCTACAAAAAATGTTTTTTCAGTGCTCTACAACAAGAGATTAAACAGTAAGGTTGAAAATCATCGAATAATAACTCTTTGGTCTTACATACATTATACACTTACTATAAATAGAATTGAGGGAGAGAGAGAGAGAGAGAGAGAGAGAAGCGCATGGGTTAATCAAGGACATATGCATATTTTAAACATTTTATAATAACAAAAAATTCTCATCAAAAACACTTTCTATACTTATTGAATAAATTTACATATTAATTAAGTATAAAAGTTAAAAAAGAGTCAAATTTCTATAATAAATCAAATTCGAGAGAGAATAAAAAAGTAACAGGAAACTGACGCTGGTATTAGAATTAGGGTCATGTGACTCACTGATCACGTTTCATTACTCATGATTAACGTTGTTGATGCTGGCTTGAAACAATCATTCGTAGATTGTATATTATTATTGATAATTGCTGCTTGTACTAAATAGCATTCTGTAACAAAAACCTGCTAGTATTGTAAGTAGTAAGATAACAATTAGATAATTTTAAGTTAAGTTTGTATATTAAGTAATTGAATATTATATATTGTTTATATATTGTGAAATTACTTTCCTTCTCTTTCAATTGTCGTTTATCCTTGCTTCTATTTTTTCAGTTTTATTGAAATTAAATGTTCATGTTGATGTTGTATTGAAAAAAATTACCTTTCGTAATGATATTTAATTATTATAGATAAGTAAAAATTGTTACTTTATTCAAGTTTTTCTTTTAAATTTCTTACTAATATTTGATAGTGTCTTTTGAAGAATTATGAATAATAATTAATAGTGAGCAAATGTTACAACAGCTTTTCTTTTTTAGGTATGTTATCTCAGCATCTTCTGTTTACGATCTACTTGAATTATTCTAATTAATTAGAGAGAATAGATAAAATTAAAGTGTGTACCAATGTAAATTTTTACCCTCATCCATATCACTTGATATCTGCTGTACTGTATTATAAATGGTGTAGGACTTTTTTTTCCTATTAGTCCTATGTATCAATCAAATAGATGAATATAATATATATATACTTTATATTTATATTTATTCCATTCTAATTCATCCCATTTTGATTCAAAACACCAAATGGCTATACACACATATATATGTACAATATATTTGTAAAGTATGTCATTTTATTCATTTATCTCTCTGAATAACCCATCTGTCCTTATTCATCTCTATCCATCTTACTTGTCTGTCATCTTTCTTCTCCTCTTTGTAGATTAGTACAGAAAATAACATTTTATAATATATATTATTTATACAGTATATAATTCGTATTCGAAATATTACAAAAGAATGGATTAAAAACCAATATTTCAATGCTATTTTACAGTTTTTTTGCTGTACAGTGTCATCTATCGTCATTGAATTATAATTGTAATTGTTAAATAGAGAAAAAATAGTTTCTTTCTTCCTAAAAAGAAGACGAAGAAATAAAGAAAGAAAGAAAGAAGGAAGGAAGGAAGGAAGGAAAGAAGATGATGAACAGTTTAATGTTTTTTTTATTACTTCCTAGTTTGGCACTTGCGGAATATTCATAAGCTAAAAAATTATATGAATATTCGCAATCGCTATTCAAGGCAGTAGTTAATTTCGTCAATGAATAGAATATGGTTACATAATAAATTACCAAGAGAAAAAGAAACAATCCCAGTACAAAACTGGTACTATTCTAAACATCAAATAATATTATATTTATATATAACTATTGTTATATTTAATATGCAAACAAATTTCTCTAACATTTTATCACAATAAAGTAAAAAGTAAGAAAATAATAGATTGTTAATCAATTGATAAAGTTGAAATACGTTATAATTAATTATATTTCAATTACCCTTTTCATAATAAATTAGGAAGTTATCTTCGTAAATATTGAATTTATAAAAATTGTTTACCTGTTTTATCAGTTTTTAGTTTTTCTCTGTTAAAAATTTTATAAAGTAGAAGGACATAAGTTAATAAGAATGAATCGTATGATATGTTTTTTACTAATATTAATATCATCGTTTAGTTTCCTTGTTGTTGTTGTTGTTGTTTGATATTTAAAGCCACTCGTAATAATTGTTATAATAAAGATAAGAGAAAGAGAAATAGGAGAATTTCAAGATATGTAGAAAGGTTAGGTCAATGTTACTGTTGTCTTATTATAAACTTGACTATATTCCGCTGATTTTCCTAATAGTCTAACTTTTCTTCGTCTCACACAAATGAAAATTACCAATGCGGTAACTAGTACAATTGCCAAGAGAGCTATTACTACAATAGCTGCTGCAGGAAAGCCGCTACTGCTATTGCTGCTAGTGTTATTACAGTAATTGTTCTTTACGGTATCCACTAAATTTTCACCCGTGTGCGTTGAAGAACATCTAAATGAAACAATTAAATCAATTAATTTAGGTTATTCATTCATTTAATATCTGATTATAAATATAAACTTACGCAAGATTCTTAAAGAATGGTTTTTCAAAAGACGCCATCCATTTTAATTTACACGATGAGCAATTCCATAAATTACCTTCAAGATTTAACTCTGTCAATTGATTCCAATTGAACGTATCTGCATTTAACGCATGTATTGAATTGTTAGATAAATTCAATGAGGTTAAACGTTTTAATCCGTTTAAGGCGTCACTTTTTATTTCAACAATTAAATTTGAAGATAAATCCAAATGATTTAAATTAGGAAGATTTTTAAAACCGTCCTCTTCAATTGTACTTATTCTTGAATTTTTCATCTTGAGATAATTTAATTTAGGAAACAATGAAAAAGTTTCCTCATCAATATCGTGAATATGATTTAATGATAATTCTAATCTTTCCAAGGTACTTGAAACTGGTTTTAGGTTTATTAGATCATCTCTAGCTAATCTTAATTTATTCAATTTTAATTCTTTAATGTTAGTAAGAAATTTTAAATTCTTCTTAAGATCTTTAACTGGTAATTTTAAATTGTTACTAATACATAAATTCTCTAAATTTTTGATAGGTTTAAACGAATCATCTTCAATTTCGTCCAGATCATTATTGCATAAACATAACTTTTTCAAATTATTCAATCCTTTAAAAGTCCCTTTCTTGATATCGGCAAATTTTTTATTCATAGATATATAGAGCACCTAAAAACATAACGTACTATTAATTATATAATTATTACCTTAATAAATTCATACCTCTAATTTTTTTAAATTAATAAAAGCTTCGTTAGCAATCTTCTCAAATTCTGAATTAGAAATACGCAGTAACGTAACGCTTTTGTAGCAATCGGGAAATTTTTTTAGAGTTGATCCATGAAAATTTTTTATTGTAACATTCTCATAATCTTTTGTAAAAACTGGTATTTCTTCATATCCTGCACTGGCATCAAATACTCTTGTTTTCTGGGGACTGATATTTCTTTTATTAAATTCATCAGATAAACAGTAGTGTAGTAAAATTAATCCAAGTAAAAAATTTATTAAAATAGACCTCTTCATTATTTTTAATATATTTTTTTAACTTGTTCTTATGTATTTTCGGGATAAAAAGGCCTTAACTCTTGTGTACGAACGATCAGGTAAAGTCGATTCTGTTGGCCGTGTGCCAAAGGTGAGCTGTTATTCTAATCGATCGTATTGCGGTATAGGCTGATATCAGAATTAGAATTCCTAGCTTTTTTCTGAATGTTAATTTAGCGAGTATTCTTATTATTGAATGCAATAAAAGAAATATAAATGACAGCGATCTCTATCTATCTCTATCCTACTGATTTTGGCTTTGAACGTTCAAAAAAAGAAGAATCTAATACCTTTGAGAGATTACGTAATGAAATAGTTTCTTTCTTTATTTTATGTACAAACTATATTTGTATTTTAAAGCGAAAGTAAACGTTTCAAATAATTGAATCAATTATTCTTTCTTTATCTATATACTGTATATATATATATATGTGTGTGTGTGTGTTATATTATGTCATTATATAGTACTTTTATAATATGATTAGAGTCATTTTTTTATATTAAGAATGAAAAATAAGATGTAAAGTAAAAATGTTTTCACACATAAACAAATATTACTTTGGAAAACTTTCTTTTCTCTTTAGGCTTTGTCCCGTCATCCTTACTAAGACTTAACACCATTCAACCAATGAGTTGTCATCATTCCTTTACCCTATTAATTTTAATATACATTTAGTAAATTATACTATTGTTCATTTTGATATTAAAATATTGTTATTTTTTCGATAGAGGGAGCGGCAAGCAATTAATTAAAAAGAGAAAAAGCTATCTGAAAAATTAGTGCTGCCATCTCCTAAATAAAATTCTAGTTTACTTAATCACCTTATCTTTTATATTATTTGCTGTTGTTTATTTAGACTAAGTGAGGAAATGGATAAAAAATAAAGAAAGATAAATATATATATATATATAAAAGCTATGTAAAACGTTATTATTTGATAGTAATAGGCTTGGATCGACATACTTTAACAGATATACTTCCTCGTTCCTCAAATAGGAATTTAGCATCTGTTTCCTCTGCAGCTTTGCGGAAATTATCTGATGTATGAATGCGATTTGCTGCCGATTTTAATGAAAGATACAATAAGTTAATTTGTATATGCAATAAACTATTTAAATAGGAAAAAGCGTAATCCTTACATAATCCCGTACTCTCCATTCTTGAAGACGTATTTATTGTATCGCCAAATAGGCAGTATCTAGGATTTTTTAATCCAACAACTGCCGCAACAATTGATCCTAAAAATAGGAAAATTATCATTATTATAAATCTTTGAAATTAATACAGTGAATATGTTACAGCAAATATTACCGCAATTTATTCCAATCCTTAAAGGTAGTGGGTCATTAGAGCCAGGTAAACTAAGAGTGTTTGCTAAGTTCATGATTGATAGAGCGAATAGGCCTATATGTTTGGCATGTTCTTCTTCTTTTGTAGGAACACCACTAGAAACTAAGTAAGTATCTGCTATAGTTTCTATCTTGTAAACTTGAAAGTTAATAATGCACTTGTCAAATGCCCTGTCATAGTAGGATTATAAAAATAAAATACCCCTATGTAGATTGTAAAATTGAAAGATTAAATTTGTAAACAGGCACAATTATGTAAAATAGATTAAATAAAATGGCAAAAATTAATCGTCTGCTGATAAAAAAACGTAAAAATTTGTTCGTTAATTTAATTATTATTCTAATTTTATTACATAGACATATTCTATTCTTAAATACAATAGATAATTACTATTTAATGAAAAGAGACGATTTTACATCGATTTTAGAATAGTACAGAATAGCTTTACATTAACTTTACACCCTTGTCAATAAATGTATAATAGTGTATATTTCTCATTCGTTTATATATTCCTGATATAAATCATCTAAATTTAGCTGACTAAATAGGGACAGAACGCAATGAATTATGTATAATCTCAATCTAAAGGTAGTAAATATATCTATACGTATATAGTATATATAGTAGTATATATACAGTATATACTAAGTACTACTCTACAGATTATAAACAGATATAATAATAGTAGCAGAAAATTGAATTATATGTAAAAGCATTCGTTTACTATATGTGATAATATATTTATCAAGTGCGATTTACATTGTCTACAAATAGCTAAATAAGAGAGGCAGTTATCGGTTAAAAAAGAAATAGAGAGAGAGAGAGAGAGAGAGAGAGATTTTCAACTAATATTTAATAATTTATAATATTCATACTGAACCATTTACAAAAATGTTACTAAAAATAAGATGCTATTTTCTTCCATTTTCAAATAAATAACTGATTTCTATAATTGTATTTGAAAGATACGCGTAATTAAGAAACTATTTAATTTACTAATTCTTGTAAGATCAAAAGATATGTGAATGGGAATTGTCACCTCTATTTTAGAATTAATATTCTGTTATACTGTACTTAACTAATTATGAATACTCCATAGCATCGTCTGTATCTTTGTCTTGTTACATTCCTCTTCCTCTTTGTTTCAATATCTTCTTTAGGTTACATGACCAAAGTAGCAATCAGTTTCATATTGATAATTAGTTTTCTACCTTTATTTTTTTGTAAAGGAGCTACTTATCATTAAGTAACTGAGCTGAACTAAACTTCTTGAACAAGATATGTTGTATAGTCCTATATTCTCTTTCAAGTATTGATAAAATTTAGCAAAAATGAGCAATGAAGAAAATTATAATTATAAATAAAGTGTAAAAATTCTTTCATCTTTTCAAGTAAGCATCTCTGTTGCCATAGGGATCTTATCTTAATTCGATTGCGAATAAAACGATAAATAAACATAAAAAATAGGTAGAGAAGGGTTTTTTTTTACTTATATGTTTTATTATTTCTGTTTTTTACTTAAGAAAATATACATTATACAGTATGTTAACATAATCAACATAATATGTATGTATATATGTAAGGTTGCAAGCATGTACTCTACTATATGCTCAGACAACTACTCTAATGTAATCCCTTCAAAAAAAAAATACTTTTTAAAAGACCGACTTAACCAAGAGTCCTCTTTCCAAGTGGAAAAGTGGTTTTTTTTCTCTTTAATACATTGTACGCTGTATACGGTATATTGTATAGTCATTTTATAGTATAATATAACTATATAAAGAATATAAACGGTCAAGTATTTTTTTTTTCAAAAATGTAACTAAAATATTATTCTTCCTTTTACATTTAAATAATGATGCTGAAGTTTTAATAATAAATTCGCCATCTGTTCATTTTTTGAACAAAAGTCACAATCTGTTAAATATGATGGTACCTTTATTAGACTCTATCCTTTATAATAAAATTAATGGAAAATTCTATTTCATTCGTTTTCTGACATTCATTCAGATATCTAATTAAGAATCTTTTACTTCTCATATTTCTAATAATTCTAGAATTAAAATATTCAAGTAATTATGGAAAGGTGGATCGGGAGAGTTGCTGTTCTAACTGGACCAACAGAAGGCATGGGACATTATTTGGCTAAACAACTCGTCGAATGTGGTTTAATTGTTGCCGGAGTAGCCAGAAATGTTGAGAAAATGAAGGTAAGTCATTTTTGTTAAGTTATTTTTTAAGCTGCTTATTAATAAGGTTTTCCTAGACACTTCTTTAATTAATTGAATGTTAAATCCTACCAGAGTCATTTTGTAGATTCATATTAATAAAATTAAATGATAATTAGTTTTTAAGATTAATTAATCATAGTTTAACTAATATTAAATTTTAAAATAGAGTTCTCTTATATTTTCTTTTTCCTTGTTAAATCAGAAAATGGAGGAAACTTTGAAACATAGCACAGGTCGTTTTGTAGGATTCTTTATGGATTTGGAGGATGAAGATAGTATAACAAAGAGTTTTGAAGAAATTGAGAAAACTCTTGGTCCTGTTTCCGCTCTTATAAATATGGGAAGTTCATCGTCTAACTCAAATTTGTTAGAGGACTCTATAGAAGCTTGGGAGAGTACTATTAATGTAAATACCTATACAATATCAAAAAGAATAAAGATTTCATATTTAGAATTTGAAATCAAGACAAAAGATTGAGAGTGAACATGTACGTGATCTAATAATTCCTTTTGTGTCTAAAATAATAGGTTAATGTTCTGGGTCCAGTAATATTGATGAAGCTTGCTATTAAATCTATGAAAAAGAATAATATCAAAGGAAACATAATAAATATAGGAGGGTAATAAATCAAAGAAAATTTATAATAAAAGGGACTCTTTCCTATTATTTCTATTTCTTTTTCTTTTTTTGGCAGAACCGCGAGCTACTATACTTCAGTGTTTCAAGATTATCACTTCTATTCAGTTTCCAAGTTTATTCTAAGAGCTTTAGGAGATGCTCTCCGTATGGAATTTAGAGCAAATAATATTCCAATTAGAATTTGCGTATGTGAAATTCAACAGTTAGTCTTTTCGATGAGTAACAAAATTATATATTTGTCTTAAAAGCATGTTGGACCTGGACATATAAAAACGGGCGTTCAAGATAGACTTGGGTTATCAGGCGAAATCATAGAAACAGGATTCCTATACGTAAATGATTTCTATATAACTATTAATAAATGTATTAATTTATTTCATGTTTATTTTCGTAGTATGCCAGTGAATTTTATCATATGCAAAGCCACAAACTACCACGAAAATTTCCATTTAAATGTGACGGAGATAATCTTTATCATAATAACGTTTTACCCGTAAAAATTCTCTTCATTTTCATTATTTAGATAATATAAGCTAATTTATTTTTTTTTTGCTATCAAGGCACTCGAGATGAATGATGTTACGTCAGTAATAATTGACATCTTATCTAAGAGAGATGATGCAGAGGTTAAAAGCTTTTCGATCATGTTAATTAATTATTATTAATTTGTATTTTCCTTATAATTTAGATTATGGATGTTATCATGAAACCAACTGATAGGTTCGATTTCTTTAAATTAAATATATATACTAGTATATATATATATATATAAGAGAGAGAGAGAGGGACAGAGAGAGAGAGAGACTAATTAAGCAATTATCTTTATTTATGTTATTTTTCAGACAAAATAGTGTGTTTGAATCAGATTTATACTGGAGATCTTGATATATGAAGAAGATAATTGCCAAAATTAAGGACCGAAGAACTAACTAGTCATCAGTTTTAGAAAATTTAATGAATTCTTTAACCTTGATCATTAATAATAAAGAATATAATATCTAATAACACATCTAAATGTCTTTTATTATTAATATAGCTTTCTAACGCTTTTATTCTAAATAAATATATTATTGTAGTTCTTTGTGCCACTTTAGCAAGTAATAAACTGATCTGATACGAGTTTTTAGTTTATTAGTCCTATTAAATTGAATGTAAAGATTATAGAAAACTATGAATATTGCGTTAACTGTTTAATAAATAAAGAATACAAGTAAGTGTATGAGGCTCACCGAAGAATTCTAAGAAGCTCTTTAGATATTCTATCTTTTCTTACCATTTTTTAAGCTTAAGTAGTTGTATTGACTTTCAAAAATTTGTATAGGTGTTAATATATGCTATAATATACCTATATATACTATATAAATATATTTAAAACTATTAATATTATAAGTCTCTTGGTTAAACGAGTACAAACATCTTGCTTGTTGAAATATAGTGAGAAATAGGCTACAAGATGTTGTAACCTTCATAGAAAAAGCATAAAAGGTTTCTTTTTCCTAATTGTTCACCAAATTTAATAATATATAATTTATTTGTCACCCAAGTAACCTTTGAAAATCTATATATATTAAAATTTTCTACTCTCTATTGTTTTTCAATGATCTTAATTTAATTGTTGAAGCAAAGAAAATGGAAAACAGAATACCTATTGATTTACTGTTTATACTGTTATATATAATTGAATATAATAAAGATGTTTATACAAATCTATTAATTAATTACTGGATATAAATATTAATATAGCTCCTTTAGTCAAATAAAATATTTTATGGAAATTTTTCCAATACAATGGAATATTAGTTTCTATTTTATAGTACCTGCAATATTTCTTTCTTTCGTTCTTTCTTTCAATCTATCTTTCTAATTTCTTAGGTCTTAATTACCAACTAATTACTTTAAATACATTTTTGCTGCCTCTTTTTTTCTAAGTAAAGATGATGTAAGCCTTTTCCGTGAAGAATAAAAGAAGAAGATATTCATTTGTATTTCATCCTTTAAGTAGTACTGCAGTTATGTCTATGCAGTATACATATATATATATATACTGTATATATATAAATGTATATATATGTATATTGTAAAGTCTACTGCATACTAGTAAGATGATCCACTTAAACATTTAATTTATTAGCATACATTTGTAACAAATATATGAAAAGAGCCTAGTTTACTTTAAAGCGGTATGTTTCTTTTTAAGCTATTTGGTTACAACCATGAATATTATAATTTGTAAGATTAAAAATTCAAGTGCTAATAAATTACATTTAAATCACGGTTGTAAAATGTAAGAGAGGTATTTAGGTGTCTTTTTTTGAAGAACAGGTACGTGACAGTCTCTTAGCTTATCATGATTTCGTGATTCCTAATCATTTCTTCCAGAAAAGTAGATGAACTAAAAACCTTGCAAATTTTGTCTCTCTCTCTCTCTCTCTCTTCTCGTATTTCCTCTCTTCCTATTCTGGTATTTTTTGTTTTGATGAACTCCAGCTTTATTCCTTTATATGTTGTTCGCTCTCGTTTAATCAAGAATTTATCTCATCTTGATAGTTCCTTATACGCTATCTATTATTATTCTATCTATAATCTATCCAGCCGAACATTATTAAAAGATTCAATGAAATTTCATCTTTTCGGAGGTGAGAGGACAATTAGAATGTATAAACAGTGATAAACATAAAAAGCCAACTATAAATACAATACATTTTTCTAAAGAAGATAACGTCTTCTCCATCTTGTTATTTTATTTTTACATGTTTTCTCTAGATGTATAGATTATCCATTACATTAATATTTATATTGAAGTACTTTCTAGAAAGAATTATACGCGAATAGAAGAATTAAAACTTCTCCCGATATTAATCATGTACATCAAGCGTTAGAAGCAATTAACTGTCGTTACAAGTCTATAACTTAAAAGAAATAGCACCGAGTAAAAAGCTCTCGTTTTATTAAATAATTTTCGGTCAAGAAAGGGAAAAGAAACATAGATAGCAAGCTAACTAGATAGATAGATTGATGAGAATAACTCTGTAAGATTTTCTACTTTACTGGGTTTTACAGTTTTGTACTTATCTACCTAGATTATTCTTAATAACCTTTAAAAAAAGCGTTTTAATTCAAAGCGTCTCCTTCCCTATGTTTTGTTCATTCGTGACAAAAGCGTCTCTTCGAGAGAGAGAGAACAAGTAAGAGTAAAAGAGAAGGGAAAGGGTGGAAAATGTCAATGAAACAAATACTAAAATATTGTTAGTAAAAGTAAATAGAGACGAGTCTATGTTTAAGTTAAAACATATAATTATTCATATATCTACTTACCCATAAACCATATTTAAAAGATCGACAACTTCCAATGGAGAATACTCGACAGTGTAGTCGTTAAAGCCATAAATATCGCTAAAATAAATGGAGACGCTCTCGAAAACTTCCGGTTGAACTTCGTGACCATCTCTTAATGAATTTGCTATTTTAATTGGTAACATTTCATGAACAAGTGTTTCTGCCTCTCTAATATCTGTCTGAGTTCTTTCGACAATGATTTTATGTCTAATTTCTCGTTGTGTCAAGTTAAAATGTAAACTTTGAACCATTTTAATAGTTTTCCGACAATCGATTATTTGCAAGAAAATACTGAGAATAAAGAGCAATATTAATAATGATATACTGAGTCCAGAATGAATCTTATTGACATGACTTTCAGTATTACAATCTCGAAAGAAATTCAATGTCCTCTTCCTCCAAATTTCAACAGTTTTAAATAGAAACGTTAGATTACAGCTATTGATTGTCGGGTAGTTGGTTATAGTAAGTTGATGCTGAAACCTATTGGAGCTGTTGCATAAATAACACTTGATGATATAGTCGGCTAAAGAGACCATAGAATAAGTGTAATCTCGAGAAACATATTCTATTCCATAATTTTCATTATACTGTTGAAAATTATTATTTACTCTGTTAAAGTAAGAACATAATTCCTTAATCACAGTTTCATTTTTTCCATTTACACATATCATCGTACTTTGATTATTGCAATTAGACCATGTTGACGATACTAGAATGTAGAAAGCGATAAATATTTTTTTTAAATGTTCTCCTTTGAAGAATTTACTAAAAATAGAATAAAATATATATTTACCTTCTTTGAGTTTGAATTGTTGTTGTTGACTGGAAATGTTCGAAAGAAGTTGATTAATAATTGTATATCCTTCTTCAATTAGTGTACTATCTGAGCAGCGAATTACATCATAAAATCTATAAAATAGTTCAATTGGTAAGGCCAGGAAAAGAAAGAAACATGGTAATGAATGATTGAACAATATCTTCTTTTTTATATTTCCAAAGGGCTTTAGAGAAGATCCAGATTTATTCCATTCAAGAACAAAGCTCTTTCCGGATAAAGATATTCCAGATAAGGCAGATAGAGCTGGCGTTCCGTTTAAAATTCTTGACATATTGAAAAATTAAAGAAATTCTATTCAGTCTATTGTGTTACATTTCCTTTTTATACTAATGTTGCAAATATTAATTGGATTCAAGAAAGCAGGCGTATTAGCTTTAATCTACTCTGGTCATTACTTTTATCTTAATGCCGTGATATTTGTATTCACTATCACGTTTTATCCATAATTTAGACGGAAAAACATCAAACACTGAGAACACAGTCCCGACTTGTACTGCAGTTGGCATTGAAGTGGTATCACTACAGCGTGGCGCTTTTAAAAGAAAATCGCTTTTCCCTTCATTTTCTTTATAGCGAAGACTAATTTTTATTTTCTTCCATACTCTTTTTCTTTTACGAATGGCTCATCTTTTTTTAACGAAACCTCTTTTCTTCCTCAGTAAAATTACTCCTATCTTATTATTATTATTACTATTAACAGTGTTATCTTACTATAATGACAGACTAATTAATTTTCTATTGTTAGTTTTCAAGTATATTTTTAATCAAAAAATTAAAATTTAGTCCTTTTTTACTCCATTCCTGCTCCTTTCTTTCGCTCTTTCTCTCTTTTTTGCTTTTTTATTCATTCATTGATTTCCTTCTTTTTTTCTTTTCATTTTTCCTTCCGATTTTCATATGTTTAACTAGCTGACTTATTAGGGAATTTTTAAATAAAATTCTCATCTTCTAAATAAAAGAAGGAAGAAAAAGAAGCAAATTAATTTACCTCGTTCGCCTTGTCTATTTCTTTCCCCTTTTTTCGTGTCTAAATTTAGAAAATACCGCTCAATATGGATTTATCTTTTAAAATATAAATTATATAATAGAGAATATCATATATTCTTTCAGTGAAAAAGAGACAGATAGTTTGGCTGATAGACGAGAGAGAAAGAAAAAAAATGAATTGTTTAAAACGATTATCAGTTTTTAAGTTATGAAAACTTGTGTTAAAAGGCCAAAATTACTTAGTCTTTGTTTTTATGAATAAAAAATCTAGAATACTTTTCTTTTTATCATTAAACTGCCATATTATTGGAGCAAAGGGAATTTCAGATTAGAAAATTATATCACCAACTAATCGGATTATTTAGAAGAGAATCTTCAAAGATTTTCTTTGAACATATACATTATTGATAACCATAATGATATATATAGAAACTATACGTTAATTCACATGTATCTAAAGTACGAAGTTTATTTTATTCATAACTATTGTTATATCTTATTATTATTACTAATTGTTACAATTTCTAATTGATAACATATGCAAATTTATTAAAAAAATGATAGTATAATAATATTTTTTTTAATAAAAAAAAAAGAGAAATGAAATATAAATTGAACAAAACTTTATTAAAATTCGATCTCGTTTCTTTGATTATTCTTTTCAATGGAGAATAATTAAAGAGAGAAAACAACTTAGTCGACCCTTTATATATTTATAATCAATTATATTTTTTACAATAAATACTCTCTAAACAGTCTGGTTGTTCGATAGGTTCTTTTTTATATAGATATATTTAAAAAAAAGCTATTTGCTCGCATTATAGATTTACTTATTGATATAAATATTATTGATTATATTTCAGACTTAGAACTATTTAAACGCCACCTAGTGGAATATATATAAATTAAAGTATAACGAATTAACAAGGGATAAGTAATATTCGTTCTGTCAAGCTATAGAATTGAAAGACAACATATATATAGTTATATATTTGTCGCCATTTGACAGTTTCAAGACTACAACTTATTCATCTAACTTAATTGATTGAATAGAGACTCTTAACGTTTTAATATCCTTTCATTCGTCAATCACTTTCCCTATATAATACTTTAGTTTTAGTTACGTTTGCTTTTTTCCCATTCGGTCGTTTAATTGGATAGCATGACATAACAGTATATGCATCTACTAAATACATAATATAAGTGAGTGCGCCATCTGGTATATAAAGCAGTTCGATAGAAAAGACAATAAAGACCAATAAAAATGGAGAAGAGCTGAAGTTTGGAGAATTCCAAAAAAAGAGCACACTAATTCAAAGGGTAGGGCTTAGTTATCTTTGTTCAAAATAATTGGCAGCTCGTTCAATTCCAGTCTGTAATTTTGAATAACAATTGACAAAGAAATTCATTTATGCAATACTATACAAATGTTAAAGTTGAAATTAACTGTTAGGCGATAAAATAGCGATTTTAATGATTAGAGCAATTTCTGTGGCATGTTTTAGAACATTTATTTTTAAAATATGTTACCATTGGAAGATAGGAAGCTTTGTTCTACCGCTATATCCCATAATACGCGCGACTATATAAGAGATCCAGCACTTGAACAATTCTCATTTGAATCCGAGTACAAGGATAGTTCAATTGTAAGTTTTACAAATATATATATATATATATAAATATATATATTTTCTAGTATTCTAATACACTACAAGGAGGAAGAACAAAAAACTAAACATGGAAAAGTGGGCTGGTAAAGTTGCGATTATTACTGGAGCATCCGAGGGTATGGGTAACCTTTTAAGTAAACAACTAGTTGAACATGGTGTCATTGTTGCTGGAGTTGCTAGAACTCAAAAAAAATTAAAGGTAAAGATAAATTTAGTAAAAGAATAGCGTTTTTATTGACCCTAATGCTTAAAATTTTCATACATCTAGGCAATGGAAAAAGAATTGCAAGGCAAGAAAGGACGTTTTCATGGCTTTCAAATGAATTTAACTGAAGACAAAAGTATTCATAAAGCTGTTGAAGAAATTGAAAAAGAATTAGGCCCAATTGCCATTCTCGTAAATATGGGAAGTACAGCAACTGGTACACCTTTAATAGAAGATTCCACTGACGCTCAAAATTGGACTCTTGAGGTAAGTTGTTAATAGAATAAAAATGTCTTTCTTTTGAATGTAGTTTTACTATTAAAAGATCTATTTTATCCTTTAGATTAATGTTGTCGGAGCATGTCTTTTGATGAAATTAGCGATCGAATCGATGAGAAAGAATAACATTGAAGGACATATCATCAATGTCGGAGGGTAAATTTCGTCAAAAACTATTATCAGCATTTCTAATTTATGATTTATCATTTATTTAATATTTGCAGAACTGCTAGTTATTTTACTTCTGTATTTGATGATTGTCATTTCTATTCTGTGTCAAAGTTCATACTAAGAGCTTTGGGAGACGCTCTCCGAATGGAATTTAGAGCTAACAATATCCCAATTAGAATTGGCGTAAGTTGTGATAAACGAAAAAATATCAAATGAATAATAACAGTAGTAATAATAATTATTGTTAAATAAAGCATATCGGACCTGGACACGTTACTACAGGTGCTCAAACTCGAGCTGGCTTAAAAACGGCTCATATGTACGAAGGATTCAAAGAGGTAAGTTACAATAAATTTGAATTATTTTCATTATTTTGACATACAAACACTGTTACAGTTTGCAACTGAAATATACGAAATGAGCCCAAAAGTTCTGCCAAAGAAATTCCCATTTAACGCTGACGGAGATAACATTTATCACAATGATATCCTACCGGTATTATAGATAAAACTAAGTGTGTTTTAACTGTTTCCTTATATTTATATTCAATATTTTTCAGGCTTTAACCATGGAAGATGTCATAAGCACTATTTTAAGAATGCTTTCATCTCCTCAAGGAGCTGAGGTACTAACATTAATTTTATTCTTTATGAGCAAATTTATATTTATTTCTTTTTCCTCTAAATTTCACTAGATTATGGACATTATCATGAAACCAACTGATAGGTAAATTAATATCTAATTGCAGTTAGTATATATATATATATATATCTACATATTTATTCTTCAACAGACGAAATAACATGTACGAAACTGATTTGTATTGGAGAAGTTAAATATAAAGTGTTCATTTATCAGAAGATAACTTCACTTTTATGATGAGTAAAGTTAGGTTAAGGTGTTGGTGAAAAATAATAAAAAATTTGGAAAATTCTATAGTAAATACAAAAAAAAAGAATGAAATTCAAGCATTTCAACTGTGCAACAACTGTTTTTTAACTTTCAATGAAGCATATTTCCTGGAACATTGATTAGTAATGCGGGTCTATTGTCTGTCTATATCATAGATGACGGTAGCAATAAATAATGTCTGTTTCCCCATTCATTAAATAACATAAAAAAATATATAGATATTTTCTACTGATATATTTAATTAACTGATTAATTAGTTAATTAATGATTTTAAATTTGTTATTGAAAGTCTTTATTTCATTACGAAAGAGAGAGAAAGAGTTGCATATATATATATATTCTTTTCCCTTATATTTCTTAAAACCTATTTTTTGTTCAAGTTGATTTTTCATAGGTAGAAAAAATGAAAGAAAACACTTATATTTAGTAAAAAGGTCACGGTGGAACGCCAAATTATCTACAAAATTAGATATAAGACAGAGAAATTATTTGTCATATACTAAGAAATAAAAACAAAAAAGGTTTCATACAACATTCAATAATTAATTCATTGAGAGAGTATAACGTGAATAGTAAAATAAGAAAATACATTCATTATACAAGAATAATAATGTTTAAATATATTTTTTTTTTAGTTCCATCTCCCATTTCTCTTTCAAGCCTTTTCCTCAGTTTATCTTTCTTCCATAAATAGTCCATTCTCTGGACATTCTTTTCTTTTTATACAAGTATCCTTAGCTGTTAGGTATTCGACCAAGAAGTAAAATTATTTTCTTTTGAATATATCATATTCCGAGTGACGCAGATAATATAATAAGTATTGTTAGTTATATAAGAAAAAATATGAATCGTTTTCTTTAAAGTATTGATTATTCATTTTAAAAAATGACTGTACAATTATAATGTAACAAGAGAAAGAAAGAGAGAGAGAGAGATAGAAAGAAAGAAGAAAGAAAGAGAGAAAAAGAGATGGATTGATAAATAACTCTTTAAAAACAAAAAAAAAGGAAAGTTTCTCATTCTTTCGTGTCTTCAGTCTTTTTTTCTCTTCTTCTATTTCTTTTCATTTTTTTCAACTGTGATCTTTTTCCTAATTCAGTTGTTTACATCAAGTATAATTGTCTATACATACATACACATTTATACTGTATATATATATGTATATATATAGAAATTATCTTCCTCTTATGTACGATATATGGAAAATTTACTGTACAGTCGGTTTGTCTCGCTCGACAAAAAAAAGAGTAAAAGGAATATGGATAGAAGTAAAACTCTAAAAATTTTGGATATTATATAAATAGATATGAATTGAAATAAACTACATTTCAGTTTCAGACATATTAATTTGCTCACTTTCTATTGTTGGCTCTAGAACTGTTATAAATTCACTCTTTTTTCCGGAAGATGTTGATGTTTTATGAGTTCTTGCTGAATTTGATGTTAACTCAGTCAAACCATCGTCTTTATAACCCATAGCTTTCTTCATTAAAAGCATTTTCATAGTATCATTTGAAACCGCTGTAAAATCATCGCTGTAAGATCTTTTAATTTTCTCATTTCCCGAGTCGTCCGCAGATTGTATGCCTTTACTTAATCCACCTTCAACAGTTTCAGCTAGAATAGCTGCTGGTACAGAAGCTCGTTTTTTTACAGGAGATCTCTTTTCTACCATAAAAGCTTTTACTGTTCCGGAACTCTTTCTTCTTTTATTTGAACTGTCGCTCGTACAGCTATTTCTTCCCGACGAGCTCGGTCCAGCTAATTCTAGAATGCTATGAGGTGCACTCGAATCTCCACCTTTTTGACTTCCATTATCTGAAGCCTGTTCGGTGGCTCCCTCTGATGTTACCTCGTTTAACACAGGTAGATTTGTTGAAATTCTCCTTCTTCCCAACTCGTAGGGGTGTATTGAAGTATCTTCAACTAAATAGTCAGCTAATTCGGAATTAAATATAAAAGTAGCTCCCTCTCCATGCAATGGGCAAGCCTTTAGTGTGCTTGTGCTACCAGATGGTGCTGTTACATGTAGTGGAACAAAATCCAAGCTAGCACTAGATCTTTTATTCGAAGCTTGATTGTTTGTAGTTGAAGCTTTAGGAGCTTTAGGACTGGAAGGACTATGTGAAGTATAATGTTGAAGCATAAAATCTTCTCTAAGAATCGATCCTTCTCGCCATTGAAGCTTTGCCAGGAATATTAAAATTAAAAACCACGCAACTAACATACCACATCCAGCTATGTAATTTCCAATGCAGTAGTTATCTAAATGAGATTCTATCCGTTCAACTATAGGGGGGCATATTAATACTGCAACACTTTTGACAAAAATGGACCAACTTCTAGCAAATGGTCTTAGATTATTCTAAAGTTTGTTTGATGTTTTTATTATTTTAAATAGTAATTCAGTTATATAAATCTAATTAAAAAACATCAGAAATTTTAAAGTATTTCTTGTGTTTTCTCTTAGTCTAATTTGTATAAATTAACAGCACAAGGATTTATTCTCTGATAGAAAATAATAGGGGAGGGAAAGAAGGTAGAAAAATTGCACCTATGGGCTGAAAATCCTTTAATAATAGAAGTTTAAAAGAGACTAATAAGATCCTTTCTCGCATTTTTGTACATCTTTGTTAATTTCTTTTCGTTCTCTATTCTATTATTTTGTTTTTTTTTAAATAAACTACCTTTTTCTCCTTAAAGATAAATTTTAACGATTAAGATGATATTTGGAAATTTTTAATTGTTTCTCTTTAAGAAAATAATCAAACAAACTTTAGTTAAATATGATAATTCTGTGTGACTCGCTATTGTTATTCCACCCATAAAAAATCCAAACGCTGCAGTTGCTATATACAATATACTTTGACTATTTGATAAGACTATGACCAGAATAATAAAAGCAATGGTTAACAATTGACTTTGGAGCATAAATAGAGGACCAACATCCAATCTCTTAGCGATTGACGGCCAAGACAAGTGACCAATCGTGGCTGTTAAACCACAAATTAACAAAAAATATCCCCTTATCAAACTTTCGTTGTCCGATTGCAGTCTGTCAACGTTGAGCACCTAAAGAAATTATGTCAATTAGATGACGTCAAAGTACCAAACGACACCTAAATGGTAATATTTTTTTTATAAATGTACAATAAATAGAAATGTATATAAAATAGAAAGCAAGTGGCATTTGCATAAAATTTTCAATTTTTTCTTCATGCTGTATACTTAAATAATAATAATTTATATACAGCTATTTATACAAAATACTAAGAATACTGTACAATAAATGTACTGCATCTACTAAACTCTTATATTATATTGTTTATAATAGTAATAATAATGATAATGGTAATATTAATAATAACACTATGATTGAATAAATACATTACACATTACGTTTCCCTCTTTATTTTTTACATTAGTAAATATTTCCAGTTAATGCTTATTGTAAGCTTGACTATATGTATCACTTATACAGTATACAACTTCGTTACATAGTATATATATATAACATTGCTGATCATTTACAATTTTATAATGTGTTTCAGACCATATAAGATTCAGTACACAATAGTATTCGTTATAGATATTAAACCATTCTATCTATAAATAGATGTTAGATACTTGCAGAAATAACAATAAGACTAATAATAATAATATTTTAATCAGAAAAAATTTAACACGTTTCTCTTTTTTTGTACATTAAAATGATTAAAGGAGAAAATAGGTTTATTTCTTTATTTTTAAACATTTCTTCTAGGAAGTTGTTTTTTTTTCTTATTGAAAGAGTGTATTACTAATTAATGAATGCATCTGACATTTTAAACCCGATTTTAGTATTATTCAGATGGACAAAAGAAAGAGGGTCTAAGCTGTTAATAAAGGATATTCTATGCTCTCATTAAGAAATAACGAGTCAGTCTACAATAAGAATATCACATAGGAGAGGTGATAAATAACTTAAATTTTTTACTACCAACATCTATTTGATTTTCGTTTTTAGCCAATATCTTATACATTTTCCATAAACTAAAAATTTTTCAATTACTGTCAAGTGTCATATCTAAATTTGGTTGCTTTTATTTTTAAAATAATATCTACTTTGATCTTTCCCCGAGCAAGGCAAATTAAGCTAGCACCTGGATAATTAGGTACACACCATTTAAGAAAGAAAACTAGCATAAAAATAAAAGTCCTCTCTCTCTGACTTATATTGTATATTGTATATAAAATGTATATTAAAGATACGTTATATGAATATGTTATAGAAATTATTAAAGAAATAAAAGAATACTAATTAAGTGAACTCAATTAATCGAAGAAAAATTAGATATCCATATGCAATATGCGTATTTTTAAAAAGGTATAATGATATATCAATATATCGATACAAGTATATTGATTTATGGGTTTGTAGGCATAGAAAAGGGGGAGCTAAGAATAAAAACTACATGGAAATACCTTGAAAACTTTACCTAGTCACACATAAATTTACACTTACAAATTCCTACTATTTCCTTCAAAATGTCAATTAAAGCCTATTAAACAATTTAAAAGAAAAATGTTCTATTTTGCCTTAAGGAAGAAAAAGAAGGCCTATAATTTACTCTTATTTTGTTCCTTTATTCCAAGCTATTTTCTTTTTCATCTTTCTTATATAAAATATCTGAATATCTCTTTTCAGAGTTAATAACACATCTCAAATAAAAAAGAAAAAAAATAGCTTACCGTAAATGTAACAACAAGAAATAAACTGACAGTGATGAGAGTATCAATGGTAAGCCATCTCAGGTAAATTGTGTCTCTGAGAAGAGGAAGTTGAAAGCTGTATCTCCAGGGAACAATTTGTTTACCCCTTTCATCCACCTGTACTCTATGTACCACTTGCTGTTTGTTTTTAATACGTAATTAGATATGTAACAGAATATATTACTATATTTTAAATTAAAATATATAAAGACATAAAAGTAAAAACGAAGATAGAAATGAAAAGTGAGCATTACAATGTCGATCCTGTTAATATAACATTAATTGCTGGTTTAATAACCTTTTAACTTTCTCACACACACACACACACACACATACATACATACATATATATATATATATATATATATATACTATATACTCTGTATATTATACATAGAGTATTCACCTCATTCATTAATAAATAATAATCATAATAAAATCTTTTCATTTTATCGTTTTCTACTATGCTTTTCTTTATTCCTACAAGTAATTCATAACAGTCTTAACAAGCAAAACTAACAATATAAACCAGAGCATTAAAAAAACACCTTCATTAATAAATTATTAATAAAAATCTTCTTAACTATTTATCCAATAAAAATATTATAAAATTTCCTTAGAAAATGTGATGTAATTAGTAAAGATAATTGATAAATAATCACTTTTTTGTTTTATTTAAAGATTCATGTACGTATGTGTAAATATACATATAATCTTCCTTATCTTTGCATCTATGATATTCATATGTATATATATATTTGTATTTAAATATATCCTCTTCAATTTTTCCTCTCTTTTCCTCTATATCTCTTCTCATTCATTACCAGTTTCTTTTGTTGTTGCAGTACACTTTTTTGTTTTTACTTAACCAATAGTTAAATACAGTAATAATGTTTAAATATAGTACAAATAAAAAGTAAGATAAGGGTGTTAGATGGAAAAGAGTTAACTTCTCTTCTTAATTAATTATTAAAATATTATTTTAAATTAGTTTAGATGTTTTTCAAAGAATAATTTCTTGTTAAAGTCTATTATTAAAGTTAAGAAAAGAAACTTCAATTAGAGGTTGAAAAAAGAGACCGTATTTCCTAGTTTAAAACTACAATTTATCATACGAAAAACATGTTATTGTTGTTGTTATTGTTATTCTCATAGAAATGAAGTATATATATAATATATACTGTATATACATTAATATTTTTTCCCTTTTTCAATTAATAAAAGTAGTTTTTCTATCTCTTAAGTAATTCAGGAATAGATGGTCGTTTATAAAAAAAAGAAGAGTAAATAGAATATCATGGTATGGTAAAGAATGTCACTTGTACAGGTATATATTTTAATTGTAATATTAATATATTCCTTTCTTTCTTTAGTTCTCTCTCTCTCTCTTCTCTCTTCTTGTCTGTATAAAGCTCTAACCTAAACGTATATTTCTGTTGAAAATTTCAAGGCCTAGTTAACATAGTTCTTCGTCTGATGTACTTGTGTGTACTCGTAAAACTCAATTTTCGTACTTGATAACCGCCATATACGCACCTGATTGTAAGACTTTTCATTATTAAAGGCAAATCCTAGAATAAAATTCAGGCTAACAAACATGGTAGACATTTGCAATCCCGAAAACCATCCATATTCACTTAGAGAATATCTTGTCCAGACTGCCATTAACGCCATACCAAACCATTGAGTACAATAGTAACCTTTATTAACATACATCCTTCTTGTGTAAAAGTGAGCTTCTACTATCATAGCACTCGATATTTGGCACATAAAGCAACCCAAGCTCGCTATTATGCAATATGAAACTATTACATGAACATATCTATCAGCGAATGAATTGAACAGTGTGCCGACCGATGCTACAAAGCCGCCTAGAACGCATACGGCCCTCGGTGAATATTTAAGTGATGTTGCCGTTATAACAGGAGAAAGAAGACCTCCGAAACTCCAAGAAGTACTCATTGCCCACGCTGTAAGTAGATAAATTGACATTTTTAGATTATTATTATTGACATTTAATCATTCTTTCTGAAAGAATGATAGGAAAATAAATTATAATTTATCACTTATTTTTATTTATTTTTAATATTTTGGATTATATTTCTTTGTCTTTGCTTAGTTTTACTACAACTTAACAACTATGTTATTGCCATATCGCCCACTCCGCCCACCCTGCTCTCATCTTTTTAATCTTGCATACCACTTCCTACTTAATACAAGTTAAATGATTAAACCATGACAACAGTTTTGTCTTGTAATAAGAATGTAGAAGTCATCTTTTCAATTTATCAACAACGAAATGACATGGCTCTTGTTGATCCGTCTTGTATATTAATATATAGAGAATGTATATGCATACACAATAGATATATATACTGTATATACAGTATATAGTATATTTACTGTATAGTATATATATATATATATTCCTAGAGAACAAAATAAAGGGACTGAAGAGTTTTGAAAAGGTTTCTACTTTCTTGCAGAAAGATTTCTCTGGTTTCTTTTAAACGTTGACTTTATTTCTCTTTTTCTATACGTTTTCATCTCTATTCTGTCACTCTTCTATATTGTTTTATCTTTTTTTTTCTTTCAGTTCATCTTTTCAATAGAAATAATTTCTGCCATCACTGAAGGCTATGTTTCAACAGTTTGAAACATAACAACAACAACAACAACAAGTAATTAACGCTTTCACTAACAATTAAAAATGTTATCATACATTAGGAAATGAAAATACATATTGTTTTTCTTATACATTAGCTAATGACCCGGATATGTACAGATCAAAGTTACTTGACTTAATGGAGATTATAAAATTACGGGAAGTATTGGAAGTAAAAAAAGCATTCCACCATATTCTTTCCAATTGAAGGTATCACTGCTAGATATTTTCCGTCTTCAATACCTTTTTCTATTTATAAATAATTTCCTCGATATTATTTCCTTCTTTTTGTTTTTGTTCATATCTTTTATTACCTTTTATATAAAGAATATTGTATATATACAAAGGTAAGATGTGAATATCTTCTATATATATACAGTATATATGTTTATATACTGCAGTACATTGTTTACGTATACATATATACGGAAAAACATATGAAAATCATTCCAAACAATTTTCCTTTCATTTGTTAAAAGGAACAACTACAAACTAAATTATATTCATACGAATCTTTCCTGAAAAGTTTGAATTATTCTTCAAATTACTTACAAAACTATAAAATAACTCTTCTCTTAAATCGCGTGATTTACCCTATTACATTAAAACCGTGACATACGTCATGAAATTTCTTTTTTTGCGACAAACCGGAAGTTGCTTCACGCAAAGTCATTTCACTGGATATCAAAAGTGAAATAGAGTTAATAATTAAAAAAAGAGAGAAATGAAATAATTATAATAACGTTAAAATAAAATTGAAAATGTTGAATTAGATATCTTGAAGATGAGAAATATAGAAATAATAAAATCTGTAATTATGATTAGGTAATTGGATACTTGAAGAGACAGAGAGAGAGAGAGATAGAGAGAAAGAAGGAGTGATAGAAAAACTGTCAGATCTGCAAGCTATTGTCCTTTTGGTGTTTTCGTGTCAATTTAAGTTTATTAAGCCCTTTATAGAAATAATTATAATCGAAAGCTAAAATGCGGTTTCGTGAGGCAAATTTCAAGAAATGACCTTCTTCCTAAATGCATATGCTTTAATACAAATTAATATATACAGTATATACATATATATATATATATATATATATATATATATATATATATATATAGATATTTATATAGATGCTTAATAAAATATACTTCAACATGATACTTGTATAAAATCTTACACGATTAGTCATCTAGAATCAATAATTATGTTCTCTTTTAAAAAAATTCCGAACACACTTCAATAATCTTGCACTATAAAAGCCGTCTCCAGGGTTGTTATAGCGAAAGGAATACGTTCTCCTTTTAAAAATGACCCTATAGGTTACACAAATTATCTTTCCTTATAAAGGAAAAAATAAATTTTCTCTTTCTCTTTCTTCTCTCTTTCTCCTTTGACTTCTCATAAACATCTTTTCATGTTTATCTTTCTATTTTTTATACCCAAGTAATCAAAACTAAAAATAGAAGTATTCTTTTACATTAAACTATGGAATATATGATGAAAAAGAGTCAGAGACAGATATTTAGAATGCAAATAAAATAACAAAACAGAAAGGAAAATGTGAAAGGGTGTAGGAAGAATAGAAATAAAATTATTAATTAAACAAACAACTAATTAGCAGAATCTGACGTCAATTGCAAAAAAATTTTGTCTACTTTACTTTAGGAATCAAACCTCCAGCTATATTTCATAAAAGACTGAGTTAACCCTACACCAACGGCTCTCATTATAAATCGATAACAACGGTTTAGTCAGCCTATCACCCTTAATAATTAATTACTCAAATAAAACCAACTAGTATCGTATTTCGGCAGGATGGTAACGTTCTCCATTAGTGAAACTATTACAAGTAAAAAATTAAACAAGATATCTATAATTACACTTTGAAAAGTAATAATAATAACAATATTAATAATATCAATAATTTACGATCGTTTACAGCAAATCTTACTTCAGAGACTTAAGAATATTTTGAAAATGGAACGTATTACCAAATTGTAATATAATCCAGAATTACCGGAAATAATCCAATATCGGATGAATTTTTAAAAAAAAATTGATACCTAAAGAAATCTATACTTAACCTTTAAGACGAACAGATAATCTCTAATCTCTTTTACATAATCTATGATCTAGCTTCATATGTCAGACATATATGATATTTTCTTTTATCCATTTCTTCTGATTATAATTATATATAATGAATATTAGTTAAGTAAAAGAAGGATAGATAAGCGTGCACAATCTTCCCTATAATATGACTAAGTCATGTTAAACTTATTGTTCACTTTCGTGATTTTTTTGAAATTGTAAGAATGTCAGAGATTGATAGAAAGTATAAAAAATAGAAGGAAACGAATTAATAAGAATTAATTGAATATATTTATAACTTTGTAATCTCCCTCTCTCTCTCTCTCTCTTGTTGTTTTTCTTTTTTCACTCTATCATTCTTCCTTTTAAAATCTTTCTTTTTGAATAACAGATATTATTAACATAAATATTATTGCTAAATGTTAACTTTACATGCTATTCAAGCTCTGAATTTTTACTAACCAGCATCGTATTTTGTGCCATTGAAATGAACTTGAGCGTAGAGTACTACCATACTGTTTGACAGTAGCAAACCACCTGTTGTCACATTTGATAGCATCGCAACCAATAAAACGACGTAAGCCCAACTAGCATTTTTTGCCGGGAAGACGCTTAGTCGTCTATTATTAAAACGCAAGTTTGGATTTGACTTTCGCTGTTTGTCAGAGGGTAATTCAGCTTGCGTAGCACAATCCATTGTGACAAAGTGACGCTTCAGTGCGATATGACGAGGTAGGCGTCGCTTCTCTTATGCTCATATGCAACTGTATTAGATTATTATTAACCTTTTGTAGGTGGCGTGCATATGGTGGTAACTTCCGGCAAACGTTTATATGGAAATTCAAAGCTGGTGTTGGTTGACAAAATTCTATAAAGTTAAGCTTAATAAACACCTAACAGCATTTATTTTCACTCCTTTTTTCGTCAGACTTCAGTCATCAATTGTGCGTCTATGACGTTTCGAAGCCCCCAAGTACAAACTGATTTGGCCCCAATAGATAGTCGTTCGTGCGGAACAATCATATTCCCGTCATTTTGTCGTAAGTTTAAAGGCTCATTATTTTAAGTACATATTTGCATCCAATAAGTGTATTTAAGACTTTTAAAACAATTTTGACTACGCCATCTAGCGTCTCATAATTCAATTAACAAATTTACTAGTCGCTTTGATAAAAATTGGTGGCCCTTAAAAGGGCCGTTTTAGTGTTTTTAGAAGACCTTTTCGGAAACTTCTTAGGATGAGGCAGTTGCGCTCTTCTTGGGCAAAAGAACAGCTTGGATATTGGGCAACACACCACCTTGAGCGATTGTTACACCAGCCAATAATTTGTTCAATTCTTCGTCGTTCCTGATGGCCAATTGCAAATGACGGGGAATGATACGAGATTTCTTGTTATCTCTAGCAGCGTTTCCTGCCAATTCAAGAACTTCAGCAGCCAAATACTCCATAACGGCAGCCAAGTAAACTGGAGCACCAGCACCAACTCTTTCAGCTGTTTGTAGAAAGAAAAATCAGTCATTAAATTATCTCGATTTGCAAGAATCGTATTGCGAAATCTTACCGTAGTTTCCCTTTCTGAGCATTCTGTGGATTCTACCAACGGGGAACTGTAATCCGGCACGGGATGACCTAGATTTGGCCTTAGCCTTAGCTTTTCCACCTTTACCACGACCAGACATGATCAACTGACAGATATCAAGAACCTTCTTCTTATACGAATAAACTCAAATGAACACACGGGATTCTATAGTTTGATTTTATACCTACTTTCTCTACCAAAATCCTTTCCAGGAGAGCCAATGAAAACGCGGTATTTTTGGCGCGAAAACGAGATACAGACTCATTTGCATAAAACTCTCTGCCAATCACCGGCCGAGAAATGGCACTGATATGCAAATATAACTATACATAAACACTCTTTTAAAGTTATTAATATCTAGATAATTAATACAAAAAATCGCCTGATCAATCATTAATACATTATTCTAGCTTGTAATATTTCAATTTCATCCTAATAATGTGTAGGTAATGATAATTTATTAAAATAATGATTAGCCAATCAAAACACCGTGAATATGTCCAATCAACAATCAATATTGAGAACTAAAATTAATAATCAAATAAATGATATTACGAAACAAATCAAATGAAATTATTATAAAAAATGACTTAACTATGAGAATATCGTCATGATTAAGCGTTTTAAGCGTCGTTAATTCTATCATTCCGTTTATAATTTCATTAACCTTACGTTACGACACTTTACAAATGATGATATAGAATAACAATTTAATAACATCTACACTTTAATATTAATAGAAAAGAAAGAAACAAAAGACATTAAGTATTTTAACATTCAATGAATTACTGCAAGCTAACTCGATAAAACGAGAAGAAAATTTGAAATTTTTTCCCGTAAGTTTTGAACATTTCAAATATATATGACGTTACGTTGATAGTATAAGAGCGAAAGAATATTTTCCAATATTCTAACAAAGATTCATTATAAAGTAGAAACAATACTGATAACTTTAGCATAAATGAATATATTAACAATCTGTAAAAGGTCTTTTTTATTATTATTATTATTCTATACTGTAAATAGATTATCATATATGATATTCCTTAATCAATTTCTATTACATATATTTTTCACAAAAATCATCAGAGTTAAGGGAGGTTAAGATATTACATATAAACTATGGTTTTGTAATATGTAGGCTAATGTTGAGAATTATGTTATGTTCGAGTATATGTTAGAAATGACTAGATATGTCGACAGATTTACTTGACAAGACAATAGACATAACATATTTTATCAAATTAAAAGTATACCAACTGCCTAAAAAATTAGACTGTAATATTGAATAATACTAGTTATATTTGCAGATTTTACAGATATTAGATTAAGATTGAATCTTAGACGGGAAATGTATATAGTAAAATAAATTTCAGATCATCTTGTATTAGATTATTAGATCTATTCAATGCATTTCATTAACGACTTACAAAACGTTCTCTATTTTGTAATATACTTTCGCAGTCTTGGCGACTCTCTCTCTATAAAAGTAATAGGTTAAAGAGACGTTACGTCTACGTGTTTTCGATTACAAAATTTTTCATCGTTCAATATCGATCTTGTAAATTTCGCGATGTCATGTATTTTACAAATGAAATATGTAACATTCTTCTTTTCAATTGAGTATGAAACGGATATTTTGCTGTTAATATCAGAGTTGATTACGAATTACTTACTATTCATATAAATGTTACACAAATTGCCCGACTATAACTTTGATTACACTGCATTCAGAAAATGTGGATTTCGTTTATTGTTCTTAGTAAGCTTAAATTGCTCTTGTTATTATTTTTACAATTTGTTTAATTCTTTAGGCATATATATATGTAATAATAATTCAGTAGAAAAGTAACTAACAAAAGGCGCTAAACTTTTCCCGCGTTTTTTTTTACTTTACACAATAGAAATTATCTTAGCCAATAAGCGCGCTTTGAACTGGACCAATGAGCGTCGAGTATTTACTTCGAGAACGTCCAGACAACTCATTTGCATACGGATTGTATATAAAGGGGTAAATTTCTTCAGTCCAACATCGTCGAGTGTTCATACCTCAACAACCAAATCAACTCTTAAATCATCATGCCTCCTAAAGTTGGTGGAAAAGCCGCATCTAAAGGTTCGAAGAAGGCTGCATCGAAGGCCAAAGCTGTTCGCAGCACTGACAAGAAGAAGAAGAGAAGGAGGAAGGAATCTTACGCCATCTACATCTACAAAGTTTTGAAACAAGTTCATCCAGATACTGGTATCTCATCCAAAGCTATGTCTATCATGAACTCCTTCGTCAACGACATCTTCGAAAGAATTGCTGCCGAAGCCTCCAGATTGGCTCATTACAACAAAAGATCAACAATCACGTCCAGAGAAATCCAAACAGCCGTAAGACTTCTGTTGCCCGGTGAATTGGCTAAGCACGCCGTTTCTGAGGGAACCAAGGCTGTAACCAAGTACACCAGCGCTAAGTAAAGCGTCTACCTCTGAATGAATTAATTCATTTGTATAAAAAAGGCCCTTTTAAGGGCCACCAAACTATTACAAAGTACTATTATAAACCGATACTCTGAAATTGTTTTTTTATTTCTCTTGTTTTATTTCTGAAATAAACATTTTTAATGAATAATCTTAGTAGCGCATCTATATGCTTAGTAAGAAAAAGGGTAAAGATCAAAACGATCCGTTTATAGTGCATACAGTGGTATGCTCCTAATCACCATCTTTAATTTAAACCATATTTATAGTGATTCATGGCGCATAGAGGTGGTTATATAGTTCTCGATGAATAACTATAGATGGCGTTACTGTGTGTGACGATTTAGTAACTTTCGGCTATTGAGTATTTTGACGAAGCCGAAACATCTGTATATGGGAAACGGGTAGTGAAGCCAAAATGCACTTGAATTGAATAACGGACACAAATACCATTCAAATTATTCACGTTACCTCCTCAATCTTTCCACCGTTCTAAAATTAAAGCATTCCATTCGATTTGTTTCCCGACAAAACCGATTAATCTCAAATTCAGCCTACTTCCTGTCTTGCATATCAATTATGTGAAAGGAAATTGGAGAAAGAGAAACTGGTATATATTTTCTTTCCATCGAATTAACATTTCTTATTAGAGAAAATTCAATTCAAATTGTTTTTTTTCCATTTATTTAGACGCTCCCTAATTGATAAAAAAAACGAGAGAAAGAGAATTATAGGGGAATATGGGTTAGAGAATTTCTTTCATCTGTTTTTTTTGTAAATAAAAATAATCTGTTCTTTCCATGATGAATTGGAGAAGGAAGAAAGAGAGACGGACAAATAGATAGAAAGAAAAGATAGGAGAAAAAAAAGCGTCAAAAATACAAAACGCTTAATATTTAAAGGTAAAAGGGGAGGGAGGAAGGGCAATAAAGAGAGAAGAGAATAATTGTACTCGCGCGTGTCGATCACTTGCATAATCGATATAAAACTTATGAAATAGGCTAATTATAGTGATCTTAATGAGGAATAGATATTTTCTTGTATACTCTACTGTGAATTGATTAGAGTAATTATTGGTTGAAAAATGGTTGTTCATTCAAGAGATACTCGTTAAAAAAACCGGCTTAATGGTATTTTCATTGCTATTAATTTCGAGTTTTGAAACCGTATAATTATTGCGGGCGTCATAACGGTTACCCTTGTCAATTGATGCTCTTTGTTCTATTATTAAAGAAAAGAGTAGGAAAACCAATCTTTTAATAAATTCCGTTCGATTTGTATCCGACAAGACCGATTAATCTCAACCTCAGCTAACTTCCTGCCTTGCATATCAAGTGCAAAAATATGTATTAACTTATCTTTTGGAATAAAAAATCATTCGTTTTCTTCCCCTTTAATCCCCACCAGACACTTGAATGCAACAAAAATTTTCTCTGTAATCACCAAACACCCTATCGGAACACTTCAAAGACAAGGGACAAAAGTCACGTGACTCGCTTCAAGGAGCTGATTGGTCGCTGTTTGTATAGTTAGTCAAGCTCTTTCAAACGTCTGTCAGACGAGTTTGAGTTAACATCTGGATATTTTCTTTCTTCTCTGTCAAAGAGATTTTAGTAAGGAGTTGGTTCGTGCTATATTTATATATGTATATATGCATTTTTTCCAATTTTTGTTTCATTTTTCTTTATTAAAAGAAAAGTATCAGAGGAAGAGATAAAACTAAAAGTAAAGATATAGTTTTTTATTACTATTTAAAAGATGAGTAATATCCTAACCATAAAAATCATTTTATAAGCAATAAAATAAATCTGTGTAGAATAACAGTAGATAAACACCTTTAAAAACGGATTGACACTTGAAAGGTAAAATTACAAAGAAAGCCTCTTTACATACAAATACAGTGTCAAAGCATACATTTGTTTAAGTTGATAATGTACATATATATATATATATGTATATATGGACATATCTGGTAATATTTTAAGTAATTATTGTAGTAATGATCAGTTAGTTAAAATAATACAAGCAGTATCTTTTTGTATAAAATGCCAATTAAACTTATTCGTACATTACCGCATATCAACATATATCTATCTATCTGGACAGTATATATACAGTATATATATATACTGCACATATATACTTATTAAAAGCCTTACCATTTTATCTCTTATCTCTTATTCTTATCTATTCAAAGACTGTGTTATATTATTGATTAGACGCGATAATTTGCTTGTCCATAGGTATGCAAGAAAAAATTAAGGATTTGAATATAATAATGATTTATCATGGATTCGCAATGCTACTCCTAATCAGCGTCTCTTATCAACGTCAATTTGATAATGTGCCAACCGGAGGTTTGTTAATCGTATTTTTTCGAGTGTCGTTCAATAAAATAGGTCATAAATAATCTTGGATTATCGTCTAGTAAGATGGATACGCGGTAATTCTGAAAAGCATAAATTCTGATATTGTTGTTGTTGTTGTGATTAATAAAAAAGATAGGATAATCTAGGAGAGGAGAGACAGGGATATAAGAGGAAGAACGGAAAAAGATTTAAGCAAAGACATAACAGAGTATAAAGAGGAAGATAGAAAAAGGAAAAGGAAAAAAAAATGATAGAATGAAAGATTTATAGATAAATAAATATAACATTTAGTTAGATAGATGATCATAAGAAAAGAAATAGAGAAAAACACGTTAATACATTTAATTAAATTAAATACTAGACGCGCCAAATATACACGCACGCACACAACAAATTCAGGCAAACTTACAAACAAAACATGCTTAACACGCCTACCGTCCAGCGTATTAAACATTTCACTTTTTTCTATTTATCTTTTAGTAGATATAGTTGTCGATTGATTGCAAAAAGATTTTAGGGATGAAATAAACTACAAGAAAAATTCATTGGACTATTGTAAACAATAAAATTCTATATATATATATATATCTAATTATACTGTAGATATATATATTATATACTTTACATACATACAACAGTATATCTCTATACAGTATATCTCTACACAGTAAACAACATTCTTGCACTTTTGGCCGTCAACGATACGGTGCATGTGGAAACCCTTTAGACCCCCTTTTACAACTAGGTTAAAAAGTGATCTGTTGGAAAATTTAGGCAATCTTAAAATGTTAAAACACCAAGATAGCAACATTCCAGCATTTCAGTTTATCAATCACTATCTGTAATTTTAGAAGCGCTAATCGACAAGCAGATATAGTGTTATGTAACCTCGGACAGAAACAGGCACAAAGAAAATCCAATTTATAGCCGCCTTTCTATTTATTTACCTTTCATTCTGGCGTTATTGTAGCCCTATTGTAGAAATTCAGAAAGGCCAGAAGGCAATTCAAAATATATTTACAAAAAGGAGACGATCCGTCAATAAATATCTATTCAAATCTCCAATAATGAGAAAAGTTCAGTTTGAATTGTTGTAAATTTTTGCGGCTGTTTAAACTGTAACACTAGTAAATCGATTTAGTAGAGTTAAACAGTAATAAATTGGTCTATATATTCATAATTTAATCTATATAGACAGTGTGTAGTTTATAGCTCTAGATCAAACTTATTACGACGCTTCTACAATTGCACAGACAAATTGAAGTAGACCTCTGCGTCGCAAAGCGTAATAGTGATAGATGTTCTCTCCTGAAATAATCCCTGGAACAGGTGCCTTAACCGCTAAAATATTTTCCTATTTATTTATTCCTATGGTTATAACTCTAAATTAATGTTTATTCATACAATCTTTAATTGATAAACCATTAATTTCACTTTAATCGTTCAAGTTGTTTTGGACAAGAATTTCATAGTATAGTTTTTAATTATATCAAGTAAGAATAGGAAATGAACGAAAGAAGGAAACAGAAAGGTAGAACAAAAAATAAAAGAAAAGGTTTTAATTAGTAGTAGCTTGTTAAAATTCCTATGCGATTTGTAGACGTGTGCATGGACCATGTCGAAGTTAGGCGGGAAAATAACATTCCTGAACTATTCTTACCAATTATTCCATAAATAAAAAACAAGTAACCAAGTATATATATTTATACCAATTGAAACTACTTTGAGAGGGAGTACAATTCAAAAACGAATAAAGTTTTTGTAGAGAATATAATACAATTAAAGCCTTGAATAATATAAAAAAAGTAATGGTACAGGATTAAATAGCTTAAAGATGCAGCTGTCGTTAACAATAGAAATCTCTTTCTTTTTTATTTTAACATTTTTCGTCCATCTTTTTCGCTAATTCCATTTATTTATTCCGTTTGTAATTAATTAACCAGAGTAAATAAATGAATGTAGTCATATGTAAAATTCTAATTTGTAATCAGCTAATTTTTTAACTAATTAACTAAATAATTAATTTAATTTGAAATAAGGAAAAATAAACAAGGGAGAAGGAAATTTACTGGGAACAGTTGTACTATGTTTAATAAACTAGTTTTGGGAAATGTCATAATATTTAAAACTATTTGCTACTTAGGTTAGTCTTTAACGGTTTATATTATAAAGATTATGTTTTGTCTATTGGATAAAGTCAATTGATTTAAACAAAAAGAGTTGTCTCGTCCACCTCTACTAGTTAGTTACAGCGTAGAAGCTATGATAAATGTTTATACTTGAGATTTTATTTATTCTAGTACTAGTATTTTGTATAAAGTAATTTATCAAAAGCTTAAGAAAAGAACAACAAGTTTTTCAGGGTCGTCGAGTAAACTACAACGATAATCCATTAGCTAGGTTCGAGATAACCCTTATCACTTATTTGCTATTTTTCTGCAGATCCACCGAAATTGAAGCCTGGTTCAAAAAGAATATATCAATTTCGACCTGGGGAGAATTTAAAATTGATTTGCCCAATCGAAAATGTCAAAGGTCAATCGAAAGGAGGTTTCCTTTGGAAATATCGCGATAAAACTCAATTAGTAGATATTGAGGTATAAATTAATTATCAATCTAACGTCTAATTAATTTCCTATCAGTTAGTAATCATTAATATACGTCCATTTGATAGAGCTATGATGAAACAATAAAAGTAAAAGGACCGAAATTAATTATTAAAAATGCAACTGAAAGTGAAGAAGGGGAATATCAGTGCGAAGGGATTAACGGATTCGGAAAGGCCGTTTTCCGCCTATATGTTTTTATAACAAGTTAGTAATTCTTTTCTTTTCTTTCCTTTCAATCGCCAACAGAAAAAAGATATTGTAACGAAAAAGAATCTACTTAGTGAAATGAGTTTATTTTAGGCATTTGCCATGGGATAGATATATTCAACGTCTATAAAATCATTTCCGGTTCTTACAGGAAGTAACGCTACTTTCCAAAGCATCTATTGATTTTTGTATTCCAGTATATTTATATAGACATATATACTTATATAGATATACTCCCTTGTTGACTCATTCTTTCTCATCCAAATTATTCACAGATAGAATGGTAATTTGATTTTCTGTAGATAGTCTAGATACAAATTTGGATATTTTTAAAAATGCTATTGAAATAATCTATCAAATAATATTATATAAAGAAATGATACTTTTCCCTTATTGGCTGATTCCATAGACAACTCCTTTTTGTTTCTTCCGATATTTCTATCGTTATTTCAGTAGCTATTCTTTTACTACCATGTAAACTTGACCCATTTAAAAATCAATTATAGATTTTATGCCTATTCAGACAAGAATGAATAGGAGGAAACAAGGTATTTATTGTTAGAATAGAATAAGGATGACTTTAAAAAGAGGCAATCTACTTGATAAATTCAATCTTTCCTTACAAAGGGTAATTTTTAAGAGTAGAATTAATGATGGTGACATTTGTGAGTACTACCTTTTCCTAGTTCAGGCGTACACTCCTCCCCAAATCCATAGCTCTCTTCTTTCAGCCAACCCCTTTTAATTCACCTCCTCCCATTCTCATTCAAAACATACTTCCCCAACTGTCAAAAATTTTCTTTTTAGCAATCTATCTTTCTTTCTTTCGCCTGTCCACCTTTTCTCAAAAATTTCGTAGCTGAAGAAAAGAGCAAAAAAGAGAGCAAATATTCGAGGTATGAAATATTAAACTCTTCATAAATGATTTATTCAAAAACAAGTATCGACTCCTTGAAAAAAAAGAAACATCTATTCATCATACTTAACCTCCTGTCAACTAGAAATACCAGTAATGGTTATAATATTTATGACAGTTGTATCTCCTACCGATTCCGTTGTTTTTCTTTTTTTTTGTCTATCCATTGTTGTACAGTTTCATTCATTAAACACCAACTGAACACTTTTAGGCGTCTATTTTGTTTTGTTCAGTCTCTATTTGTCATGCGCTAAGGCATTTTACCAATGGGATCGTTTTTCACCCAGTTCTCCGTATATAACTCATAGATAATTCACGCTTTATTCTTTTGTAGAATCCCATATAATTATAATGTTAAATCTTATATAATATAATTATTGCTTTTAAACGAAACAACCAGCCTATTGCCCTAAAACTTTTTATCTATGCAGCCGAATGAAATTTACTTTGGGATTATTCATTAGAACTGTTAGGACGATAGGCCTATAATCTAAAAAATTTATAAATTTCACGCCTTGTAGAGCGAAGATGTTTCGTCTATTTTTAGATGATCGAATAGGATAATACTTGCAAAATATTGATTGTAAAGCTCTATATTTAAATTAAGTTGTTACGTAATTATGAGATTAATACGGGATAAAAATAATACGATATATTGAGAAATAATAGAAAAAAAAAAGAACAAGCTGTGCATAGACACCCTTTTCGCCTCTCCACGTTTGATTTAATAAGTAACGCTCCACCGCAAAAGACGTCTTCTCCCTATCATTAACAATCCTGTCAACTCGTGAGTCTGCTGGCGTGCGATAAGTTTTTGCATTCTGTCAAGCTAGTCTAAACCCGCTAAATTAGCCCTTTTCCAACATTTGTATACATTGATGTTTAGCTTATAAGCATTCATTATTCATTTCATTATGTTTACAATAGCATGTCGAAACTTTGATTCTTGTTTATTTACAGTATTTAATATCAAAAGACCCTTTTATTAGCATTTTTATCAAATTATATAAGGAACACTCTGAATAAAAGTAGAGGTTTAAAGTCGATAGTAAAAGGGTTAAAAAGAGAAGGGAGGGGTGAAAAGTTAAACACCTTTAAGCAATCACTACTACTTACAATATTTATTAGTGAATATTTGAGCAACGCGACGTTCTTTTGGGAGGGAAAGAACGTGGCCCAACTTGCCATTCCATCGTTAATTGCTTTCTCAGAGTAAATTACTTTAGACCCTAAAATACGTTACGAAAAAAAGCGTGAACCAAATACAAATGCTAACTAATAAAGTAATGTAAGTGAAGAAAAAGTGGGAAAGAAGGAAAATAAAGCAGGTGTACTTGGATATATATACAGTATACAGTATATATATATATATATATATATATAAAGAGAGAGAGAGAGAGAGAGAGGGCGAGAAAAAGATAGATAGAAGAATTGTAAAGAATCATGAAATCTGGAATAAATAGTTTAATTATCTTATCAAAACTTTGCTTCTTATCAAAAGAAAATAAAATTGTTTCTTTTTTAAAATGTAACAAAAATTGACAATTTCAACAAGTTAAGGAGAGAGAATGCAAAGAAAACTTTATATCTCCTCTGTACAAAAACTTTTGTCGATTAATCAAATTCTAACTATAATCCTATATACAACTATTTTTGTTGCGTATACATAAAAGGCTATCCGTTTAAAATGCTAAAGCGCTTTTCAGCAGGGGAGTACATTTTCTAATTCTCTGAACGGGGGCTCAACTATACTTTCCTGTAGTAATTGGTTACTTTGGCCGGAATTAGTTTTAGACCCTGGAAAATGCTTGTCACGCAATAAACTTATTCGTATATAAAAAATATAAAATAAAGGGGAACGCTTGATATTCAATAGGGGAAACAGTTGCTATTGGAAACCGAATTACATATTACGTAACTACGATCGGTATTTCCGGATTAGTTGCGCCGATTAATGGGGACGGCAGTAATGAATGAACGATAGAATGAACGATTGTCGCTACGACAAAGATTTATGGGGAATTAGGAGACTATAGGCGTCCCAGTCGTCAGTGTGCCAATGACGCTTTATTAACAAAGGGGCGTTTCTCTCCCCATTCTTTCTTCTAGGCCCTATATTGAAAAGACATAATTCCCACTGCGAATATCTTTTTGTCAGTTGCGTCTAGGGGCCAATTTTTTAATACATATTTTTCTTAATGGGACGCCAGTGACTAGGCTATGGGATTAAATATTATATAGACGCTAGGAGGCGCCGAAAATTATTTCTTTTATATTTTATTGCCCCTTTTGTATGTTATGACAAATATAAAAGAAATATGAACATTTTAACGTTCCACTTCTCATAATTAACAATATCCGTTGGAAAGTCATTACATTTCTTTTAGGCCTATGAAACGGACAAGAAAAGAAACAAATAACAGTAGAAAGGGAATCCAAACATTTTTCCAAAAAAAGACTAATCTTGTTCTAAATGAATATTCATGAGAATATGATTTGTAAAAATAATATTCTAACCAATAAGTGGCAGTTTTATGAAGTGTTTACCAGAATTATTATGCCAATTTGTATATAGCATTATTATCAAGGTTATAAAGTAATAATACGGTAGTAAAAGATAAAAAGAGAGAATTTATTAGTACTCTATTGGATTTCTTTTAAGAAGGATGTTTAAACGAATCAAGAAGAAGGTTAAAAAGAATTAGTATAGGGAAAAAGGGATTAGATTATGTAATTATGTACAAAGTTTTACTTGGAATTAGAACACAATCAAAGGGACATTCATTCTTTTCGGTGTTCTTAAGAATTCAATTGACATTTTAAAAGTTATCCCTTTTGGTCTAAATAGACGCAAGTATCGTGTAATAAATCAATGAAAGGGCTGGGAAAAGAGGGGAGGGTGGAATGATTGCCAATTAGTCAACTACAAGATTACGCCTTTTCTACAAACGCTATTGCCGCTTGACTATAAGCGTTAGTAATCAGTGTTGGAGGGGGTTAAGAAAGAAATAGAAACCGTTAAATCACTTTCCGTAATACTACCTCTAAAGACACCAAAGTCTAAAGCCACAAGCCGCCCATGGGAAATTTCAAATTAGAATGCACAGCAGATAAAAACCGCTGATTTTCTATGCCTTTCACAAACTCATTACGTAATTAGATGAGTCATACTCCCTAATCAGCTACATATCCCGCTGTTAGGTTATTTCTTGAATAAACAGTACCTTCGTATCTTTTACTTTTTTATAGAGTGAAAATAAACCGGCTCCTTTCAATTAGCGATTTAATATTGTATTATAAAACTGTAAGAGGATTTTTTTGACCGTTATTCATTGCCCAAAGGAGTTACACTTTATCTTTAGGTTTTTTGAGGTTATCATTGAAACTGTCAATTGATAGACTGAAGGAAATTGGAAACGGTTACAGAACGTATGCAATTCCGCCTTTATAAGATGTAAAAAAAAAAATAACAGGGAAATTCGAGTGGTTATGTAGAGGTATTATAGTGGTTATGAAGCGAAACAAATGTCGGGCAATTTTTTAAGAGTAACGGCCGGGACGTCTATACATGATTGATTGTAGTGCTAGAGAAAGGACTCTTCAGATGCCGGCGCTTTTTGTATGTGCATAAATGCCCAAATGAAATGTGTATAACGTTTACTGTTGCGTTATTTCTCACCGGATTCGAATGTAGAGTCCCAGAAAGAATGAGATAGACGGGCAGAAAAAGATCGATATTAAAATACCCCGACAATTCGCTTTTGTGGTGTCAAGAGGTCACGTGTCGTCTTATCCGATCTGAATGTTGATGTGGTGCAGATGAGTGCTTCTGATACGGTTCATTCGGCGTTATCATTCATCTCTGGCGTTCTTGATTATTTTGTTGTTCTCGACAGATTTATCCTTCTTTAGTAAAATAGAGTTAAAAGCACTTCTTTCCATATTAAATGAAAAGAGAGACAAGAAAGAGAGATGCGGGCGGCCGGAATAAACGGCCAGATGTATGTTGTAACGCTATCAATGGCATCCACCCACCCTTCTCCCTCCCTCCCACCTCTCCCCTCTTAACTTTTCATCTGTTAAAACTCGACTTGAATTAAATTCAAACATTAAAATATACAAAACAAGAAGAAAAGGAAGAGGAGAGAGAAAGGATTTATAGCAACATAATGAATATCCTTTTCCGACGTCTACTTTAACATAATTTGGAATATTCCGTAAACATTATTTTCCTATCCCTCTCTAACCCCGTTTCCCTTATCCTTCTTTATCTAATTTAGGCCTAAGTAACCTTTTTCGTTACAATGCATAATTTCCTATTTGGAAGCAAAAAGTAGCCCTTAACTAAACAAAACCGTTTTTTTTTCAATTTATACAGATGGCACGAATAAGAAAAAGGATGTTTGTAAGTTGTCGCTTTTAAATTAAAAGTTGCCAGATGGCGTTAACGGCATGTATTTTATGTCAAAAAATAACAGTTTCTCCGAAGTTTATACAAAAGAGGCCAGAATTAGACAGAATCGTTAAAAAAGGTCAAGATGTAAAATTTTTTTGCGGTTATAAGAGTAATCCACCACCAACACTGGAATGGTATCACAACGACACGCGTTTACTCGAAAAGCGTGATAAGAAATTCTTAACGATAGAAAGCGTTGATTATGAGGATAGCGGGAGTTATCGATGCGAAGTTGGCAACGTTCTTGGTGTTGTAAAGAGAGTTTGGAGTTTAAAAATAGGAAGAAAAGGTTTGTAACGTGCGCAAACTACTTCATTATAAATAAATTTATGTAAGGCCAATACTGGCATACTTGACGATTATATAAAGTAACTATGTAATAAGATTTATGCTAATTACTGAATAAGAAAGCCTATTCATGGAATACTTTATCCTAGATAAAAAAGAATGGCATACACATTTATGAGGGGGAAAACTGTTTCAAATTTCACTGAATAAAGATATATAGGGATTATTTAGTGATTCCCAAAACTATTCTAAGCCATTTAGTACTTTTCCCTTCAAGGCTATATATATGTGTAGTTAATTGCCAATTGTATTATATACTTTATTATTTATATATAAATATATATATACAGTATATATATATATATATCACTTTTTATCTATTTTAGAACATACCAACCTCATAAGAAACGAGTTTAAATACGAAAATTCTAAAAGAAGCCTTATTGTTAATCGGTTTCAAGATGCAAGACTCAACTGCAAAATTCGATTAAGAAATTCAGCAAACGACGATAAGAAAGTTATAATTAGGGTAAAAGAAGATGATAATATATTCCTTTTTTAAAGTAGAGATAAGTTGAAAATAAGAATAAAAAGTAAAATGATTAAGACACCCATTTGAGGTGCTAACTGAAGAGAAGAAGGGGGAATGATAGAAATGGTCTTGGAGGATTTTACTAGTATTCCTAAGATGGATAAATTCGATCTAATCTTATCTATTTTGTTTACAATCGTTAAGGATTGCTTTTTGGGATGAGTGGGCTTCTATTTATGTATATTAAATTACAATTTAATATATATGTATAAAGAGTTTATTTACAATATTGTATTTATCTACTTAAAAAAGTTCAATGTTTCTTCTACTCTTTTCAGTGGGCAAAAGTTGATACGAAAGAGAAAATAACGTTAAATTCATCCGTTCTGACTATGAGAGACATGGATTTTCATTATATTAATCACACCAGTGTTGAAGATAATAACGGCATTTATAAAAGTGTGCTTAATATTCGAGCAGTTGACTATAAAAGTTCAGGATATTATGCTTGCTTCATCGTCTATGGTACTCTGATGGAAGCTGAACTTTTTCAAGTAAAAATCGGCGACGTTATAGAAGATAGTTCTACTCAAACAATTTTAATAGCAAGCGTATCGGGAGGATTACTTTTTTTACTTGTGCTCGTTCTCGTTTGCGTATTTAGTAGGCATAGGAAGAATTCAAATTCTTCAACAAATCGAAGTACTAAAAGCTCATCGAGCAACTCAAGTTGTGTATATAAAAAATGTACTCCACAGCCTCATAACCAGAAGATTATGATGAATTATTACGGGCAGCAATGTGCTCCCGTTCCACAAACTGATTTTGGAGTAATCTCTCATCATACAATAAGCAGCAATGATGAATCTTCACATTCTAAGGATATAATGGTCGGTTATGGGGGACAATGCCAGTTTATTCCGCCCGCTTCAACAAATAACGCGCAGTTCGTGTGATAAACTCACTAACTCTTTCTCCCTTCCCCTCTCTCTCTCTCTCTCTCTCTCTCTCTCTACCTTTCTCTCTCTCTCTCTCTCTCTCTCTCCCTCTCTCCCTCTCTCCCTCTCTCTCTTTCAAACTGTCAACCTCCATCTCTACCTTCCTTTTCAATTTATTACAGGGTACATTTGGTACATGTTTTCGATACAGGGTAAAAAACAAACTACAAACTTTAGACTTTTTATGTTGTTTATGCTTAAAGTCTTTTTTTTTTTGTTGATACTTTTTTGCAATATGCAAAATAATAATAAATGCTTGAAAACCATATTCATTCTTGTATTAAATTTTTTTTCTTTCCTCAGTTTTAAATATTCATATGACCTTTAACCTTTTTTGTTGAGATACAAATGCTAATTATTTCCTTAAAATGTCTCTGTTAGTGTCAGAATATCGTATTTCCGACCCTTTTGTTCATGCCATCTGGAGGTTATTTTACTTAATTTTTTGATAGCGCCATCTACAAGTTAAATTAATTATTTATTAAATGTCAGTGTAGCAAGAGAATTTCAATTGCGTCAGAACGAAATAAGAGTCTTTTTTATGTTTTATTGATAAGGTGATAAAAGCGTTATAAAAGCGTTTTTCTTATTATTAACAAGTACGAAATATTAGCAGATTGTTTTAATTTATTTAACTCAAAAAACTAAATGAATAGCTAATCAATTAGTCAGTGATGGGAGAGTTTACACTCGTGAACATGTACTTACTAATTAAATGGAGATTATTCTTCAAAAAGAAAAAAAAAAACAAGCGAAAGAGATTTATAGATTTATGTTTAATCTTTTATCTTCCTATTTTAGTTAGTTTAATAATTAAAGATTGATAGGGAGTGGGGAACGATAAGAAGAAAGACTAGAGAGCTAATATTGAGAAAAAAAATGCATAATAAATATACTAGTATAACATAATGGAACAATTCCAACAAAAAGTATGATGTCATAGTAGAAGTAGAAGTTAAAAGAGTGCAGAGATAGTAAAATTTTTATAGATATATTAATGAGAGAAATGTGATTATTTCCTGTCCAATTTATTATTCTAATAGAACTAAATTATATTATTATAATATAATAATGGTATATACTATATATATATATATATATAATATAGAGATTTATACATATATATACTGTATATATAGATATATTTAGTTGATTTAGCAGCTCAATTTACCAAATAACTGTTCAAGTACGATATGAGTACATTATTCTGGCTTTTAAACGGAACAAAACTCTAAAACATCTATTTCTTTTTCTCTCTTTTTTTTATAGTTTTTTTATATATTCTAACTAAAAACTACTTTCATATTACCTGCTTTTTATCAATATTACTTTTAATTTGAGTTGTCTATCATCTTTAATTCTTCTTTTACTTTTTTCCCTTCTCCTCCTCATTCACCTACGCCTTCTATTCTACCGTCTCTTCCAGCCATCTCTTACTTTTTAGAAATATTATAAATACTGTTTATTACGACGTATTTAATAAATAAATCATAAATTAAGTATAAAAAAAAGAAAAAGAAAGAAATTAATTTCAAATCATGTTCCGGCAAAAATTTTGGTTAGTAAGTAAATTTTTTTATCTTATTAAATATAATAATAAATAGTTTTTTTTTAAAAAAAACAAACAAATAACAATAAAAAAGCTATTCTCTCTTTTTGTTTTTTCTTCTTCTTTCCCTTTTAGTCGTCTTTGTTTATTTCAATTTTATGGATAATTAACGCGAAACAATACAATTCTGTGTAAGTATACAATCTTTTTCTTGAATAGACATAACAATATATACAATATATTAAGTATATACAGTATATATATACAGTATATATATACAGTATATATATACAGTATATATATATATATATATATATATATATATATATGTATGTATACCATTAGAAGTAATACGGCAATGGGATTTTTTGAAGACAGTTGCTGTAGAAAAGGATTTATAAAGGTACGCCTAAACTCAGTATATATTAATTATGGTTCATAAATAAATAAATATATTAATATATATATATATATATATATATATATATTTTGTTTGTTTGTTTAAAGGATTGTCTCAAACAATTTAGGCCTTACAGAAATCCTAAGCGAATATGTGGAAATTTATTTAAGAAATCGTGTCCTGACGGATATTGTAAATGACAAACTATTAGCGTAACACTTGTATAACACAGAGAGCGAAAATATGTCTTACTATTCATATTAATTTTTTTGATTTATATGCAATTTTTACGTATTTTCTTATATTTGAAAATTCATTACTTTAAATGTTATTAGATTATTACAAATATCAAAGTTATGGCAAAAAAATTAAAGTTTAAAATTGAAATATTCCTAAAACAGGATAGTGATCTGATAAATCTTTGATAGTTTCAGTTGTATAATCGCAATCATTGATAGGCTGATGAGAATGTCTAAAAAGATTTATATAATCTTCTGCGAAACACACCTTAAACTCATTCTGATCTTTAGCGTTGTAGATTATTTGATTTGAAGTGATAGGATTTTTATGAAGTTTGCTGTAAAATACGTAATCAATCCATTTTGGCAGCCTTGATGCGAAATTTTTCTGTAAAATGGTGTTTGTAGGAGGATCCCAAGATAGCGATAGAGGGCTTGTTCTAGAAAGAGGTGGAAGTTTAGAGCTAAGTAAATTTAGACAAGTTTGTAAACTTTGTTCATCGAGTCTTAAGTTTAGATCCCCTGCAAATAGGACTGGCTCATTCGCTGGTATATTTAAGGTCTGAGTGAACGATACCATTTCTTGACACTGAGCTTCTCTTATAGTGTTATCATCACCACCTCCACTTTGTAAGTGAGTCGACATTAAATTATAAGGTTTTGTAACGCCATTAACAGTTTTCTCAATTCTGGCGTACGACACACCTTTTGCTACAAAAATTTCCGCCGTCAAAAACATTACAGATTGAAATACGTAGCTTTCTTCTCTTACTATTGGCCATTTTGAAGCGATAAATATTCCACCGTTTAGCGCTAAAATACTGTCTACAACGGATGTTGTGTACCTGAAACCGTAGAAAGAGAGTACTTTTTTCAACGTCAAGTTATTTTCATCGCAGCCACCAAGAAACACTTCTTGGAAGGCAATGGCATCGACGTCTGGAATTGTTTCCAATACCCATGAAGGTATTCTGCATGTTCTTTCTCTTTGACCATCAATACTTAAAAAGTAGAAACGCTCAAATATATTGTACGCCAAAAATTTGAATTCATTGGCAGGCGTTGTAGTTAGTTTTGGCTTGGGTTTTACAACGCAGCGTATAGCACTTCCTCCATTAAAACAGTCAAAATCATCTGCAAATGGATAAGATATATCATATTCAAGCCCATAGTTTACACAATCTTGAGGGACGGCATCGCAATTCTCTAACCAAGTAAATGGCCTAGATGCAGGTGGAGGATTATCAATACATCTTCCTGTTACCGGATTTCTTCTCTGACTAAATGAACACGGAGGTGATGGACGAATACAGCAATTTACAATTCCAACACTTAGGCTGATGTAAAATATCTGTAGGAATGTCATCTCCGCAAGTGCACTGCTTGAACTGAACAAGTCCAAGTTCAGGAACAAAAAATTATAAAAGTACTCAAAACCAATTCAAAACAGAGTTGCTTGAACTTTAAGTGACAAAAGATAGAATGAAGCTTGGTCGATATTTGAAAGAAATAGGTTTTAAAATTGAATAGAATATATTCAATATATATTGTATATGTTTCATCAAAGTATGCTTTGAATAAATGCGCCACATTTAATATGTAAAAGGTATATTAGAATCACTTGCTATGTACTTTTTGTATTCAAAATCTCTTCTTTTAGAACATAAATAAAGACAAATAAGGTAAAGAAATACGAATTATGCTTAATATGTTGTCAGACTATAAAGACGATAAAAAGTTGATTTGAATTTTAATTAATGTCTATAAAGTTTGAATGCTCGTGTCACCTCTATGGAAAATCTATGTGTCTTGTACGCCTAATTCTCGTTCCCTCTTTCTCTGTTTATGTTCAGATAAGTGGTACATGCTATACTAATACAATGACATATGATGTAAACAACTTATTTCTCTACATATTTAATACAAAATTATTAAAATTTCAATAAATTTCAAGAATACTTTCATGTATTCAAAGCTTTTTTGAGCAATATCAAAATTTTGATATATACTGATATAAATCTAAAGAACATATGATATCAATTAGTGATCTGAAATTTATAGAAAAATGAATAGATCTGTAATCTTTGAACCGTATAGGATAAAATCTTTGAAATTGAAAAAGTTCAAGGAGATAATCAATTGTAGTTATATAAATGAAACAAATGGGAAAATTAGTACAAAATATTTTTATAATGGTGTTATACTAATATTATAATTTTATATTTAATCTAAAAACATGCTTTGTTACGTAATAAGCTTATAGTTTAATTTCGAAAGAAAAAATATTCATAATCTGATTTGAATGACTAACTAAAGATAAAAGGTTAAAGTCTGAAGTGGTATACTGTCCATATTCAAAACATAATCATTTATACAACCACTCATACATAAACACGCAGGCGAAAGCAACAAATTTTTTTCAACGTCAAGTTATTTTCATCGCAGCCACTACCTGTATTTATACTTATATATAATATATTGTATATGTGCTTATTTCTATAATAATTCAGCTTTATGTTTATCAAAAACGGATCTTTCTTTATGAATCTATCGGCATTAAGATTAAAAGACTATTTTTTGTTTTTGTAAGCCTTTATACAGTATATATATATTATTTCGTATACATTGTTTATCAATTACAGTTAATTAGTTTTATTCTAAGTGAACAGTTTTTTATGTGAACTTAATACAAGAAATAGATAAGTCGGTTAGCTTTTTTGTCTAAGACACAAGGACGTAGGCTTAAATAAACACTTAACACTTAACTTGCATAGAAGGTAGTAGTATAAAGTTCAGACTCCGAGAGATAAGAAGAGATTTTACATTTTGACCTGTCACTCTCTTGTTACATAACACCTGAAGTGATGAATAAATTGATATTTTTAAAATACTGAACACCATCCAGCTCTTTAAACATCTACGCCATGTTGTTGAAGGCTCTATTCCTTTTCTCTCTTCTGGCTATAGCTCACGGCTGCTGCAAGAAAAGGTGCAAATCGGATTCGCTTGAAAATCCTTTCAATGGCAAATGCTATCAGATTCCACCAGAACCTGAAAGACCAGCTGTATGGTTGGACGATTGTGATAGAGTTCCTTCCGATTGCGACAATTACGGATTGATATATGACCTTCAACATCCAAAAGGCGATGGTCCATGGTGTTCCTCAGGTCAAAAGATAAGATGTTTACTTCCAGAAAAGCCTAAATTAACAGTAACCGGAGCCAAAGAATTCAAAATAATTAGTATTAATGTTATGGAAAGAAATTATTATATGACTTTGGACGGTCAAAATGAGAGAACTTGCCGAATCGTTCCTTGGCTATTGAGCAATTTTCCCAATTTAGACGCTATAGCTTTTCAAGAGACATTTATGGGTGGATGCTTCTCTAACAAACTCAACTTGCGAGATATTCTGACTTATTACGGATTCAAATATCAAACTGAAACTATTTATTCGACTCTTAAAATCTTAAATGGAGGAACTTTTATCGCTTCCAAATGGCCTATTGTCGATGAATATGGAAAGATTTTTACAACAGCCAACCCGTGGACATTTGAATATTTTGTTGCAAAAGGTGTCTCATACGGAAAGATTGTTAAAACAGTTGAAAGTGAACAAATGACTTATAACGTTATGACTACTCATATGCAATCATCTGGTTCGAATTATTATAGAGAAGCTCAGTGCAGAGAGTGGGCAGACTTTTCAAAAAGTTTAGATATTCCTTCAAACGAAGCTCTTATATTTAGCGGTGATTTAAATATGGATGTTACAGATCCGAGTTTAAAGAGCTGTATTGATTTATTAAATGGAACGTTACCGGAAATATCAGGCTTTCAGAAAGCCTCCTACGATCCAAACAGTAATGATATTTTACAAATAGAAGATATGTACAAGCAAACTATGCTGATTGATTTTGTTTTCCCAAGTAAAATGCATAGGCAACCTGAAAAAGCTAGTCAGGAGATAATCCAAATGAAATCTAATGATTATTTTAAAATATGCTATTGTAGCATATGTGTATCGAGGACTAGACACGTTTTTCCAGATGATGATTGCGAAAGAGTTGCATGGATTCAACAACTTTCCGATCATTACGCCGTACTTGGCCACTTCAAATTCTAATCAACAGTTATATTTTTGTTCCTTTTTTTTCTTTCTTTATGTTTTTTTTTTGATTAATTTAATCGTGCCATGCATTTAAACCATGATTTATTATTATTAATTATATATTAATTTATATACAGTATGTATTTATTTAATTAAATATCCTTATTTATACATAATCGTTCATGTAATTTATTAGACGCTCAGATCTAATACAAAACGCACAAAAAATCGAACATTCTTTAAGTTTTAATAGTCAGTCATTTTGCAGTCTTTGTTCTCTTTCTCAGATCATATAGTGTATATATTTTAACTGTAAATGCATTTTTCCTGTCAGTTAACAAAATATGTTTGATGAACAGCTGTTCAATTTTTTATTCTCTATTCGTACCTTTAAAAATTATTCTATTCCGATTTCCTCTAACCGTTTTATGTAGTGAGCTGTTTAACATCCAACTGAATATTTAAACATTGGATTAGGGGAAAAAATTAAATCTGGTTCGTAAATTGAACTTTAACCTTTATGTAAAATAGGTGTTATTTTGTTTATAGGTAATCTTTTGTTATTATTCTTAAATCTTTAGTATAAATTATAAAAATGATTATACCTATAGCATTTATAGAATTAGTTCAGTGTAATATCAATAATGTATTTGAATGTACAGTTTAAAAATTTAACCTTACAAGTGATTCTCATTTAATCTTAACCTTATTATTTTTCTATTGTTCAAAGTTCGGATAAGCAATATACTCTTTATTGTAAATATAACGTATAGTATACAATCTAATTTAACAATATCAAAGTTTTAAGCTACTCTAAACATCTTTTTCTTTATGTTTGTAGATTAAGCATAGCAACTGCAACATATTTTAATATCTTTATCTGATATACATATGACGTTGATCTTTTTTTGCTAGAAAACTGTAAAAACAGATTATTTTTTTTTATCATCTATATGTAGGTGAATTAATAAAATACACTGGGAATCGATATGTTCACTTGTACACTGTATAGACATTTAATAGCTTTGGTATGTTTACTATATAATTAGATCAGTTTATTAGGCTTTGACCCATTTTTTCTCATAAACAGAGAGGATTCTGTTATTTTAACATTTAAATATAATAAATGTAGATTTTTCGTTAATTTTCAAGTGTATAACCTAAGAGCACATACAAAAAACGATGGAATGTTGAAATTAAAGGGAAAAACAGCAAAAGATTTAATTAATGAAAGAGTATAAAAGTATAAGCAGGTGTTTATTAGACCTTTAATCTTTGTGTGAATTAAAGCATTTTTAGTAAGTTTCTTTTTTTAGACAATTAAAATCATGTGACTTTAAACTTGGTGCTAACCGATTGATTAGAAAACATACTTTACTTCATGTTTTATTTATAATAATTAGATAGATTAGACATAAAATTGTAATGCAAACATAAGAGTATGCTCTGCATGCCATATTGCGCATAGGAATGAATGTTGAAATTTATGGATAGTTTCTGTTCACATATGTTAGCATAACATTAATTTCGGAAAGTGACTCGTTTGAATGTTGGCATTTGTAGGCCTATTTCATTTCCATTTAACCTAGCATATATCTAACTAGATTTATCTTTCCCTTTTCACTTTCAATCATAGACTCTGTGCCAGTTTTATATTAGGGAACTTTTCTTAATGCTCAATAGAGTACTAGAGAGCATGTAGATTTTTAAATGTCAGTGTGGTGTAGTGTCGAAGGCCAGTATCATTAATAAGTTCCATATTATTATTATACAACATAAAAAACGAGTGACGATAAATTCATCGATTTATACAGATATATTTTGAATATTCTACATAACATTCTCCTTTTTTAATACGATATTTATACAGAGCTATAATTACAGTAAGTACTATATGCTGTATACATTATATATTATATACTATGTAATGAAAAATAAAGGGAAAAAGGTCATACAAAATTTCGCTTTTAGACTAGTTTACAAACAAAATTTAATTTGAATTTTACTGTATTCATTCAAGAGAATTAGGTATTCAATATAGGCTATTTACTCATCATGTTCTTATTTACCTATTTATATTTAAGTCGTTCTCTTCAAGTTACATTTTTTTTTTAAAAAACAAACTTTTTAATAATAATTTTTCTTTTATTTTTAGTTTCTAATTGATTAAGTTTTATTAATAGAGAAAATTTATATATTACTTATTAAAGTTCATAAATGTATTCTATTTTTTCTAAATATATCCGTTCAGAATGGATTAATTACTGTATTTACTTTATATAAACTGTACATTTATTATAAAAAAAGTTTATTTTTATATCAACCAATGCTCTCTTCACTAGTATTGCAATATTTCTTTCTCATACATTTAACCTGACAGGAAGAGAAATCAGGTAAAAGAAAAATATATCTACCAATTTTTTGTCTAAAATCTATAGTAAATAGTAAATATCTTAATATTTTTAAAACGAATATTATAGAATAAGAGATAGGCGTCTATTGCGAAGAGAAAGCTTCATTTGAAAAGAGAAAGCTATATTTCCTTACAGTGAAAATTTTATTGATGATTTCATCTATAAAAATTATTATGCGTGTTCCACTTGCAATACTATATGTGTTTTAGTGTTCAATATACTGTACACTTAAAACGATGAGCAATTTACGAAATAGCGCTTCCCGTCAATTTTATTCAAGGTATCTGGTCAACTTATAATAGAATATACTGTATATATAAATTTATATATATATATATATATTAGTATATATTTAGTGCAAACCCAGAGTTTATATTAAAGCATGCCTTACCATTTTTTCGTATAAACTGTATAGTTTTATTTGAAAGACTATACAATGTAAACAAAATGAAGAAATAGTCAATATAGTTAAACTTGCATTTGGATGAGTAGGTAAAAATATGTAACAAAGAATTTTTAGTAATGACGAAAAGAAGGGAATATACAGTAGTATATTATAAGAACTATAGGTGATATAATCTTGTAATATATATGTATATGTGCTTATTTGTAACATGTTATATTTTAATGATATGTTCTATAGCAAAAAGCGTATGATAGTGAATGCAATAGGTTGCAAAATAGCAGATATGAGAAAAATAGAGAGAGAGAGAGGGAGAGAAGAAAAGATAAAATAACATTATATAAATAGAGAAATCTGTTGGATATTTTGCTTTGTTTAAATATCTTCATGTAGACGTCTAAAATACAGCTAATAATGAACTTTATGGAGAGTAAAAGCTGTAATATGCTTAATTGAGTAGTATAATAAAGTTCTTTATCTGTTATAATTAATCTTTCCAATTGTCAACAGGTATTACGCTGATCTGTTGTCTTATTAGACGAATAAAACTACAATTATAAAGAAAGATGGAACTAGTATCGAATATAATTTTCAGTGAATCGTTTTGGTTACCTCATTATGTAAAATGGAAAGATTTCGAAAACGTTACGAAAATAGATATGCCAGTAGCTTGGCATTGTTTTCTAGCCTTACCTATTGCTGTGGGCCTTTTTATACTAAGATTGTTATTCGAAAGGTAGAATCTATATATCATAATAGAGAATTATTACAGTCAAATAATAATATATATTAGCTCTTTATTACGTAATAAGATAAAAAACGGAAATAGTTATTTTTTTTTATGTATGCTATAGATTTATTTCTACTCCTATTGGAAGAATATTTAAACTAAAGGAATCTCGACCAAAAAAACCTAGAGATAATGAGTTATTGGAAAATGAATTCCGGTCTGCTTTTAAGAAAACAATACCCAATTACGAATCATTATTAGTAGGCTAATATAATATAATCTATTAAGTTAATTATGAACAAGTTTTTTTTATTTAATTTTTTAAAAGGAATTATCAAAAAAGACTGATCTAACAGTAAGACAATTAGAGAGATGGTGGAGAAGACGGCGAATATTTGGTAATCCAAGCGAAATGCAAAAATTCAACGAAGCCAGGTAAGTGTAATAAATTTAGAAGAGATTAAAGATAAAGCTATTATTATTATATTAAATATATCCTATCCTTCAGTTGGAGATTAACTTTCTATTGTTTGGTTTTCTGGTATGGACTAATCATCTTATTCGATGTTTGTTGATTAAATATAATAACATATAATTGATACTTAAGAAACTAATTTTTAGAAAGATTACTTTTGGGATACAAGAAACTGCTGGTCTAATTATCCGTATCAGGTAGGTTTTATTACTAATATAATCATTATTATTATATAGGCCAAATAACACCGATTCTTTACAATTGTACGAGATATTAATAGACGCTTCCTCCCTTTAAAATGTAATGTAGCATCTTTCCAAATCAATATGGTGGTATTATCAAATAGAAATGGCATTTTATTGGTCGTTATTGATATCTGTATTTATGGATACTAAAAGAAAGGTGAATATATAATAATTATTAGGTTTTCATCAAGTTCTATATCCTGTATCCTAAATATTTATCAAATTAGGATTTTGCGATAAATCTTTGCCATCATTTTGCGACACTTTCTCTAATGATATTTAGTTTTATACCAAATTTCATCAGAATGGGATCATTGGTTTTATGTGTTCACGATGCTGTGGATGGATGGTTGGAGGTAATTATTTCTAGATAGCATTGTTCGTAATTAGTAGAATAGTAATTTCATGATTTACACAGAGTGCAAAATTGGCTAAATATTTAAAATTTTCCAAGCTAACTGATGTTCTCTTCATAATTTTTGCTAGTGTATGGGTTATTACAAGGCTATGCATATTTCCATTCTAGTAAGGCCTATTTAATATAAAATATAGAAATTTTACTATATGTTTTATATTTAATACATTATTAGCCTCATTAGATCAACTTTATTTGAATCAGAAGCGGTAATGCAAGGAAAATATGTTCCAGCTCACGTTTTATTCAACATTCTATTAATTACCTTGCTGGTTGGTTCTCTTCTACTTCTTAATTAATACATTCAAAAATTAATATTATATTGCTCTTTAATCATTTTCTTTTTTGTTCTTCCATCTTTTTTTGTAGCCCAATATAAATATTTAATATATTTTATTATTAGATTCTTCACATATATTGGTTCTATTTAATATGTAGAATGTTGCACAAGTATCTTATTTCTGGAGAAGTAAGTTATTAAAACGCAATTGACATATATACTGTTATATACTGTATAATTTAAATTTCGTCTATTTCTTGTTTCTTGCATTCAGATTGAAAAAGATATCAGAAGTGAAACTGAACCAGATACCTCTGATAACGAAGTAAGGAAGCAAAATGGTAACGGTATTAGTAGACAATAAACTATAATAAAGAGAAACGTAATGTAAAGTACTCTGAACAAAATTTCAATAGAAGATATAGTAAAAATAACTCTTGAGGAGAAGAAGAGAAAGATGAAGACAAAGAAAATAATTATGTTATTAATCATATTTCAAAAAAAAGACTGAAAGTAGAAAAAGCAAAACGTTTCTTTTATGAAATAAATGAAAAGTTTTATTTTGTTGTTTACCTCTTTGTTTATCTTTTTCTCTCCTCTCTATCTCCCTCTCTTTCTCTTCCTCCCTCTCTCTTTTTGTCAATCTACCTCTTCTATTATTTTGCAAAATTGTATTCATAAACTTTGATATTTCTAAGTGTTTTTTCTAAAGGAATAGAAAAAGAGTTAATTAGGTTATTTATATACATTTTTAAAAATAAAATATGAATGTTTATTAGCAATATTTTCCAGAAATATGTTCTTTTTACACTTACACACGTGTATGTAATGAAGTTTACATAGAGTCTTCAAGGATAATTAGTCCTATATTTGTCAGGTTAACACGCTGATTTTTTTTCTCTTTAATATTTCATTTCTAAACCATCGAAAGCACTTCTAATACTACAGATATATATATAGTGCGCGAAAATTTGTGACTTGTTTCTCTATCCCTACTTCTGCTTAGAAACTTTACGAAGAAGATGGTCTTATGTATGTGAGCTTCATCTAGACTATAAAGAGTATTGATTGGAGGAATAAAATGGTCTTTTACAATGTCTACGTAATTCTCTTCTTTTATTCTGGATCTCACAAGCTCAAAAGAAGTCTTTCCTTCGTATAACACTTCTCCTCATATTATCACACTACCTCCACGCTGTATCTATAGGAAAAGATTCTTTTTTCTTTGTGGTAGTCATACCAATAGCAAATCCAATCATCAGGCCCATTAAGATTGAAATCTCTCGTCATTAAAAATGATCTTATGCCAAGAATCAAAAATAAAATACTTATAACAAAGCTATATGTTCCATGTTTTAGCTTTGGCTTTTTCACTCAATTTTTATAATGCTCTATACTTTTAGAATGTTTCTGCTGGTGTATTTACTACCAGGTAGAAGTAATTGAGTTTTAATTTTTCTGGCTGAAATTTGCTTGTTGCCAGCAGCATCTACTATCCTTTTCCTTATAATGGTGCAGTATAGTTTCTTTATGCCCTTATTCATCATCCTTAGGCCAAAGCTTTCTGGATTCCTGAGAAATCTGGAAATAGTAAAGTTACTGCTCTTCAGTCTTATAGCAATTTTGCTCTTGCTGGTATGCCTTTTGCTCAGTAAACAAGTATAGAATGACTATTTTTAACAAATTGACGAAGAACACTCTTAATTGTTGAATAAAAACTCAATATATACAGTATATATACAATATATATTATATCGAATCCTCTGACCAATTTTAATAAACTACCTAACAAATATCTTGGTTTGGAATGAGAGTGTGAAACTTGACGTAGTAGTCAAAATTTTTAATAAATGATTTTTAAAGTGGTGATAAATATTTTTAAATAAAATAATTAGGATAAAAGAGAGAATTTCGCTAAAATCTATTTAAATATTTTAGATAAACAATAACACTGGTTACACTTAAAGTATGAAAATTTCCTCACCTACTATATATATCTTATATAATATATATAATATCTTCTAGTAAGATTATATGATGAAAGAAAAAACTATATCAAAGTGTAGCGTAATTGATATTAAAGGTTTAAATAGAATATATCTTACATTTGGAGAAAGGAAATTATAAGAGATTTTCCTTTAGGTGTTAAAAAAAACGTGGAAAGTTAGATATTGATTTCGTCATAAAATACACCTTCGTTTTTAATTAAACTATACTGCAATTTATATTATTAGAATAATAGAAAGAATACACCCGAAAGATAAAATGAATTGCTATACTTGGATTTAATTTTGAAAAGCTCTCTTTTGTAGTTTCGGGTTTATTTTTACAATAATCTTTTCCGTGGCTCCATCTATAAATCATACATATGTATTCTTTTTTATTAACTACATGTTACATACTCACAATTTACAGAGATTATAGGCCTTTTTATACCCTTATGTACCCACGCAGGTGTGTAAGTCCAAAGGTTGCATTTGGGGATAATAGAAAAATTTGAACGCAGCAACCTTAGATCCTTATTCACTGCCTTCTTAACTTGCCAAGGTTACAATTCTGCTTTTATAAATTGTTTAAAGGCGGATGAAAGTGTTAAAATACAAAAAATATAGAACTATCACGATTAATTGGAATTATTGATTAATCGATGGTGGCTCCATCTTAACGACTATTTAATAAAAATTGTTCCATTGAGCATCAAAGGAGGACGCTGTTGTTCGATTCCACAAGCATTTCTCTCCTCGACTCCATAGTGGATATTATAAATTATTAGAAAAGAAATCAAAGCATAATAAAAAGACGGAATAGACTAAATTGTAAATGGAATTATTATTTAGATTTGTATTTTTCGAAAATTGATGAAGAAGGAGCATGAATTTGTTTCTACGTTTGGAAATTTTAACCTCAGAATTTTAGTGCTGAAGATAATTTCAATATAGAAAAATATTCCTGTTGAAAAAAAAATCGATCGCTGTTATTTTGAGGATATCAGATTAGTGCATGCTATATTCAACAATTTAATTTACCTGTTTCATTTTTTATAAAACTCTATAAATAATATATATATATATATACGTTATATATTCATGTACATTAACTAACAAGTTTTAGGTTTTTAAAAGGACAAAAGTAGAATATATATTGTTATTTTGTTATTTTAATCTTGCTTATCGTCCTTTTTGTGAGTCTACCTTTAAATCTACCTGCCCATCTGCTTGCCTGTCCATATAGCTGCTTCCCTCTTTGTGTGTCTCTCTCCCATCCTCAGCCTTCTATACACACAAACACCGACATACACACACACACATACGTACATACATACATACATACACATTCCCTCCAAAATCTAATAACATAATCTACTTATAATAATAAAAAATTATATGGATTCTTACCATCCGTGCCATAATTTAAATGATATAAGCTTTAAAGTGTTTATTTTGTCGGTTTTTCGTCCTGTTCAGAGAGCTGTGTCTTTTCATGGCTGAGACTTTTCTGGCGAGTTTTCATACTATGTGAATGTTTCTATTTATGAATGTGTTGAATTACACAAAAATGAATCGTAGGTTTGGACGTTTCTCTGGCAGGAAAATAGGATTTCGAGTTGTTCTCTCGTTGATTTTATCGCTGTCTCTTTATACTTGTTGCAAGTACTCAAGAAGACAATATTCAGCAGAATTCGATAATGTTATAGAAGTTAACAGTCCGGACAATATAGTCATTGAAAAATATACTTATAGAATAGCTATTGGTTTGGCAATAAGTACAAAAGGATTTCAGAATGCTAAGCTAAAGGATTTACCCATTTTTACATCCTTTTTCACATCTTTATGCAATACTGCATCAATTGGATATAACTATACAGTGTACATAGGGTATGACTTCAACGACCCTGTATTGAGTAATATCCAAAAACTTAATGAATTTCACCAGATGTTTCAAATTAAGAGTTTGTCATCGTGTCAAAATATTCCAATAGTCTACAAATTGATTAAAGTTAATTATTCCGGAAAACCAACCTGGGTCCAAAACGACGTCATGCAAATTGCTTATTTAGAAGGCAACGATTTCTTCTACAGGCTAAATGACGATGTCTATTTAAATAGTAATGACTGGTCGGAAAGATATATTAACACTTTACAATCATATAAACCATCATATCTAGGAGTTGTGGGACCAACTGTTCAAGCCGTTGGTGGAAATAAAAGAGTTTTAACATTTGATTTTGTTCATAGGACTCATCTTGATATATTTGGATATTATTATCCGAGAGAATTCCCTGGATGGTTTGGTGACGATTGGATTACACACGTTTATCAACCATTCAATTCTGTTAGATTAAAAGATGTTTCCATAATACATAGTCGGGCTAAAATTCGTTATCATAACCGAGCAGAGACAGTTAGAAAAATGGATACGATACTAAGAAGAGATAAGGATAAAATTACCGATTATGTTATATTGAAATGTAACTATTTAAAGGAGGAAAACTCTTTAAGGAACGCTATATCTATGGACATATCTGACTATAATATAGATAATATTTATGGAGCTGTTAGAAATGCTTTAAAGTCTCGACTATATATGAAAGATTATTCCTTCTTTTTAAATGTTGATATAAAGAAAATTTCAAAGGATATTATATCGACATTTAATAAGCTAAACATTACCTTAATTACTCCTGATAATAATAGATATATTACAGACAAGTCTATGGGAAAATTCCTTCCATTGTTAAATCGAAAACTTGATTATCTACATATCCGACACCCATTAAACAGATTTTCTAAAATGGACGAAACCTTAATTAATGAATTTCTAGCTTCTAATAAATCGTGCCAAATATTATACGATTGCTCGGATAGAGTTGAAAGGACTCTTAAATTACGGTTTTTGTCTTTTAATCTGAGAAAAATAAGGAAGATAATACCTTCTTTGGAAGATCTTTTATCCTTACCTACGAACATGTTTACTGATAAATTACATTCTCTTCTCCAACATGATTGCCTTCTATATTATAAACAGAATTGTAAAAACACTGGAAAATCTATAAGCATAAAAAACAATCATCATTTTGATTTATTGGATGAGAAGTTTGATAAAAACAGTTTAAAACTCTTAGCCTAGTCGAAAGTGAAAGGTATTGATTTGCTAAATTTTCTTTACTTCTTTAACAAAAGCGTATTCCTGTGTTTTCTTTGCTTAACTTTACTGTTATGTCTTTCTTATAATCTAATAGGATTTTTTTCCAAATAAATGAAGTTATACATATCATAAATTACACACACACACATATATATATCACTGAATTTCTGTCTTCCTCTATTTGGTAATAATATAGTCTTATCATCGTTTCCTTCTTCCTCTTTCTCTCTTATGTATAGAGTATCTTGTTTTGAAATTTGCTTGTGTTTTCCTCCATAAAAAGGATATAATTTGTTTTAATTTGTATTTTATTTCATATTTATAATTACTTAATATTGTTCTTGTTTAAATTGTTAATGTGTGATAACAGTGTAATAATCTAATTTAATAAATTTCGAATGAAAGAGTTTTATCTGCATCCTTTGTAATTATAATATGTGAAATAGTAAAGATGAAAAACTAAAGGAAGTAACATATTTAAAAGATCTACTATTACTGTATTCTGTATATCTATCTCATCAACAGTAATACTTGATATGAATCTGAATGAAATTTTCCTCCGGCTTATAATCAAGCTAGGAATAAAAATTGTCTGATTATAATATTTAAAAGTATTCTAGAGATAGTATCTACATTGTTATTTAGTTTTATTATTACTGTTAAAATATATCACGACACACCTTAATTACACGATCACTAGTCAAGTCAAGCTCATGGATCATCAAATATCTGTAACTGTATATTACTGTATGATGAGAGTCGTCATGGCGGTTAGAGGGCGTATAAATAAACTTTTTTATTGTTTAGCCTACAGTACGCTTAAAATAACTAACTGTTTAAATTCCCTATGAGTATAATAAATGGGTGAAGAATTAATTAAATTAAGGACTAGCTGTGAATGACAAATTAAACTTTCTTATCTGCTTTATATAAGAAATGATTGAATAGTATAGGAGAGAATTATTACTGAAAAGATCTAGATGTATTAAAAGGAATAACTTTTATATCAATCAATCTATCTAAAAACTTATAGTCTAAAGAAGTAGAAGAAAACAACATCACGCCCACATATTGCCATCCTTATCTCCATCATTCTCTCTTCCCTCATCTTCTTTTACTCCTCACCGTCACCCCTCTTTTTTTCTTTACATTTCTAAAAATATTTTATTTATATTACTAGATAGCCATCGGTTTTTGAAGATCACGTGATCCATATTAGAAATTTTAAACTAAATTTCAATTTCCTCTTTGCTCCTTGCTGCTCTCTTCACCGCCCTTTCTCTCTCACTCACTCTCTCTCTCTCTTTCTCTCCATCTATTTACCCTTTCGTCTACTTTATTATTTACTTAATAAAACATTATTAATTCTGAAAAATATCTGTCAAAGCAGAGAGCAATCATAATTTTGATTTATTGGATGAGAAGTTTTAAAAAAATAGCGTAAAAGTCTTATATATTCTTTTAAAAAAAAGATTTATTGATTCGAGAGAAATTTCTAAGGCTATTCCATTATCTTCTTTCTATTCGCTATTTTTGTTCATCTGGAAGCCCACCACTCCTTTCGATTTGCCAAGCGCATCTGTGACCTAATTACTGTCTATTATTTCAGGTATTTGCAATTGTAGAATCTTTTTATAATTGACTGTTACTATAAAAATATATGCAATTCAAAATATTTGCATCTATTCTATTTTACAAAGTATACTTTATACAATTCTAATTAAATAATGGAATATCGCATATTGTACATTAAAAGAATAATTTAATAAAATATTCAGACAGATGGCGCTAGCGTGTAAAGAGTGTCAGTTATCAATTATAAATAGAGTTTTAATTATAGCGGTACAATTTAATAGAGATAACACTATGGAGAAGAAAGGAGAATATATCGTTAACAGTTAAATAGTAATATCAAAAGAACAAACTATTTAATAAATAGAAATTATTAAGTGATTTATGAATGGAATGTTAAAAGAGAAGAAGAAAAACAACAACAAAAACAATTAGATGTATATTAATTATATACCTCCATCTTTATGTTATGTATTATCAAAGAATTTAAATCAAAGGAACAGAGATATGATTGAAAAAAAAAGAAAAAAAAAACACGAATATTATCAGTTGTGACACGAATTGAATAGGGAGATAATTTATAAATTTTTGTTATCTAAGATGGGTTTGCACGAGATATATAAAGTATAAAGAAGAATATAAAAATGTAGAAATTATCATAAATTAATAAAAATAATAATATTAAAAAAAAAATAGTAAAATCAAAGTCTAAAAATTCTTTTTATTTGATATTAGCGGGGTTATTATTAGAGTTATATATACATATATAATATACATATATTAATATATATATATATAAAATATATGGTTTTTACTGTATAATAGAAATTTATTTTTTTTATATTCATCTGTTTCTGCATGATAAAAGACTGAAGGAGGATAGGAAGATTTCAACGGGATATTATATTAGCAGTTCGGTGCAGGAGTGAGAAGCTTATAATCAGGATTTTATATACTATATATTATATATATATATATTTTTAAATGTTTTATCAATTTTCCTTCAACCCCTCTTCTGCAGGCAACCTATAAGCTTTTCTTTATTATCCTTTGAGATCGTTTCACGAAGGTTTTCCTTTGTTATATTATCTGTATGTTTCGAAAATATTCCCATTTTTTGCAAATTAAGTAATAATGTTAAAGAATCTTGAACTGTCTTTGATTTCTTGTTAATATAGTTAGTGATAACTTCATTAGGCTCATTAAAAAATCGCTGATTAGAGAACATTTCCATTAAGTATTTCCTAGCGTTATTATAGTCTTTAAATTCTCTTTCGCTGATTTTATCCTATTTAATAATAATAAAAAAATCAATTTTTTATTTCAATAGATTAACTAAATAGTTTGTAATTTATTACTTACTTTATTATCTATTTTGAAACTTTCTGAGTGAACAATTACGAATTTTCCAATTCCTATGAAAAAGGCAGCTTCTACACCAGTAAGAATTCCTCTACAATCCTCACCGAATAGAAAGAACAGGACTTTACTACGAAGTTTCTCAGCTTCTTCTTTCCTATTATATCTATCGTTTGACCAGGAATGATTTTTGAACATTTTGATTTTCTGGTTTCCCATAACCATATCATTTTTAAATTGATTTAGAAGATAATTAATTTTCTTTGAATATCCTAAACTAGACCCAATACAGTAAATATCATTTAAAAAGCTGAAATCCTCTTTTATTAAGGGAAATGATCCAATTTTGTAGGAGAACGATAAATTTCTTTTGATATTCATTTTTTTCATTTGTTTCCTTTTCAAATCTAGACAGACGAACATAAAGAGAGGAATATATTATAATCAACATTTCTTTATATATATTAGTATATATATATATATATATTTATATTTAATATACATTATTTTCTATATAATCAATTAATTCATTACCATAGAATATTCTATAATTATCTCTTTCATCCGTCTTTGTAAGAGTAAGTTCACCTTTAAGCATTCTTATCAATTTTTGCTTGTTATAGCTGCGAAATTCGCTTAAAAAGCATAAACACTCGTCGACTGTTGAACATTTGAACGATTCAAGATTATTACGAGCCCAAAATGGCAAATTACAATTGTAATAATTATCATAAAACTCTTCTAAATCAGTAAAATTCAATAATTTCTTTTCTTCTATAATTGCTGTTATTGAATCTGTAAGTTTTCTGTTGAGAGACAGAGAAAAAAGAGATATTTAGAGATAATCTTTCTTCTATTTTGTTTTAAATGTACAAAACGTTGATAAGAAAACCACAAATGTTAAACTTGAAAAGGCTACTATTTTGTTTTTTTATCAAAAATCAATCAATAATCATTTTCTGATGATAAGTTAAAAATTTCAGTTTTTTTTCTAATAGCGAATCAAATTAATGAGACAAGATTTACGATTGGAGAAAAGATAAGAAAGAGAGGGAGAAATTTAGAAAATGAAAGAAAGATAAGCAAATAAGGAATAAAATTGTTTTTCATTAAATATCGTTTAAATAATAAAACAGGAACAATAGATAGAATAATGAACAGCTTTTTTACATTTCCTAATAGAATTTTAAAGACTTTTAAACAGGTTGTTTGATTACTCTTAACGGTAATTTGAGAAAATAACATATCCAGTATTTAGTATACTATAATATATAGTACATATAATATAGCATATGATTTTAACATACTAAGGTGACTTTTAAACAATAAGAACAACGTATATATATATATATTATTAAGTTTCAACTTACTCGAGTTTATCAATGATATTGTCATTTGATAATTGAATTCTTTTCTTTGTAGATCTGTCGAATAATTCAGGATACTCTTCGATTATACTTTCCAAATGTAATATTGCCTGGTTTTCGTTCTTATAGACGGGATAACCTTGTCTTTCGTACAAGTACGCGAGGTAACGTCTAGCCTGTTTTAGTTCCTCGTATTCTGTATCTTTGAGGCATTGATTATCTATTCGGTGCTCATTTGCACCATTCTTCATATCTTCTAATACAAGGATAACATTCTTTCTCTTACCAAGAAGATAGGCTGATTCATAGATGCTAGCTATTCCTCGCGAGTTATTTTTTATTGCAAAAAAATTTACAAAAGCACTCTCTTTTGCTTTACATTCCTCTTCCATACATTCGATTGTCCAATCAGATTTCAATGGATTATAGTAATTAATTTTATTCTTTTCTAAATTTTTAATAACATCATTCCTCCATGTTGTAATTCCACAACTTCCGCCCAGGAATACTATTTAATTTAATTAAATATAGTTGGTTTATATTGAAATTATATACCGTACCATAAAAGACACTTACCAAACTTTTCCATCTTCTTTATTGCCTTTAAATCTTCATTTTCTAAATGTATTTTAGATTGGAAAAAAGGAGAAAAGGAAGAAAATTAAACGACTGTTTTTAAACGGAATATACTTCTTTTGTTTTCTTCTCTTTTTATGCAAGATACTTGTTTAAAAAAAAGGCAGTAAATTTTATTAAATATCTTGTATAATAAGACAAAATAAAGTAAAATAGAGAAAAGAATGAAGAGAACAAAAGAAGGATTCATTATTTTTTATTTTCTTACGTTTTTTATCCGAAATTATTGACGCGTTCGATCTGGAGAAAAGAGATAAAAAAAATATTTTCAATTGTTTTATATATAAATAGTAATTTCTTTTATATTTTTCTTTCTTATATAATTTACATTTTTGTTATTCCTTCTTCCAATTCCGATAGTATATAAGAAAATTGACCAAATGTTAAAGATTTTATATCTTTCTGTTCAATGGCTTTTAATTCGTTTTGAACGTATTCGTGAACTGTAAAAATTGCATATATTAATATTAATTATATCTTGTTTATTTATTAAAAATTATTAAACCTTTATTATAAGAATTAAATCTATTTTTTAATATTTTTTCAACCTTTTTCTTTAATTTATAAATTGAAATTTTTTCTTCAGTTCTATTTCTTTTCAACAATTCACCAAATTCTTGTAACCTTTTACTATAAATTAAGAAGGTTTCTAGTATCATTTTCAATAAATTATATAATTACTATATTAAAGGTATAATTACTATATAAGATTTAGATAAAAATGCGATTTTCTCGATGAGTTTTGTCCATTATCCTCCATTTTAATCGTTCGTTCGGATTTCAGCATTCTTTTTAAATGACAAACGATAGTGTGCTTCTCCTATTATGCGGTTGAAAATGTAAAATATATAGATAAATATGCATATATATATATATATATATAGATAGAGAGGATTGCTTAAAGACAATTAAACAAATGATATATACGCTACATATAATAATATATATCACAATTAGACTAATTCATCTCTTTCTTTACTCTTTTTCTCTTATATATTTTATTAAAAATACTGATTTTAAAGAAAGATGTATTTCTACTATATATAAAACAATGCTTTTTTTCCCTTTGCAACGGTAAATTGAACATGGAAGGATAATTTGTATGTATTGCTTAGGCCATAAATTATCCTGTTGTAATGTTATAATAGAATAATTATACAACGTTTGCTAAATATTTTTACCAGTTTATTCACACACATTTTTTTTTAATATTTCATATCTAAGTAAAATAAAGTGCAATCTACGCATAAAACAGTATCTGTAAGACTTTTACCTATTATTAAAACAGATAGCGTAATTTTTTAATTCGAAAAAGTCAAAAATTCTTGGAATTTGATTTGATAATTTTCTTCTTCATCCTTTTCAACTCTATCTATATATTTACTTCTTTCATTTATTCCTATTCTCTACCTCTCTAGCTGTTTATCGTTTCCTTTTAAAAGTTTACTTGTATATTTTCCTTTCTCTCACACTATCCCTTTCTCTTTCTCAGCCTCTCTGTCGTTTTGTTTCTCTCTTTGATAATTCAAAAATATACGGTTCTCCTAAGATCTATATCTATATAAGAAGCTGTCCAAACAGATTTGAAAGAGAGGCAAGTAATAGAAAGCGCTTACCTTTTCGACAACTATTATGAAAACATATTAAACTGAGTATTTGACCTTGTCTTCTGATTTATTGTCTCAATATCAATTTATGCGATATTAACTATGAAAAACAACTAGCCAATTGTACTATATATGTGTATATATAAAGTATAACATACATATCATAATGTATATAATTTAAATATTCAAATATATATTGTATATATATTTGTATATATACAGAATATATATATATATAATAGAGAGGAATACAAGGAAAATACACAAGCACGCACATATTCTTATGGCGCACTATATACACTCAACTTTAAACCAAGATGAATCACTTGCATATATTTTTGCACCGAGAAATAGAAAAATACAATAAAATCATTATAAGATATCTCTTATTTTTTCTTCTTATCATTCGATAATTGCTAACCCTTTCTCTTACTAATAGCTCTTTTAAAATATATATATATATATATATTTATTATATATATATTTTTATAATTTATGTATAGTTAATGCAATATATATATATATATATATATAAATCTTTTTTAAAGCTAATGTATTAGGCTTAGTTTTTAGAAAATTGTTTGACTTAACTGTTTTTCCTCATTTATTCTTCAGTGTCTGATTAAAGTTATCCTCTTGTACGCAATTTCACTCTTTAGATTAATAAATCCCATTGCTCTGTGTGATGATGCCGTTTGGCTTCAGATTACACTATTCGAATTCGCTCTAGAAAAGAATTGCTCCATATAGCCTTTTTTTTAATAAGTTTATATTAGAGAGAGAGAGAGAGAGAGAGAGAGACAAGCAGAGATAGAAAACTAAATAAATACGCATTGATATGTACAAAAAGTATAATTTGTTGATTATTTCGTTACGTCACTCGATATTGTATTATAAATAAAACATTTTAACCTCTCTTATTAAAAACTTGTATCCCTTTTCTTTATTCTCTATCTTCGTATTTTTTGTATATATTTTAAACTTTCTTATTATTTCTTTTATTACTAAATAAACAGAAAAAGAACAGTAATTTCTTCTTTTTTCTCCAATTCTAATAAATAAATTTTGTCTTTAATTTTTATTTAATCAATTCATATCGTAGAAGGCCTGAACACGAAGTAATAGAGTTCAAGATGAAATTCTTGCACTTATGGCGCCATCTTTATTATATTATAAAACCTTGTCTAAATATTTACTATTTGAAAATAAGACCAGAAAAATATGTTGTTGTTAGGTTTACTCATAAGTTATTAAGACGTACATAGTCAAATAAACAGATTGATTGAAAGGAAGATAGATGAAATAAAAGGAGAGAGAAGAAGAAATTTCGTTTCTCAAAGTATATACTGTATATTATTATTAATAATAATATATACTGTATATATGTGTATTAAATCACGCGCTCCTTCATTTTTGTTTTCCATTCAATGAGAATAGAGAGAATGTTGTAAAAATAATAAATTATCCATAGTTTATACTAATATAGAAATATATATATATATATATATATATATATATATATATATATATATATATATATATATTATATACTGTATATACTGTCTATATATATGTATGTATGTGTGTGTGTGTACTACGTATGTTTCAATAGAAAAAAAATGATTAGTATCAATATTTAATATAAAACCGATAGATGGCACATTTTACAAAGTGTTTTCTTGGTATTTTTTTTTCGCTTTTATATTTTTTATATGTTTAACTGTGGTGATATGGTCAAATGCCATACAGGATCTCAATTTACTATTATTACAACTAGTATTATGGAGTAAGTTGAAACTTGAAACTAAAATAAGCAATATTAAAAGAGAGAGAGAGAGAGAGAGTTAGAGAGGGTATTGAATGTAGAAGAATAGTCTATGTTGTTTTTTCTGAACTAAATTAAATACAATAGTAATGATTAAGAGTAGATTTTTACCGAATTGTGTATTTTCTTTAGTTTTTATAGCTTTTGAAGTAAAAATATACTATTATACAAAAAGTACTAGGCCTATTTTTGTACTTTTATTAAAAGAACTATGAATTATAATCTTGACGATTATCAACTCTGCTCTCATTCGTTAAATTCCCTTAAAAATATTATATTTTTTGTAAAGAATACACGAAAATCACGAACAGCTTGAACAGGATAGTTTTAACTATGTTTCATGAATTCGTGATATTAGAAATTTCGTCATGAAACTTTATTCACGATGATCAATAGGCAAGACGTTATACTATTTCTGAGTATAGACTAGACGAGTTAAAGATAAATATTATATATTATATATACAGTATATATATAATAAAAAATTACAACTACATTAATTAATTAGTGAGTTTGTATTCAATAAAAAACTACTGTAGTTTTATTATATTTTTAATTTTCTTAATTGTAATATAAAGAACGGTTTATAGTAAATTAATTTTGAATATATAAAACAAAACGTTTAGTTAAGTGTATCCAAATATTTGGGTTTACAGGTTTATTACTCTTTCGATAACACATACACAACTAAGAACTACGCCCTTATTTTTCCACTCTTATTTTTTATAGTACAAACAATATACATATTGAATATTGATTAAAGCTATTCCCTACTTGTACCGAGACTGCCAAAATAACTATGTATATATTTATATATAATATGTATATATAAACATTTATATATATATATATATATTAAACCCCTCCTTTACCGTTACCACCTCTCTTTTTAACAATAGGTTTGACGTCATTAGAATGACGAAATGTCAACAGAAGACAACAAGTGTTTACCTTTTGTACTTTATATTGCGCTTGTCGGTCGAGATTTTTATTATCAGTTAAATAGGGATTCTATATTGGCAGTATTAAATATGAGATGATCTTTCTTCTCTTTAATGTTTTGTTTAGAAATTAAACGAATTAGAAATAAAGAAAAAATATAAGACGTAGTATAAATTAATATCCTTACTTTATTTCTTCTATTAAATGTTCAAAATATATAATTATGTCCTTTTCATTTTAATAATGTTGTCGTGTTTTATAATCCTTCCTCTTTTCTTTTCCCCTCCTCTTATTTTGGAATGCAACTATAACAATTTACCATTTATATACTATTATAATGTTTGCTTGAATACCTTGAAGGAGTAGTATGAATAAGATGATTAATAGTTAGTAACACGAAGAATAAAGGGAAATGATAATCGTTTCTTTATATTCTACAAAAGGGTTATAGTATAAAAATGTAACTGTGCATATTAGATATATATATATATTAATGTATAGTGTATATAAGTATACTAGGAGTAATATGTATATACAGTTTATATATATATATATATTTGTACTCGAGAGTGACTGGTTATCAACGTTTAATTTTTTTGTACTCATTTCCCTTGCTAGAGGTGAAATTATGAGTTTCTTACACTTAAAAGTTCTTGTAATGGTTATACCATACTATTACGCTAATAGATAAAATTGTAAAGAGTGCAATTAAATATATATACAGTATATATATATATATATATATGTTTAGTTTACAATATAGGGAGATATATTCATACTGTATTAAACTTGTTATCTTCAACTATAAGCTTAGCTTTTATCATTATCATGATGATAGTTCAATAGTTCAAGAGCATATTTTCAACCAATTCGAATCACATCTCACAATAGTAAATGTGCTTTGAGATGTATTTAGTGTACATTTTGAACGTATATATAACAAGAGAGTTATTTCTTAAAATAAATTGAAAATGTTTTATATATTCTATAGGTTATTAGGTTGTAGCTCGCGCTTGTCAATTATAAATGCTTATATTTTCGATCAAGTTGGATTAAATTATAGAAATGTTTCATTTACTAAACCTGAATGGGGAAGACTTGAAATTTCTAGAGATAAATCATTTTTTTCTTATCCAGTTAGTGTTAGCTTTTTTCAACAAAACTTTTCAATAATATACATACACCAAAAAAAGACTGGCTCCTCATTCCAAATACAATATCTTTGCTATTAATTCTACTATTATTTGTATTTATCTTCCTTAAAGTGTTTAAAATGATTAATTAAAAATCTAAGCAAAAAAGAAAACAGAAATAGGTCTTTTCGCAGTTTTCACAAAAGAGAAATATCATTTTGTTTAAAAGTGAATAAAATTCAATCAACAGGAAGAAAAAGAAGAGAAAGACTCTTACTATATAAAATATTAACCTTGAATATTCTATTAATATTGTTTGTATTTTCTATTTACTACATAAAAAAATATATTAATAAAAATGAAATTTTTACTTTTCATCTTACAGTAACAAAAGTAAACTTTGAACAATAGTACATAATAAAAACGACAATGATTATAAGAAAAAATTAAGAACACAATTTTCCTTTCATATTCAATTTTTTCCTGTTTAATTGCCTTCTTTCTCTCCCTCTCTCTGTCTCTCTTAGAAGAGGTAATTAATACTTTTGTTCATAGATAATAATAAGGTTTTTTTTGAGATACAATTGGGTAAGAAGTTTTGTTTTTGGTTTATGCTAAAATTTTATTGTAATTGTCATACTTCTTTAACATCTTTTCTCTCTCATCATGGAATAGGAATATCTATAAAAAAAATGAAGAAAAACACAAATAGACGCTTTTCAAAAACAATAATAATTGTAAGATTTTAGTGTTGAGAGATGGGGGTGGGAAATGAACAATTTTTAATATTTCATAGGCAAAAGAAAAGAAAAGAAGCTGAAAGCTTATTTAGGTTAAAAAACAGGAGGAGACATTTATTTAGTAAATCAATTTATTCTTTTTTTTTAACAAATAATAGAATAACTTGAAATAATCAAAAAATTAAAAGTAACTCAAAGAGTAAATAATAGCAAAGATATTTAAAAGGTTAAAGGGAGAGAGAGGGAGAGAGTTTAGCAAAAAAAAAAAAATAGAATCTGTGCTTATTTGGAAGGCATAGTGTCTATCTTACCAGCTTCCCTATGTTTTCCAGCTATCAATAACTCTGCCAATTTTTGCCAAGATGGTGATTCTATATATAGATAAAGAAAAAAAAAGAGAAAGAGATTTTAGATTAAAAGATTACTTTCACTTTTTGTTTATGATCTACTTTCTTACCTCTTCGTTGGTTATCTCTATATGTCTCAGCTAAAAATAAAAAGGAAAAAAAAGAAATAAGTAAGATATTAGTAAGGAAACAAAAACTATGAATTTCAAGTAGAAAATATAAAATATCATAGATAAATTATTTAGATTATATACAATAGAAAAGTTAAAATATTATCAATTTGGGGTCAATTTGAAAAACTCCAACTTGTAAATCAAGATAAAAAATATAATAAAGAAATTTATTTTATTATCGCAAGCTTTCTTTGTACAGAATGAATAGAGTTACGATCTTATTTGTATATTAAAAACTTACCGCTTGCCAATTTTCCTCCTGAATTTTCTCTATCAATTTGTTTCTGAATTTCTAATGAAGAAATATAGAATAATTAGAATTTTTAATTATTTATAATTGTTTTTACCTTTAATTAAATGTTTTAGGATATTTATTTTCACTGTTTCCGTTGACAGCTTGTCTGCTGGTTCGCTGCTTCTTCTCATTGGAAATGGCCAAGTTCCAGAGTTTAGTTCTTTTTCTTTAAAATATATTCATAACTATTATATACATTTCTATTAGAAATAAAGAAAATTTAGTTTACTTTCTCTGTGTTCGTTGTTTAAGGTTTTTGATAAATCATTTATTTTACTTATTACTTCATCAAGTCTATTGTTAATCCTTTGAACTAGAAACAAGAAAGATAAAAAAAAGTATATTTGATTAATATTGTTGTCTTATATTGAATATTAAAGTTATGTTTTTACTTGAATTTCCATCTATAGGTATACTATAAGTTAATTGTGTTATAAAAAATATGGTAAAAATCCTTAGTATCCACTTCATCCTTCTCTTACCGTTTTCGAATTGAGCTCTAACTTGACTTTGTCTGTTAAATACAAAATTAATCTGTAGCCAATCAGAGATCAGTAGATTATCTACATAAACCGAGATATATTGTATTATATCTTGTTTAAATATTCTTAAATATATGCATTGCACAAGAATTACAAAGAATTAAAAACTACTTGCCTTCTTAAGAAGATAATAAAGTTTATTTCTAATTTCTTTTTTTCTTTTATTATTAAGAGAAAGAAACTAAATGAAAAGTGAAATACTTTGAAAGTGTCTAAAAAGGCTAAAATGCTCAATATACAGTATAAATTTATATATATATATATATATACATATATATAATATAATAATTAAAAAATATATACATTTCTATTTAGACACTTAATCTTTTTATGATATTGAAACAGGAAATTATAATGGATGCAGTCAATTAACTTGCTACAACACTCCCCATAGCCAGTGATACTATTACTAAATACAATCAGCTTGAATGGCTTACTTCCTGTCGACTAAAAAAAGTCTTATCTCTTACTTTTATATTTGTTTGCATATGAAAAAGATATTGAGTTTGGTATTTACCATATGTTATTAATGATATCGTCATTACTAATTTGGATAGTATGTTAATTTAATGTGTATTAAAAGTGTCATAATTAATCAATTTAGGCTATAAAAGTTACTCCATTACTAAGCAGTTTTTATCTAAATAGTATTAACTAATAAATGAAATTTCTTTATCAATCAACCAACGCACTACAAACACGGATGTACAATACTCATTCATGTTCATGTGACGTTATAAATTCTATTGAACGAAACTAGTTTGAAGAATCAGCACATTTTGCTAAGGTTAGTATTAGTTCAAGAACGGTAATAAATAACAAATATATTTAAAGAATGCGAGTAGGATTATTAGAATAATGATGATAAGGCATTTAAGACGTCAAGGATATCCTTATTTAACAATTCACATTAATTTATACTTTTGACCTACTCCTTTGATGAATAAGAAACGCGAGACTTTGCCCATTTTATAAAGATTATATTGTTGAACAATAATACGAAGGTGGCAATCGTTTTTCTTCTTAATTGATGATTCAGATTGTAAATTTTCAACAGTCTTATAGACTGTTGTTTGAATTTCAATAAGGGCTTTTATAAAAACAAGAATATTCTTCGACAAGCTCTTGAAAAGAGTATTATAAACTCTATGGTAAAACTCAATACCAATTAGCGAATGTATAGAATTTGAAGAAGGTTCTTCCGCCCATAAACTCGGTGGGAAGATTGACTCTTCTTGGATAAAAGTTGATAGAACAGATTGCAAAAAGTTGTCGATTCTCTTATCGCCATTTCCACTGACTTTGTAAAAATCGTGAAAAGCCTCTAGAACTTCACTAGGCGATAAGTAAGCCAATCCAAATAAGTTACTTAAGAAAGTTGATAAGGTTCCATCCGGATGTTTGTAATCGTCTTCTAAACCATATCTTTCAATTAATCTTTTTATCATTTTCTTAAAATGGAACATACAACATCTAATTGATGAATTAGGTAAAACTTGTCTAATAGCCTCGATAAGAAATGGATCCAATTCAGTAAAAATGGTTTTCGGTTCAAAGAATAAATTAAATTCTTGACATTTCAGTTTTAAAGAAACAAAAAATTCACAATAACTCGAATAATTCGCTTCTAAGAGAAAAGCGTAGATTAGTGGTATAAAATTTCCATTAATATATCCATTAATTGTAAAAAACTTCCTATGAAAAGGTGGAGAATATTGAAAAGTACCATCGGCGAATATATCTTGAAATTCAGTACACATAATCCTTAAATTTGATTCGCAAGATATAATAATCATTCCATTTTCTTTATTATTTAGTAGAGTAAAATTTTCAAATTTACATGTAATTGGATTAACTTCATCAATTTGATTATGTAATTCAATCCTTGACTTTGGTAACTTTTTAATTTGTTCTGTTTTTAGATTATGTATAATTTTCCATATGATATTTATATCAGATTTATTTAAGCTTTTTAAATCATTATCAATACGATGATAATGCTCATTTTTTACTTTCAATATAACAGTTTTCGATCTATCAGTTTCCACCATACTTTTACAAAGTTTCTTTGTACAACACCAACTTAAAATAGTTCCACCAGCTTTTTCTCTTTTCAACGAATATTTATTATTTTCAATAACTATACAAGGTTTACCTCTATTGGTTTTAGTTAATTGAAAATCCATCTTTTATTCTTAAATTAAAAAATAGAGTAGAGAATGTTGTCTTTCCTGAACAAACCACAAGATATTTGATTTAAAACTAACCGCAGATAGATACAGCTAAAATAATAAACTATACTTTCTTTTTATTTATTTCTTATACCCAAGAGATATGGAATACAATACGATTTTTACATAGTTAGACACTTTATAAAAATAAGCATATTTTAACAATAAATTAATACGTTTTCCTGACGGACAATGATTTTTTTCAATAAATTAATTAATAATTTAATTAATTAATTCAGTGTTAAAAAAAATAATACAAAAGATAATTTCAGTTTCTTTTTTTAATATAGAAATGACGTTGTGAATATCACTTTTATTGTTTTAGTTAGAAGATAATGGATAGAGAGAGAAAGGACGGAGAAAGAAAAGGAGAAAAGATCAATTAAAAGATATATTTATAAATATAAAATGAACTATTACAAAAATCTCATAGTAACACAAATTAATCGATTTTGTTAAAAACTGATTATATACGTAACTTAGACGAATAAAGCGGATTAGTACAATAGTTTGATTTATGTTGTTTATAATAATTCTTATTAAGTTAGGACAATACTCTATTATCGTTAATTATTCTATATACTGTATATATATATGTGCGCATGTGTAGAGTCTAAATATAACATATATATCTTTATTTATGCTAAAAATAGATTTTTGAATAATTTTTATTAAACAAAAGTAAAAATAAATTAAAGTTCAAACTGTCTTTCCATTTGATTCTGTTGTTGAACTTCAGTCATTTTTGGACTAACATGTGATGATTTTTCAAAACATAATACTACTATTCTATAAAATTGCAGTACAAGTACAACCAAATTTTTACTTAAAAAGAAAAATATAGTAAATGTTTGGACTTTAAAGTAAATGACTGTAACTAGTCTAAGAATTACGAATGGACCATCTTGCATTAAAACTGAGACCAATAAAGTCCACACTTCAGTTTCACAGCAAACATGATATCGTTTTACAGCCTTTGAAGCTAATACACTTCTTTTTCGGATTATTGTACCCGAGAGAGTAGCTCGATTCGTTAGGACGAATGTAAATTGCATAAGGCTCCAGCTCCAAGCAGCTAAAATTGAGTATATCATTCTTTTTTCTTTCTTTAGTTCATCTATTGCAATGATGGGGAAAAAATCGAGAATATCCGCCGCAATGGCGAAATAAACAAGTAGTAGCTGAGATAGCTCATCTCTTGTCATATGTCCTTTGGGTAAGAGCCATCTACCTACTATCAGAATGAGCATGAGTCCCTGTTCTATCATCAAATACCAATCAGAGGTGTTAAACTGCTGACCAATACCAGGAATATAAACCCCAGTAGCGTTTGTTAACTGAGGTTTTTGATCAAGTTTATCCAATTCTAATATCCAAACGCAAGATATAATTGTTGTTAGATATACAAATACACTTGGACAGAACCATTTCCAATCTTCACCCTTCTTAACTTTAATAACAATGATAAGTTCAATAATCAAAAAGAGTAAGCTTGCAGATAGAAACCAATAGTAATAACTATTTTTAACATTAGATGTCCAATAGATGCTTAAACTAGAGTGGCAAATAAATAGTATTCTTGCTCCGATTGCTTTACATATATTAAACAAATTTTTTCTTATTGTTCTCTCTCCATTCTTAGTGAGTTGTTTTTCTTCGTTAAACGAAACCTTTTTATTATTTTTCTCTATTTCGCCATTGTCTTTTATCATTTTTATAAATAAACAAAGTAAAGAAGAAACGCTTCTCCTCAGTCTAACTCTTTATAAATTTTTTGCCATTTTAAGGCTGAACTAGAAACTTTTTCCGCATTCGTAATAATTGATTAGTTTGATTGGTTGCCAGAAACTGATATAAATAAGTATTATTATAAAAAGAATATTTGTAAACACATCTAGTGGATACAATATAGGACAATTAATACTGCATGCTTGAGCACTAACTTACTAGCGCCTAGTAACAGGCTAGTGAACTTTTTTCCATTTTGTTTAATACTAAAACGAGATCTATTACATAGAATTTCCCTTTCTTTTATGCAATTGAGTAAAACTTATTATAGGTATTCTCTTACCATAAATAAAATAATATCTGTACTAAAACTTTATATATAGTCGTTGTATAAATTATATAAATAGTCATAACTTTTTTTCTACATAAGTTTTTTTTATCATAGTTTCTTAATGGCAGCTTTTTTTTTTGTTTTTATAGTGCTTATAGTTTAGTAATTGAAATGGATTCATCAATTTAAACCTTTTGTATATTTATTCATAAGTTTAGAAGCTGAAGTATTATGTATCCTAGCAACTTTATTTATATAAAATCAGTTATAAATCATATATATATATATATATATATATATATATATATATATAACTAGACATATATCTTTTCCTTCTTTTCATGCTTTTCAATATCAAAAATGATTTATGAAGTGTTCGAAAAGAGTTGAAAACGACAGGAAATATTTCCGCTTTTAAACAAAAATTACATAATATTACTAAACTGTCGCTTTTTCTTTTATCTCTTAAAAAAAATTGGAAAAAGTAGAACAAATTAGAGAAAGCAAAGTACTACTAGCTAGATAACAGTAAGATATTAAGATTATTAGTAGGACGAGTAGCCTTGAACTACTAATTTTATATATTTATTATCTACAATGAGAAATATTCAAGAGTTAACGAAAGGGTTAAAAAGTTTAATAAATACAACTTGAAAGATAAAGGAAAAAGAGATATGTTAACAGTAAATAAATATTTATTACATTTTATTATCAAAGGAGAAAAGAATTTTTGTTATTTATGTATTTTATACAATATACTTTTAGATATTAGTATGTAAAGTATTGTAATTATCTGTCTGTTAGATCTTGAAGAAAGTTTTTAGAGCATTTCTTTTTGTCATAGATTATTTATTAATTGTTATCTCTTTTACTAATTCATTGATACATTTATTTATTAATGTAAGCTATATTAAATGTATGTAAATTTTGGTTCTTATTTAGGTCATTCTTATGTGTTTTGAGTTTCTAACTTAGATTTTACCACTTGTGATGAAAAATTAAAAGTTGATAGAAGAGCTATTATATTCAAATAGAAAAACAAAAATCAATGATAGCCAATTTCCGTACCAAATTCCGAGTAAAGAACGTAAATGATAAGACAAGGAAGAAGATAATTGATCATTTTCACAATTTTTTCCATTCCTAATTATGAAAAGTATTCTATTTGCTGTGTCTATTTAAAATAAGGCTTAAGTAACCAGAATCTGGGAGGAAGATGAAATAAATATTAAAGTAATATACAGTAGTAATCAGTTTTATTACTTATATATAATTCTAGTATTAAAATTTGCTTAATAGTATTTATTAATAAATTAATATATTGATAGAGATCTTTTTCTATTTAAGAACCAACTAAATTTTTATTACTTAAACAAATAACGGTAGAATACGTAGATAAATAGATAGATAGATGGACAGATTGACTTTAGATTGCAATGAATACGTGGGCGAAGAAATTTGTAGATCAGGATATGGTGGGGTGGGGTCGAAGGGGAGAGGAGACAGAGGGGGAGGGATGTAGGATAGAAAAAATGCATCATAAAAGTTTTAAGGACATTTATGTGGGCGTAAAAATATATTAAAAACTATAGTAGAGTTTATACTAGGATATACCTTTGCTATAAATAATCATAAAAGAATATCATTTGCATATACACAGTTGGTAAAAGCAACATTTATATAAAATTTATATTTAATAACACTGCATAAGTCTTAGATAAATACCTTAAATCTATAAAGTGTAATAGCTATTTTTTTTCAGATAAGTAATTTACTTTAACAGAATAATTCGGATTAAAAGAAAAAAGGAAACAAGTCTTTTTACAAAAAAAAGGCATTAGACCGCAGCAAATTAATTTTCGGTTGTCGTTAATATCACTTGAATAATTTAATTAACCAGATTGTGACGTATGAATACGTAAACTAGTGTCGTAAAAAAAGAAAAATTTGCTGATCAGCATAGAAAAAAACTGAAAAGTTTATATGGAAAGTGTATAAATTTTTTACTATTCAGAGACATTAAGTAGCCAAATAAGTAAGATTATTTATTTTTTTTTCTTTGTTAATCAATAAAGGATTAAGTAAATTGTCCAATCAAAAATAATTGAAAATAGTTTTTAATTATTTTCCGGAAGGAAATATTTTCTCCAGCAATCGCTGCAGTATAAAAGCGATGCGAATATTGGTCATACGGCATTTCGCAGCCATGAGCAGATTTGTTTTGCATTTTCTATTATTGATATGTTTGTTAAATGTTCAAGTTCAGGCTAATGTATTTTGCGATCCCGAATTCACAATGAGATTGATTTCAATATGCGGTATGACTAAAAGATGTAAGTAGACTTTATTCATAATTTCTTTTTAATTATTATTTTGTCCGTTTTACTCTTTTATTCTATTATCATCTGTATTTAATTTTTATATTGGTATTCCACAAATTGGTACTTTTCAGCCGGACATATATACAAAAGAGGAGTAGTTCCTTTAAATTTAATGGCCGATTATTGCTGTAAATCAAAAGGATGTCATATTAAAGACGTACTTAATGTATGTGCTGGATAGTATTTTTAACCATTTAAGCCTCTAAAAAATTAATAAAATAATGAAAAAAAAAATATCATTGTTGTTCTTATCCAAATGTTGTCAATGAACAAGAAAATAAGAAGTTAAAGAAAGTTGGACTGCACAAAATTTGCTTCGTAAAATAAAACAAACAAACCAAAAATACACGTATTGGAAAAAATATATACATGTTCATTCTCAAAGACTATTCATTATATTATTAATATAAAAAATATTTATTTCTATGTATTTATATCATATTTTAATATATTTTTCAACTACTTCCTTTCCTATCCTTCTCTATTCCGTCTTGTACTCTTTTCTTCTTTACTTTCTTCACTTATTCATACTCTTATCAAAATTTTTTCAAAGCTAATCGAATGCATTTCATTTGTTTCAATCAGTATTTTTTACGCTTCTATATTTAATATAACATGCTACAAGTATACTTATATAGAGTGGATTGTACTATATATATATATATATATATATATATAGTATCTAAATTAATATATTGTCTACAAAGTATATACTTTGTATATTGGTGTATAAAAAGAATATATATATATATATATATATTTACTCGCATACTTAAATATTTATATATTTCATTTATCTATTAAGTAATAAGAGTTGTACGAAATGAGATAATGCCAATTGTTTTATGGATAAGACCCTAGATATAATTTACATTTCATCCGTTTCTTAATCAAAACCTACCTATATAAAGTTTTTAAATAACTTTATTGATATACTAATCAAATGGATAATTTCATCATTTGGATAATTATACTGTTCTGCGTGTCTTTATCTTTTGACTGTTGTAAAAAGAATAATTACAACATGGATATTCGCATATTAAGTGAATAAGATTTAAAAATTTTGACGGAAAGTTCCGGAAATGAAAAACCTGAAATAGTTAATAAGATGTGTCAAAAAGTCAACTTGTCTTTATGGATGAGAAGATCAATATTTTATTATTATTTTCATTATAACGTGTATTTAAGAGAAAAGGATGCTGAATTAACCTTCTTCCCGCATACTTGGTCTTTTCACACATATATGAAAAGCTATTTTTAATCTCCTTCCCGTAATCATACAACTCTTCTCAGTCCCTACGTGCAATTACGGCTGCTTGAAGAAATTGGAAAAAAAGTCGAGGAGCATTAAAAACACAAACTAGAATCTTTTATAGGAGATTGTTAAAACGTCGAGTTAGCCTGTTTTAATATATTCAGACATATATTATTTAAATCAGTCTCATTCCTCTTTCTCTACGTCTATCTCATTGCCAACTCCTAAAGGTTCAATAAAACTAATAGCTAGGATAAAAAAGGGTTTTCAGGGAAAAAGAAGAAAATTATTTTAGTATTGTATTTTATAAACGTATTTGTTGTACTGTACATTCTATATACTGTATATACAGTATATACAATACATATATACTATATATATGTATAAATCTGGGGCTAATACGATGACTTATTTTATGAATAAACTTTTTAATATAATAACTAACGTATTATTAATAATGGATACTGAAAACATAGTCTTTTTCGTAAATAAATGTCTTTTTTCCCTGTTACTTAACCTAAGGTTATAAATTTCATTCAAACCAAATTTACTTTAACATTTTTTAACCATTATTAGTAGTGTATTTAAGAAAATTACGTTAACTGTTATTATACACAGTTTATATACCGTAGTTTTGCATGCTTCTTTAAATTAAGAGAAGAAAAATTCCCATTTTGTCATCCAGATGGCGTAATAAGATGGTGTAAGGAATCGAAATTATATTGAATGAGGGAGAATGACAACATAACTAACGAAATATATGAAGATAGACTAAAAATAACGGAGAAAAAAATTCAAGTGTAGCCTAGTTATAGTTATTATCCCTAAATGAATAAATAATAAACAAATATTAGATCAGTCTTCTTGTACATTGCCTTAGCTGTATTCGTTAAAGTTTTTCAACCGATTTATATTTTGACGAATTACTTTATTAATTTATTTAGCAAATAGTTAACCCTTATTGTGATTGTATTGACATAGTTTTTGATGAGTAGACGCCTCCTAGTTCATCTATTACTTTCCGCTAAAAGCCGGTAAAAAGAGCAAAAAATTCATATAGTAAATAGTTGTACTAAAAATTTTAAATAAGTAATCTTCTTTTAAGATGAATATTTCTTTTACAATTTGTGTATAACTTCAGTCTTTATGATAGAAAAAAATGAACCTATTCTGCATATTAGTGTATCTATATCTATTGAATGCATTATTTATTTGCGGGGCGACTGACTTCTTGCAAAAGCAATAATAGTCACGTGTCTTTCTTGTTCCTTTTCTTTTAAATTTTTATTGTAAAATATTCATATGTTTTTAACGTTTTATTTTTAGAAAGAGATTAAATTTAATAACTCATTTCTTATTAAAAGCCATTTTCAAAAAATTTTCTAAGTAAAACAATTAGTCACCTGGATTTTCCGTTCTGAAAAAGTCATTGAGGACTTTCCTATCACGAAAATGTCCTGAAAGACTTTAATAGAACAATTCTTTTCTATGGGAAATGCCAAGTAACCAAGATACAAATAGTATTTCTTTATCTAATGTAGTTGAGAAAAAACAAGTAATGCTTCGTCTATATAGTAATGTTTGCCTTATGAAATATATATATATATATTAGTAAATGTCGAATGATCGTTTGACGGGTTTTCCAACAAAAATCAAGATGTAATTTAGTGTTTCTGTTTTTCAATCTTATATTATGATCTATAAATAACTTGAGATTAAAACAAAAATCCCTTTCATACTGTTCAAACGCCAAACAATTTGCTTTAAATTGTTCTGGGCTTCTATCTCCTTTATTCAAATGAAATATATTAAAGAGAATGAATTAGAATTCCCTCGGCTAATGTTCAAGGCAACTTCACTATGCAGACTGTATATTCAATAAGTTTGCAATTAATAATAGAGCATTGCTTTAATAGTTATATTTAAAAAAAATAAGTTATATCAGATATTAATAAACTATTAATTACGTAATCTTATAATCTTCATCCCCTTTCCTGCCCCCCATCATCCCAACCCCATCCCTCTCCATCTATCGTAGCTACGTCATTTTATTTTTGGTGTAATAAATATATTTGAGGGATTAGTAATACTAAATATCAATAAATGATTACATTAAAACTTCATCTAAGAATTTGTCAGATACTATTTATCTCACTAATGTTTTCCACAACACAATTCACATGAAAGTAATCCATTACTTGGCCATAGTTCGCATTGTAAATAATTCACCAGGTCATTTAGCCGTTGTAGACCGTGCAGTTCACAATGGTTGTTCAATTGGAGGCGCAAAAGGGATTCAAAATGACGGTTAAGAAAATGATCAAAGGAGCAAGTGATGAAAAAGATGAAAGACTTTTGACCTGGGGAGATTTGGTGAACAACCTTACTGAAAATACTGTACCTCGTATGAGTAAAGCTAACTCTGTCGGAAAAAAGGTTTTCTGGATTATTGTATTGCTCTTTGGACTTGGTAAAGAATACAATTAAATAATTAATTTCTATCTTTTCATTTAAATTAATGAAACTTTTTTAAGATTGTTACCATTGAAATAACTGATTTCACTTTTTGAACAGGCATGTTAACTTATCAAGTTACTGACAGATTTATTAAATACTTTAACTATCCTACTGTAACTGAAGTTGAGGTTCCATTGGCTACTGAATTACCCTATCCTACTATTACTTTTTGCAACTTGAATCCAATGAGAAGATCGAAACTTACGGAAGCTGGTATTGGAATAACTAGTCTTTGCGGCAGTGGTCAAAGTTATCAAGTAAGTTATTGTGATTTATTTTACTTCTGTTAAAGAAGAAAGTAATATGAATCCTGTGTTATACTCTCACCTATTGATTAGCTATTTCTCTAATGTGCTTCTTTAATAATGTAAATAAAAATATTACAAATAACAGATTATTTTTAAATAATTACCATAAAGCTATTATTTTATGAATTAAATATAATTTTTATTATAATTTTTTATTCTCTTTTTTCATTAGGTTCTTTTATAAAGTCAATTTTTATTCTTCAATTTATAGATAGATATATTACATACTAACAAAACCTGTGTACATATTTTAATCAGCATATTTGCGTGCCGTAAACGGTTTATGCAAAGAAAATGAGGTTCGATATATCTTGTTAAGCTCTTAATGATAGCTGATTTACCAAATTGGATTAGTGTAAAGATGATTGCGTATAGTGCATTCTCCTAAAAGGTTATCGGGTTAAGTTGCTGCTTTAAATTAATGTTTTATTAAGTGTTGGTAACATTAGTGTAGATTTCAATCTTTAATAAAACTTGAATTTGTTCACCATTTTTCTTTTAATGATAGTAGATATAAGAAAATGGTTTTTGAATGGAATAAATAGACAAATAATGCTTTATAGCAAATAAATAAAAATATATTCTGCAACGATGAATGAGTCATCAAAAAAACCGTAAAAGTATAGCAAGCAAACAAATATTAAAGTACATTAACGTTTATTGGTTAAACTTTCTTATTCACCAGACCTTTTATTTGTCCATTTTGTTTACTTAAATAAACAAAGATAAAGTATAATGTGAACTTAATTATCAACAGAATAGCGATTGGTCTAGTGTTAATGAATCTGATGATAAACATTATTTAAACTGGTCCCTCATGGAATTGAAAAATAAATACTATGACGAGAAAACTGCATCAGCCTATAAAGCTGATAAATTTCAAATGCTTTATTCTACGATAAGCCTTGAAAAACGACGGGAACTTGGTCATCAATTAGACAGAATGCTAATTGGTTGCGAATTTAACGGACGGCCTTGTTCACCAAAGTATAAATTAAAAAAAAAAAATTCTGTTAGTGTTTTCAAAACCATTTACTTATATTTTTAATTTTAACTTAGAAATTTTACGGCACTTCTTAATCCAATTTATGGAAATTGTTATAGTTTCAACGCTGATGGCAAACTAAAGTCATCTCAATCTGGTCCAAGATTCGGTAAGAACAGAACAATTAGTATGAAAGATTTATATTTGATATATATATACACTATATAATAAAATTGTTATTTTATTATATTTGCTATTTGCTCGTTGCGATTAATTTGCACTCGGTTAAAATACTTATAACAAGTTACCCTAGTTTTCTCAAATGATAATATACTATATCTCTAATATTTCATTGTATTTGTTCCTAAAAAAGGTTTGAAAGCCAGAGTATTTCTGGAACAGAATGAATACGTCGATAATTTATCAGACAATGTTGGTATTAAGGTTGTTGTTCATAACCACACGGATATGCCATTTCCCGATGAGGAAGGGTATGGTATTGCCCCTGGTCATAAATCTGGAATAGCTCTTTATAGGGTAAGATTTTTATTTTCATATTTACTTGATGCTTTTTAATTGATAAACATATTTAATACATTATAAATCTGTTTAACAGAATGATAGACATTTATATCACGCCCCTTACGGTGATTGCGAAATTGTTTCAGAAGAGAAAAATAGACTTATAAACGGATATAATAATCTTATGAATACTTCGTCTTATTCAAAATTGGCTTGTACAAAAACTTGTTTGCAGAAGCATATTATCGCAGCCTGTAACTGCAGTAATTATAAGTATCCTTCAACTGGGCCAGCTTTTGAAAACTTTGGAAATTTTAGTATGTGTGACGTAGAATCTAACGCTACTGATGGTAAAAAAAGACTTTTTTGACATTCTAAAAGCTTTTCTGATTTTGAATAAGCCATTTAATTGACTTTATTTGTAGCTATATGTTTGAAAGCGGTTGAAAGAAAATTTTTTGATGGATTATTGAATTGTACCAAATCATCTGTTTGTCCACCAAAATGCCAGTAAATATAAATATATACACGCATATATATATATATATACATCTATCTATATATATACCAATATTTATCTACCGATTTTCAGGAATAGTGAATACAAAGCAACCATCTGGGAGACACAGTGGCCATCTGCTGGAAACGAAATGAAAATTGCATGGGACGTTGCAATATGGGATAAAAAAATTATGAGAGAAATTAAGATGTTAAGCAGATCTGGAAAAACTGAATATTTAAGGTTTGAGATGATAAAATAACAAAATTCTTTCTGCAAATGAATGATACTTTTTTCTTTTTTACTTAGGAAAAATGTTTTGGAATTTGAAGTATATTTTCAAACAATGAAGATTCATATAATTTCAACAAAACCTGCCTATTCAGTAACTATTACTTAAAATTCTTTAAAACTAATAAATACCAATAATTAAATTACAATTGGAAAATTTTCAATAGATTCCCGATCTTCTCTCTGATCTTGGGGGACAGATCGGTTTATGGATGGGATTGAGTATTATAACTGTATTTGAAATTGGCGAAGTTGCACTAGATGCCTTGAAAGTTATATTAAAGAGAAGAAAGAGTGTTGGTGTTGCAAAGACCACTGAAACGAAGATAAAAAAATTGGCGTTTATGTAAAAGAAATACGAAAGCATGAAAAATAAAATTTAAAACAAAAAAATTTTATCCGTTCTCAATAATTATCTTTTCTCGATGATTGACAGTTGTTTTGGGTAAACAAGTAATGAAAGAAATTGTTACCCAAGCATCAATACCATCAAACTTTTGCACGAAAACTTTTCTTTTCACATTTTTTTTAGCAATAACTTTGTTAGACGAAGAAGATGAAAAAGAAGATAATAAAACGATGAAATGTTATCGAATTTATCTTTAACAGATGTAATGTAATCTTCTTCTATCACTATTTCTCTATTAGAAATACAGTGCTAATGTAACTTGCAAGTCTTTATATTAGATAAATAATTTATGCTTAATGATAATTTATAGAAAATTACTTAAGACTTTTGATCGAAAATATTAATAATTATAAAGCGTATTATACTGCACGCCATCTATTAACAGAATATTTAATGAGGTGTAAAAATTCATCATTTTAGTACGAAACAAGCCAAGTTAAACGATGTTTGATAAGTCTAATCTCAATGACAGTGGTAGCGAAAATAAGGGAAAAGAAATGATGAATAGTAAAAGCGAACTTCATCCAAGTGACGATCAGAAATTACTTTGGGGTGATGTTGTTGTTAATCTCACTGAGAATACAATACCGAGAATGAGTAAAGCGAAGTCAATTAAAAGAAAGTTGTTCTGGCTTGTGATATTGTTTTTCGGCTTAGGTAAGTTAATAAAAGTGATCTATCTTTACGCATTTAACATCTTCTCCTTGCGTTTTTTGTCGTTTCTATACTTTATTTTAAAATTTTCACAGCAATGCTGTGTTGGCAAGTCACAGATAGATTCACAAAATATTACAACTATCCAACAATGACAAATATAAAAGTTCCTCTGGCACGTAAGCTCCCTTTTCCAACTATCACTTTTTGCAATGAAAATCCAATAAGAAAGTCAATGCTTCACGAAGCAGGAGAAGAAATTCAACGATTAGTGGAAAATGGATTGAATTATCAGGTTTAACAAACTAAACTTGCTTATTCTCCCACTCATGATTACGTACAAATATTAAATTATGACATAGAAATATAGACAAAGTAACCATAGCCATTAAGATTCGTTTAAGTAAATTCGGTTTAGTTGAGTGATATACAAAAAAAATAAGGCATATAAGAATAAAAACTAATAATGATATAATTGATAAATCTATAAGTTATCTGGAAACTAGTACATTCTCTTTCAGAGTAATCCATTGAATGAATTCAAAATAAATTGAAGAAAAAAAATTAACTTTATCATTCAAAAGAAAGAAAATAAGAAAAAAAAGTCTACTTTATAATTTAGAAAATGAATTATATTCAGTTCTGTTGAATAGAAATACATCGAATCAATCATTTGTACGATTAAATAGTAATGTAAATATAATATACCGTATCATTCAAACATAATTATGCACTAAAAAGTCTGTTTTTAATTGATACGTTTAAATAAAAAATTGAATAGGAAAGGGAAGTTAATTCATTTCGAATTAAAAAGTAATGAAAACAGCATATTGTTACTAAAATAAATATTTACTTGTTCTATATCAAAAACAGAATATTAATTGGGAAAAGATAAATGAAAGTGACTCTTCTGTTATTATGCTTTGGTCTGGAATGGAGGCAATGCCAAATTATTTTCAAAATAGTAATAAACTAACGGAAAAGAGAGATAAATTTCAAAAACTCTTTTCTAAATTAAGTCTTGAAAAGAGAATTAAATTGGGTCATCGACTTGAAAAACTTTTAATTGGCTGCGAATATAATGGACGCCAATGTTCACCAAAGTAAAATATAAGCGATAGATAAAACAACTTTATTAATTTGTCTCTCTAACAGGAATTTTACAGTTTCCAGTAATCCAAAATATGGTAATTGTTTTACATTTAATCCTGACGGCAAACTTGAAGCAACTCAATCTGGATCAAGATTCGGTAACTATCAACAAAAGTCGTTTATTACTCATTAGCTTCTTCAGTGTAAATATAGTAGAAAAAGACTAATCTGTTAAAAATAACTAATTTATATACATAAGGCGAAAAGTTTATTAAAATCATCTCACTACCTTTTATATCATGAAGTGTATAATTGCCTCAAATCGTGCTTATTTATTGATAATCTATAGGACTAAAGACCAGAATTTTTCTTCAACAAGAGGAATATATCGACAGTCTTTCAAATAATGTTGGGCTAAAAGTCGTTGTTCATGATTATAACGATGTTCCATTCCCGGAAGAGGAAGGATTTGGTATTGCACCTGGAAAAGTCAACGAAGTTGGTTTATTTAGGGTAAGTACTTTAGATAAGTATGAAACATTTTTCCAATAAAATTCTAAGAAAGTGCTGGAGAATAAAAACATATACAGGGAATTATTATCGTTCAATAAGATAATGTAAATATGATACAAAGTTCTTTCGTTAAAAATGAACTTGTATTGTAGGAAGAAATCTTTAATCTTTTATAACAATATATCGAATAAAATACAGTATATCTAACTATTTTTCATATTCCTTAATAATTAATTTACAATATAAAAAAAGATTTTCATTATTTGCCTTTGTTGAAAAATAGAGAGAGCGAATTCTATCAAAACCGCCGTATGGAGATTGTCGCGATATGTCGGCAGAAGATGAAAAGCTAAGCGCTTACAAACTTGTATCCGGGTCTTTTTCATATAATAAGTTGGCTTGTACAAAAACGTGTTTACAAAAGGAAATAATTTCGAAATGTAAATGTGCAAATTATAAATATCCAACTTCCGGTAAAGCGTTTAATAATATGGGAAAATTTCATAGTTGTGATGTAAATCCATCTAGCACAGAAGGTTAGTAATTGTATTATTACTTTTCAATTGATCAATTCTAAAGCTATTATAGTTTAATTATTTCATTGACATGTACTTTAGTATTTTTCTATTTAACAATAGGATCATGTTTAAGAAATGTTGAACGAGATTATTTGGATGGAAAGCTTAATTGTACAAGATCGGATGTTTGCCCACCAAAATGCCAGTATGTACAAATATGTTTTTTAGTTTTATTGATTATTGAATAGTTAGATCCATAACAAAGTTTTCTTTTATGTCAGCAACATTTATTATAAAACAACTTTATCTGGAACACAATGGCCATCTATTGGGCATGAAGAGACTGTCGCCTGGAATGTTGCGCTATGGGATCAAGCGGCGTTAGTTAAATTTAAGAGAATGAATAATTTGGAGAAAAATCAATATATGAGGTAAATTTATGATGATAGATTTCTTGTTAAAACATAAATTGAATTGAAGGTTTTATTTTCAAAATATTTAAACTTTTTAGTAAAAATGCAATGGAATTTGAAATATTTCTACAATCAATGAAATATCAAGTCATCGAAACTACTCCAGCTTATACTGTAAATTTATAATCTCATTAAAAATTTAGCTACAGCCGTTCGTTTATTTATATTTATAACTTTTATTTATTTTTCTACTAGCCTATTGATCTACTATCGGATTTAGGTGGTCAAATTGGTCTTTGGATGGGTTTAAGTATAATAACAGTATTTGAAATTGGTGAAGTAATAATGGATACAATTCAAGTGTTACTAAGAAAAAGAAAAGCTGTTCAGGAGAAGGGTAACGAATAAAATGATTGAATGGTTTTGATGGATGAGTGAATTAAATTGGATGCATGAATTCTTCACGGAAATGTGACAAATAGTTAACGAGTGAAAACGTATCATTCAGTTGATGCATATTTCTCCCAAAATTATCAACACCTTTTAAAAGAATTACGAAATAAAAAATGTTCATTATGATAATATTTATGTCATATAAGTGACAGCATACTTTTCATTATTATAAATGAAAGGATTGTCAAACTAGTATCTTCTATTATACCACTAACTGTATGGCGAGAAAAAAGGCATTGCTATGCTGCCTATATTTCTCTAGTATCCAGTTTCTACTTTTCAAAAAATTCCATACACACCATCTTATTTCGCTCCTCTTCCTTCAGTTAAAGTGATTATTTCATATAAGTTTAACGCTTCAGAAGTCTCTCATTCATGAGAAACATGTATAATCATATTGAAATCAACAAATATACTTTGAAATGATTTTAAGCTTCTCAATAAAAGAACGCAAGTTCGAAATAATGTTGTACTTAGCTTCTTGCACATTTGACCGAAAGGAGCGTCTCTTCTTGATAGACTTTAAAATTATGAGTATATAGGTCTTTTTTATCTTGTTGTATATATTTCAAATTGAGCTTTTCATCCTTGAACTTGCTGTCGGTAATGCGTTAGTTAAACTTTCTTATATAGAGTGTACGTTCCAATATAAGTTTACGGCTGCTTTTATTATAGAGGTAACACATTAAAGCATCTTGCTTTGGTTTGTGTTATAATAAATTGTATAGGATTTAAAATCCATACAAATTTTCACTAAATGAGGAGAGATTTCACCTATGACCTGTGCAATTTGGCAGACCAGGCATAAGAAACTACATCTTTACTATATATATATGTATATATAAAAACAAATTTATATACAATATTTATACAGTGCTAATAATGTATTTACTTAAATGAAAGGGGAAAAATTGTTTATGAAAGAGGAGAGAAATTGAAATGAGAAATATATATATATATATATATATATATTTAGATAAATATACAGTATATATACAGTGTATATATCAACTGTATATAATTTTTATATCATTGAATTTCAGATGCAGAATATAGTTTTATTATTATTGTTAAGTTAACAACGTGAACGAATACAGTAACATTTTTAATAGCATATTGTTTTCATTTTATTAATTCTTTCCCAGTTTCCTTCACTTTTTTTTCTATTCATATTTTTAACTTAATTGATATTACATAATAAAATGTTGTTTTTCTTTATTTTGTTAATTTTATTTATAGAATTGTAATTTTAATTCATAAACTGAAATTTATGCATGAAATCATTTAAATATATATATATATATATATATATATATATATATATATATATAAATGTATGCATATATATTCTATATATATATATAATTCCTTAAAAATTTTAATATTTGGAAATTGAGAATTTTCAAAAGGTTTTAGCTTTTTTCGTTTCTTGTCCTTTCTTGTTCGTTTCCACTTTCATCAAACTTATCAATAATATTATTAATAATCCGTAGTCTATTTAGATCTCTTTGAATTTGATCTGTTGACCTTTTCTTTCTCATTCTACAAGGATCTCCTTCCATAAAACAAAATATATCTAGATCACAACATCCTTTCCTCTTTCTCGGTTTAATTGAATTCATAAACATGCTAGCAAACTGGAAGAAAAAGTAAAAAAGAAATTTTAAGAATTAAGACAAAAGTTATAAAAGTTTTGCAAAGTGAAAAAAAAGAAGATAATGTGGAAAGAAAGAGAATAATAAATGAAAAATTACTTTTGAACTTTCAAATTTTTCTCTAGTCCTTTTAACGACATTTTCAATCTCATCTTCTGTGTCTTCATATGCTGTCACGTTAACCAGACAAAGAGAAAACAAAATGTATAAAAGGCAGATGAGACGAAACATGCTCTGCGACGGACAATACGCATAGCTCAACTATTGCTAAACTAATATACATGATTTAGAGAAATTAACATAAATATAATACTTTGTAGAATAAGAAGCAACTGGAGTAATACAAGTCAGTTCTATCTGTAAGAAAAAATACATTTGTTAGTTCATTCTTGCTTAAACACCGACTCTATTTTAACATTTTTACGTATGGTCTTTCTATAGAAAAACATATGCCAAATGGTATCTTATATTACTTTCGAAAATAACTTAAATTGATTAAACATCGCATTATTCCCTTACATGACAATTTAGATGAAACGAATTGAATTTCGATTTTGAGCAAGTTTTAATTCAGTAAAAGCCAAAAAAAATTAATATACAGTTATAATAATTATCAGTTACATTAAGTATAGATTTAGTTAATTATTATAAAAAAAAACTAATTCTTTTTCCCATCATTTATCTTTTTCTTTTGTTCTCTCTTTACTTTTATATAAGCATATATATATATATATATGTTAGTATATGTATTTATTCATTTATATACATTTTTATCTATAATTTAACTCTTGTTTATTCAGTACTTCAAGTTTACTTCTGATTCAACTTTCTTTCCATGTCAACTTGTCTTCCCTTATGATAAAATCAATGAATTAATTATTTTTCATTAATTAACTTTTTAAAGTTAATTATTAACTATAATTAAAAACCTGAATAATAATTTTTATTATTTCCCTTAATTATTTATCATGAATAACTTTTCGTTTCAAATCGTTACAGTTAAAAGTGAAATAATATAGAAAACGTATATTATCACTGCATGAATTAAATGTTAATTATTTCTCTAATTCAATATTTCTTACTTTAATAAAATTAATAATAAATATTATTAATTTAATATTAAATAAAGAAAAGTTTATTAAAGTGATAAAGTGTAATAAAGATATTTTGTGATCATTTTTAACTTTTTGATTATTTCCTTATTTTTTTTACCCCGCAAAATATTATTCTTAACACTAATAATATTTCTGTTTTTAGCTTCTTTACTCATGCATACATATATTTTAAATATTTCAATACTTGGAAATATACAATATTAGCTATTTTTAACTCTTCAATGTCGACAAAAGAACACTTTACTTTTTCTTAAGAAAGATATAGTCAGATATAATCAAAGTAGAAGATTAGTTCAATAGTTAGTTAATAGATTAAAATAACAAATAGACTGCTATTTTATTTAATAACTTAAAGATGGAACAAAGAAAATATCCATTAAAGAAAATGAACACAGCAAATAGCAAAAAGAAGGAAACAATGTTTTAGTATGTAATACTTTTACTTTAAGTCTTATATTGACTAAATCTAAAGTTATTAATTTCCACAGCATCCACTATTCTTTGTTTCTATTTGTTGTAAAACTCAATAGTACCGCTTATATTGCAAATAAAAGAAACAATTGAAGCTTTTAAAGAAATAAACTTAGAACAATTTAAGATAATTTTTACTATCTTTATTGAAAAATTATCAAAAGCAAAGTTAAATCACTGTCGGTTATGAATATATCTATTTTTCATCTAATAGTTTCAATAAACTATTTTAATAAGTGTATCTTGATTTTTATGTATACCTATATACAGTATTTTTATTGATTGAAGTTAAATGAGAATAGATAAAGATACTATTATTTTATTCAGTCAACATGTAAAAAACATGAGCTAAAATTGAAAAGTTTTGGGAAAAGAACGCTATGAGGTTTTCTCTCCATTTTCCATTTAAAGAAAGAAGATTTAATATCTTGAGTAACTACTGTATATAATTTATAATTCCAATGGTTAAACCGATTTTTTTTATTGTAAAAGTAGTTTTCCCTTCATCATTCGGTTAATAAGCTACAACTTTCCAAATGATTAAATGAAGCCTTAATGTAAATCAAAGTCCAATGACAATATCTGTAATTGACACAATTTTTCGTCGATTTTTCATATTCGAAATACTATCTACGTATAACAAACGTGATGATTATTGCGTACAGTATATATAAATTTATATGTATATATATTAATATATACTGTATACACTGTAGTATATACAATCTTTCGTTTCCTCCATCCCTCTTATATGTTGTCAATATTTCACAATTTATGAATAGAATAACCAATACGTATAAACAATGTTTCTTTTGTCAAAACATAAGAACAATCCAAATTTCTTTTCTAAGAAAAAGAAAATAATTAGACTAATCAGATTTAAAAATTGACCGATATTGAATTTTTCTTTTCCTTTTTTCTAGCCTCTATAAAAACGGAAGTTTTTTTTCTATTTTATTCTGAATTAAAAAATTTGCATCTAATTAGTCAATTAGTTGAGTAGATACTATCATTATGCTTTTATTCTGCCGTTGATAAAAACATAATTTATAAGGAAATGCATTAGAAAGTCTAAAAAGATCAATGTCCATTGAAAGATTTGAAATATTTTGTGCTCGGCTGTTTCATTCCAGCCTATCTTTCGAAAGAGGACTGAACATGAGATTCCTAAAAATCTTTACCACGGCAATCTGTTTTGTATCGATAATATTTAGAATAGCCTGTGAACTGGAAACTTTTGAATCTGGTTAGTAGAGACAAGCAGATGGAATGTATGAAAAGTGTAAATTTATACTATTTATTTTTATAATTTCCAAAAAACTCAGGTGTTTACATATGGAAAAAATATTCAAAAAAGGGTATTCAAGGCAACAATATAATACAATATTATGATAAAGATTGGAGAGGATGTCTATTTCTTTGTCTAAATCAACAAATAAAAGATGGAGAGAAATGTTATGGTGTTGATTATTCTCCAACAGTTAGTTTTACTTTTGAAATACTATTAATAATTTGATTTCTTTCTTTGTCTTTGTCTTTTTTTTAACTTTTAGTTGAAGCACTGCCTTTTGAACAAAATTAATCGAACTACTGCAATTAACGAAGGATTGTTTAATACATATTCTCTTTACAATTTCTACGAAGTTACTTCCAATGTAATAAAATATATCTAAATTAAAAGAGATAGTTGACATTTTCTTTTTAAATAGACAAAGAATTTAATGGCAAAGTATTTAAAAATTTCTGCCAAGAATCTACAAAGTAATACTACAAGTTCTGCATATTTTAAACTATTACCATTCATTTGTCTGGATAAAGAGAACGAGGGAGATTTAAATAACGTTAATTTCATATCAAATACAAAGGCAAAATGTATGTTGTTTTGTTTATCTTTAAACTGCGTTTATCTGCACTATGAAAAGAACTGGAAAAATAATATCATGTGCAAATTGTTTTATTAAAAGACTGAAAATTGGAATAAGAAATAAGAACTAAACAAAATTAAGATAGATAAAGGAGGAGAATAATAATAATAAGAAGAATGAGGAGGAGGAGTAGGAGGAGCATATACAAATCAATCTGTCATTTATTTTAAATAGAAATATGAGATAAAAAAAATATAATAATAAAGAAAAGAATATGACATTTTTCTTTTAAATTATTCAAAATTCGTACAACGATAAAGTTTAATATACTATTAGTTTATTAATTATTAAGAAACTTAAGAATTTTATTAAAAATCTTATTTATATTTATTGAAAATATATTTATAAATAACTTCTAAATGAATAGTTTTACTGGATATTAATATCACATTCTATTGTACTGTAATGTTTAAGAGGAAACAGGTATAAATTAACTTCCTGTTAAATTTAAATTATATCTTTGATTATTCCGTATCTTCATTGTGAATGAAACTCTTGATAAAACACATATCATTTTTTAACGCACAATTGTTTTTTAACTCTTCTACTAAGACTCTCTTAGATTGAATTTTTAGATCTATAGAAAATGTTTGAAATGGTTATCGCCTTATAAATTTACAAATGACCTTATTACAGATGAGTTTAAACGTTAAATTATACTAATACCTTTTCTATAGTCTATGTCAATTTATCTACTTAACGAACTATTGTATTTACTACTCTCATTACCAGACACATGTATTATATATTTATAAACCTTGAAATAAATTAAGACTATAACTACTATAGAATGTTCTACGATTAGTTTGCACTCCCTCTATATTATTTTAAAAGCAAATATACAAATAAACTATAAATTTAACTGTAATTTATTTCGACAAAACACTTTTAACCTTTTGCCAATTTTATTTCGTTTCTCTCGTAAAAAACACATAAGGTCTACTTAAATAGTCAAAAGTAACGCCATCTTAATCACCATATAGGACTAAACAGTGGAATAAGATCAAACAGATCTAAAGAAAAGAGAAATAGATTGAGAAAGCCAATAAAATATTGACAAGAATGAAACGTATTGTAATTTGAAAATCGAATGCATTTACAAGATCAAGATGATGTATAATTCAGCATTAACATCAAAATCGTCATTTATCGCTTATAACTTATACTAATTGTATTTCAAATTTGTATAGTTATAAGCCTAATAAACTTAATTTATGCAAAGAAAGCTGTAAAGAATAACTATGGATGGTTTGTGTTACTATAATGCATATTACTATCGCAAATCATAGTAAAGGTTTTTACATTTGTTAAAGAATATATATATATATATATATATGCATATTAAGAGTAATTTGTCATTAACTAATTGGTACTTGTCCTATAGTAGACAGAAAAAATAAACATTTTAAATCAATAATCATTTCAATTTAATAGCAGAAAGAAATCCGGATGTATAGACAAACATATAAAGAGAAGAGGCCAAGCGGATGCTGACAAACAGCGGCGAAAAAGAGGAAACTATGATTAATAAAGTTTATGCAATACTGTCATAAAAAGCCTGTTCTTTAAAATTAGAAGGTTAATAGCAAAAGAATCGTATGATAAATCACGTAAAAGGAGGGAAATCGAAAATAAACTTGTAAATTGGCCAGTATTTATAAAAATATATATACACAGTATATATATTAGTATATATATATATAAATTTATATATATATATATAAGCCTTTAGCTGAGTGTTGGCTTTCACGTCTGCTCTCTACAAACAAGCGCTATCATCGCTTATTACGAAATTTGTAATGGCAGAGAATGTAACTCTCGTATGCGAAGATGATCCTAGAATATGGTACTGCCAGATTTCTTATTGGGTTTATTGTTTTACAATGCCGGTCCTTTTGATTATTGGACTAGTTGGTAACTCATTGGCCTTTATTGTCTTATTTAGGTTGAAAAAGAAAACTCCAACTATTATATACCTTTCAGTTTTGGCAGTTTCAGATATTTTAACAGCCACACCTGGAGCTCTTGAAAGATTTATAAGAGGAGTAACTAATAATAGAGTTTACTTAAGATTCTATTTTAATTGTTCGGGATTTACTGCTCCTTATTATATCGCTTCATATGTTTCTGCATGGATGATTGTGTCAGTTGCCGTTGATAGAATGATTGCAATAATATTTCCAGTAGTTAGAAGAACTGTAAAATGCGCTAAGATTGTAGCTGTCGTTATATTTTTAGTGGCAAGTCTGATATTCATTTGTTTTCAAGTAACAGTTCCAACTACAGATAAATTTGGAAGAAAAAGGTGTCATTACGGAAAAACTGGTAGTTATTACGAAATTATGAGCAAATATTGGTACGTTGTTGATGCTATAACATATTCAATCCTACCAAATCTCGTCATCATACCTTGCACAATTATTATTATTCGACAATTAAAAGCTTATCGGAAAACAAGAGCATCCTTAGGTTGTTCAGTTGGGTCTATTGAACTGTCGACAAATAGTTTAGAAAATTCCTGCGAAATTAAACAAGCCCGTGTTGAAAGATCATTAGAAGCAAGAAGAATAAATTTAACTTTAATAGCAGTTTGCGTAATTTACGCCTTTTGTACAACTACATTCTGTATTTTTGAAACTCTTGAATATACTCTATCTTCTAAGCACGAAGCTTTAATACGCTTAGGCTTAGTGGTTGGGGATAATTTATTATTTGTCAATCATACAGTAAACTGGGCGGTATACTGTTTAACCAATCCAAAATTCAAAATGGAGATGTTAAATCTTATAACATGTAAATATTTAAAAACAACGAGGACGTAATTGGCAATATAATTTGATGATAAATAAATCTCGAAATTATTTCAAATAGAATCGTTCGATTGTAATAAATGTTTACCTTTTCTTTTATAAGAATGAATATTTACAACTAAATAAATTTCAATAAAAACAATGTAAATATAATTTCTTCTATTAGTCAATGAATAAAAGATTTTCCCGTAACTATGAGAACAAATCAAGCGCTTTTAGTTTATTAAATACATATAGTTTCCTGTCTATGTATTTAATGTAGATATATATCTACATTTATCTCTAAAAAAATGAGAAAAATATACTAAAAACATACGAAATATTATTAAAATAATAAACTGTATATATGAAACTATGAAAAACTATTAAGAGATTGTGTCTTCTCGTGTTTATTTTCCATTCTTATATTTTTTCCAACTTCACTGATTGCTTTGAAAAACAAAGGTATAAAGCATTTACTCGTAATTTTATATATTGTATTATATATTGTATTTGTAGATAAAAAAAACATTCTTTATTAAGATTTTTCAACATTTTTATTCCGAAACGAAAACTCTAAGCTAACACTAAAGGACTTCAAAGAATAATAGTGATCAAGGAAGATAGATAGATAGACAGTCGGATACTCATGCTAACAATCTTAAAACACTATGAACTTTAGATTACTAATTAACTAAATTAGCTATTTGGTTTCATTCTCTTTTTTTTGCTATGGTTGTAGCTGCTCTTCTTCAATTGCCTCATCAACTTCGTCAACTTCAGCAACTGTTGGTAAATTTCTTTCAGTTTTAGTTTTCTCCTTTAAAAATGATTTTTCATCATAGGAATCTATATCTCTATCATCTATTGAATCATCTAGATTGGGTTCGCGACGCGTCTTTGTACCCATAAATGTTTTTCTTACTCTTCTTAACGATGATCTAGATGAGAAAGCTTGATCGTAAAGTACACCGCCGACTACACCTCCTAAAATTGTCGAAAACCAATATATCCAATGACTCTTCCAAATTCCTGAGATTAAAGCTGGACCAAAAGATCTAGCTGCATTCAGACTAGAACCAGTTAATGGAACAGCGTACATATGTATAGCAGCGACTACAATACCGACTACGAAGGGACTAGAACCATCGTTATGTATAGGATCTGTTGTTGAAAATACGGAAAAAGAAAAAATACTACTAATAAATAATTCTATTCCGAAGGCTTGTCCATCTGTGACATTTGGAGCTGGAGAAGTCGTACCCAAAAGCGTTGGTTTCAAATTAGAGGGTGTCAGGCCATAAAGTATAGCCGCACCCACTATCCCTCCAAGGCACTGAGCCACTATATAAAAAACAGCTTTAATTATACTTATTCTCCTACAAACTGCCATTCCAATAGTCACTGTGGGATTTACGTGAGCACCACTAACTGGCCCAATTGCGTAGATAATTGCCGCCAGAACTAATCCAAAAGTTAAGGAAATCCTTAATATCGGACTTCCTTCATTTGTTAAACAACTCCCGCAGCCAACAAATACCAAAATAAAAGTTCCGACGGCTTCGGCACCAACAGATTGCCAGAATACCTTAGATTTTAGTTTATCAACTTCAACGTTCATTGTTTGTATATTGAAAAAAGATAAGAAGACTGTTTGCAGTCTACCACTTCTATCTTCTTTCCTATTCATTGACTAACACCACATCTACTTTATGTGGCGTCTCTATTAAATGTTTATTCTGATCTTTGAGCTTGGCAACAATCTGCTATCTGATAAGAAAAGAATGTTTATAATTAATTTTGATAATTTATAACTCTTTACTTATAGTTTCTTCATAAACCAAATTTATATATTACGATAAGATTTTAACTGATTAACGGCCCAGATTCTTAAAGCGTACTTGACTAAAATATTAATAGACTTGATTACTTGATTCGAATTGATCATAGGAGAAGTACCGACATATTTTTTTTCTATTAACCGTAAACAGAAAATATCCTACATTTAATAAAAGTAAGTATTGTAAGTGGTTGATAATATATTCGTTATTCTTTATTTACAACATATTTACAATATATAGAAACACTATACTCATGATCTGTCAATATTATTTAATTGGAGATCTCGTATATAAAATACTATCTTTCCTTTTATTAATATATTAATATACTGTATAATTACAGTAAATAACTTGTATATAACATACTTGTTCTAACATTATACTTTCTTAAATAAACTGTTTAAAGATTAACAAGTTTAATATTGATTTAAGATTTTTATTACGAAAGATTACAAAGACATCGTTCATATTTCTTTTTTAATGTATAACTAATAATCAATAAATAGAATGAAAATCTGTTTATTCATTATAACTATTGCACTTTTTCATTAAATGCGTATATACAATTTGTTTCTTATTCAACAATTTCTTCTTCTAACTCTGTAACTGCTTTTACAAAGTAAAATAGAATAGTAATTTCGAAAATTGTATTAATGAGTTAATTAGCTTGTTAGGATGAAAAAAAAAGAAATTATTGCCTGTATATTTAGTCCATTTCCCTTCTTTTTATATGTTGGATATATAAGGTTTTTGTTTACTCTCTTTTAGAAAGGAAGGAAATAAATGATACTGTAAAATTATTAATCAAATATAGAAAAAAAGGGCCTATTACTCAATCTTATTAATTTATAATAAAGATAATTGATTTATTCCTATTTCCTTCTATCATTTTATTTAGATCACAATTGTTTCTCCTTAAAATAAAATAGCGATATACGGCAAATTCTAAATAAATACATAATTTATAATAATATGCATACTGTATATAGAGATATCCTGATGAACGTTCGCATAACGTACACAACGAATGATATTATATAAATATTATAATGTTTACCATCAAATATTTCACTTCTACCCCTAAAGACAACTGCAATATTTTAAAGATAATGAAAAAAATGACTTCTTATGTTTCAATAATTCTAGAAATGATTTGGAATTAATTTTCTCTTTACTTACTTTAAGTATACATTTATATACTTCCTTTAGTCTATTGAAATAACTGTCCTTCACGAAGTAAAGCTTATAAGGGGAGGGACTATAATAAGAATATCAAAAACCAGGGGTTTAGGTGGCGTTCTAAGCAGTTTACGATAGGATAATAAAGAAAGAAGAAAATTAGTAAGAACAATATTATTTTATTATTAATTCATTAGTAACTTGACAGGGAAGGCATTTTTCAACTTAAAAATATCTACTGAAAACTAAGAAAAAAGTTGTTTTTTTAGATTTTAATCAATTTATATATATAACTTTTAATATACATATTCTTTAGTTTTCTCACACGACAGATGATGATTCCGTTTTTGTTGTTTTTAATGCAGAAGATTGGCTAATTGCCGCTCTACTAACTAATTTATAAGAACAACATATCTTGCTCCATCGATGTCTAACTTCATGCTCTCTCCATAAATATAATAGACAGAAAACAAACCCTTGGAAAGTTGAACAAATACAAAATAATATTTGAAAAAAATATGTTAAAGTCATTAAGTCTTTAACATATACTAATCCAAAAATCCAGCCTAATCCCATCATTGTTGCAAATCCCAAGAATACGATAAATTGTTTTGTTCGTTTTTGGTTTTCTTTCAATGTTGAATTTTCTTTTATCTTCTTTAAGACAAAAGGTAAAATTCGAAACATAATAATATAGTTTATGAGAACCATAAGTATAACTGCGGGTAGAAATCCTCCATAAAAGATGTAACTTTTAATCCAGCAGCTATTTGATCAATAAATGATAAATTAATATTCATTTCAACGCTAAATTCATTTTTACTTACAAGTTTTCATTATACATTTCAAATTTCGATAGTAATGAACTTCCAATTGATATTGCTAAAGTAACAATTATCAAGGGAATACCTATAAATAGGATAATTGTCAATATAATAAAGGGTATACTTTTTAATATTATTATCGAATAAGCTTACCCCAACAAGGTAAAACACACTTATATTCAAAATAAAGAATTCTCGATGAATTCTTGAATGTAAATTTTAATGGATGGACTGTAAATAAATAGAATATTATGCCCATTTCAAGCATCCAAGAAATTGAAACCAATAGAAAATAATAAATTATAATGGATGCTCCAATACATAATCTAGGATAATTGGATAGATTTATACCAGCAAGAAAAGCGATGTTAGAAAGCAATATAGATAGTCCGAGATTGAACGATGAATGTTGTACAGTAGTCTTTCTTCCTTCTCTAGAATGAATAACTAATTTATGTTATTATTTAATAGATAGATATCATTTCTCCTTACCTAATATATAAATAACTTAAAATTGTAAATAATAAGCAAGGAATTGATAAGATTAAACCAATATTCGTTATAATAGACATTGCTAAATCTCCTTTTGATGAAAATTGTAAATCCTAATGAATAAATTATAGATATAAATATAGAATCTTATTATATTAACTAACCATTAAAATGGCGTAATGAGCATAACGGTTTGTTATACATTTAACTTTTCCATTTGGTAATATTTTAGTTTGTAATTTTTTCCATCTTTTCTTATTGCTATTATATTCTGCACATGTAAATATTTTTCTTCCGTTTTCCTTAGTTTTCTTATCATTTTTTACTATTTCATCCATTTTATCTTTATCGATTTCAATGTGGACTTCAGTTTCCGCAATATCAACAGTATCGTTTAGATTTGAATTTTTTAATTTAGACAAACTTATCTTTAAAATATTGCTGACAACGGGAAAAAGCTTATGACTTTTTAATAGATTCTTTTCAGTTAATGCTAAAATTGATAATTTCTGTTGTAATTTATTCAAATTTAATGAATTTTTAAAAAATAAAAAGTCTCCTTTAGAAGAAATATTCTTAGAATTGAATGTTAACTCTACTTTTTCAGTTTTCTTACTAATCTTTTTCGATTTTTCATATACAAGATTTATAGAGTTAATATCTTTATTTGGTCGAGCGCTTATTGCTGTAATTCCAGATTTTGTTATACTTAAATAATTTCCAACGTAATCAACTCTTGATAATAGATTATCAACTACGTCTATCATCTGATAGGTAGCATCGTATAATTCATCGTTAGGATCTTCTTCAATATTGTCGGTGTAATCATCATAATAATCATCGTAGTCATCATCTTCCTCTACTATAAAATTTATCCATTCGTTCATTCCATCAGTTAAAGCAATTGTTTTTTCAAGGACACTTTTAGACGTAGTACCAGTGTTATTGATAGCGTAAGTGATATTAGAAATGGTTAAAATAGCTTCAATGGAAGGTTGAGTTTTTTTCGTAATACCTTCTGTAATTTCCATTATATTGTCTACGTTTTTTTTGTCTATTTTAGTTACTAGTACATTTTTTAGATCTGAAATTTTCCCTAAGAAAATACAATAACATATAGAATACTATTATAGATGAATCTTTGGGATAAATTATTGTAATTACTTGAATTATTATACAGCATTTGACTTGAACAATGCTCAGAATATTTCATACTATCATCAACATAGTCGAAATCGAGAAAACAGCAATTTGCATATAAAATTTCAAATTTTGGATTATATTCGTTTAGAATAAATGAAAAGTAAAGCATATCATATTGATAAATGATTCCGTTCATTTTTATTTGATTTGTATAATTTGCTCCTTTCCATTCAGAGTACATCTTACCTTTTTCCGGACAAATGTTAATATTATATTCTTGTTCGTACAATTCCTTGTCGCAATATTCCGCTAAAACTTTTTTATCCATATCTAATAGTTTAATAATTCCATCTCTTGGGCGATCCATAACAAATGGACAGTTGGCTAAAATTTCAAAAGCATTTACTAAAGTTGGCAACAAAATAACATATAATCCAACTATATAGAAATAATATTCGTTTTTACAATCCATAACAATATTGAATACCACTGCAAATGTAAAACAATGGAATGGAAACAGTCAGTAGACATAAATAAAAGCAGCTAACACTCCTAAATGCTAAACTTTGTTGGCCAGTCATTCTACATAGGTCTACAATATATTTATGCTCTAAATTCTACAAATATAAAAGAGAACATTATTTAGCCCATAAAAAAGCATCCCATATCATAAACATGTTACTCTTTATTGTAAACAATAGATTTGATAAAAAAAATTAGCTGAATAATCATACTAGGCTCAACTTCAAAAGAAGGATACAACTCCCTTTGAAATAGATTGTAAAAAATATATTGTATATACATATAAACACCTTAATTGTTTTACTAAAGAAATAGCCTTTTATTGTTCTCTATATCCGGAATTTCCTGTAATCAAATACATATACATTGTATAGAAATACAAGATAATGTCACATTTCCAGTAGTTGCTTTACATTTAACAATTACATAGGAATAGAAGAGGAAAAATAATATCTTTTATATTGTAAATGATCTTTTATTCATTGTTGTTTTTTCTCTTGAACAGCAAAGAGTTTTCCATCTATTTCTAGTATATTTTTCTTTCCATATGTATAATAATAATAAGAAGAAACATTGAAAAGACAGAAATATACAAAACAACGTTTGTAACATATATGACAAAAGAGATGTTTCTTTTATATAAATTACACCGAATACCCAACTTAATCCAATACTTGTTGTTAAGAAGAGATATATAATGAATTGTTTTTTACGCTTTTCACTTTCACATAATTTACGGGTCTTTTGAATCTTTTTAGAAACGAACGGCAATATCCGAAACATTATGATAAAATGAATGAAAAGTAAAATTAAAAGAGTCGACACAAATTCTCCATTAAAGATATAACCTTCAAACCAGCAACTATTCTTTCTTTTGTCTCTTTCCCTATTTTTAAAAGTCTTAATAATAAACTTGAAAAAGGATTTGAAGTGTAACTTACAAATTTCTATCTTTGAATATCATCTTCTTCCCATTTAAACATTGAAATAACACTACTATGGAAACAATTATAATAGGAATACCTTGATAATGAAAACATATGTTTGGAAAAGTGTTTTCATTTTTTTATGTTTAAAAAGAACCACTTACCCCAGCAAGGCAAAATACACTTTAATCCAAAATGGAGAATTCTTGAAGAATTGTTGTGTATAAACTTTAATGGTTGAAGAGTGAAAAGATATATTATTATACTTATTTCAAATATCCATAGAGTTGAAACTATGGAAAAATAGCATATAAAAGATGAAATTACTATACATATTGTATTATTGGTTATAAAGTAAATTCCAGCAATATAAGCTAAATGCAAACATAATAATGATAATCCAAGATTAAATATTGAATGTTCTACTGTAGATTTACTTTCATTTCTGAATCATTAAAATATATTTAATATATTAAATTATTATAAATATTTAAAAGAAAATTAATAATCATTACTTTATAAATAAATATTGAATAAGTGACATTGTTAAACATGGAACTGATAAAATCAAAATAACCATCGTCATAAAGAAAGATTTCATATGATTTTTCATTAAAAACTTCAAACGCTAGAATTATAAAGAAAAAATAACAAAAAAAGTATCAACATTGCTTTATTATAGATTGACAGAGAATTTTACGCAATGGCTATTTTTTTAACTGATCAATCTTTTCAAATATCATGAATCCTAACTAATATTTGTAATATTTGATGGCCTTCATAGGTCTCCTAATTTGTGTAGTTTAATTATAAGTAAAATATTGGTGATTAATACCAGGCTAAAATTCTGAGTAACACTTTATCTCTGCTATTAATTTTGTAAGGTCATTGTTGATATGTGGTTTTATAAAGGGAAATAACGTCAAAACTATACGCCTTTGGTCTAAATTTGCAAAGAGTTCAAGCAAGTAGTTTACTCTTTTACTGGTTGTTCTTTGTTGAAAGAAATTAGAGTCAATAGCATTACATAATATCCTCTGTCTATTACTGTATCAAATATTTCAAATGATTAACTTTTAATAAGGAGCCATTCTCCATCTCAGTGTCTGTCAAAATGAAATTTTATAATAATGTAATTGAATTAAATATGAATTACTTCCTTTCAACTTCAAACTCTATGATTTAAATAATTTATTTATAGAGTCCGTATAAAAAATGTACTAATGAATTTAATTATTAAATAACTTACTGTTTGAACAGCAAAGTAGGAGTTTAATTTGCATGTACACTTAACTTTACCATCAGATAATACTGCCCTTGCCAATTTTTTCCATCTTTTCTCTTTATGATTATATTCAGAACATTTGAATTTGAAATTTATCATCCTTATTCTTTTAGGCATTTTGTTCTTTTGTGATATTTTATCTAATTTATTCTTATCTACTTCAATGTAAGCTTCAATCTTTATATTTTCATCATTATCATTATCTTTTTCATCGTGTTCAAGTTCAGTTTGATTTGTCTCCCTCGAGAATTTTAATTTGACAATCCTACTTACAATTGGAAAGGATTCATGTGTTTTGAATAGGTTGCTATCAGATAATGCTAAAATTGACAGCTTTCTTTCAAATTTATTGGAAATAAGCGGATTTTTGAAAAAGAAATAATCTCCTTTAGAAGTAAAATTCTTAGAATTGAATATTAATTTTACATTTTTAGTTTTCATTGATTTTTCAATTACAAGATTTATAGAGTCAATATCTTTCTTCAATTGAACATTTATTGCAGCAATGCCAGATTTTGCTATTACTAAATTATTTCCAGTATAAGCAACTTTAAATAGTAGATCATCAACAACGTTTAGCATCTGAAAAACTGTTTCATACACTAGATTAACAATAGCTTTTTTACCAAAATCACTTTTGAATGTTAATAATTTAAAATGATCTGTAGAATATGGAACAACTTTGAAAGGATTCCTTGCTGTACACAAGCTAATATCTTTGCTAAGTTTACTTATTGCATAAACTGTTAGGCTAAGAAATTGACTTGTCGCTTGGCCAATTTTAGTTATTTTGGAAATTAAACTGTAAACGTCAATGAAGTCTATTAAATCTTTTTCAAATTTTCTTGAAATTCTCCCAATTTCCGCTTCTGCTTTGTAAATGTTTCCTACAGTTAAAGTCTCTTCAATTGATATCCAATATTCGTTGAAGGAATGCGTATAATAACAATATTGCTTTTCATGTTTTTCATTTAATCTATAATAACAGCATTTTGCAACAAGAGATGGAGAGAGTTCATAGTTTGTCTGAAATGCAAAAATGTCACCTAGCCACGTTTCTTGAGAGAAAATTGGAGATAGAAGCGGTTGATCGTCATACGCCTCAGTAAAATACAAGTGACAATTATTGCTTATCGCTGCTGTGTTTCTAAAATCAAAACTACATGACTTTATTTCTCCGTTTGTAAAAATCACTAAAAGTTTAACAATTCTAATATTTTGAAAGCCAATAAATTTATGACACGCAATTGATAATCGACGAATAGACAAAACTGGTAAAATAGTGAAGAATAATCCAAAATTAAGAATATAAAAATATATGTTATATCCCATCGCTCATAATATTGTTATTGCTAATGAAAAACACATAATTAAAGTAATTAGATAGGCTGTTGACGAATTATAATAATATGCAATAGATAAAAGATATTTTATAAGCCAATTTGTGTGAAAATGAATAGTTTATTACTATAGTTTATGATTCACAATCAAAATAGTTTTTTTTTTTAAAAAAACAAGGTATTCTCTTTGCGGTTTAACGATTATAATCTATTTATAGAATTCCGTACTGTTCACGTAAAGATAGATACATTGGGGAAAGTGAACTAAAAATTATCGTAACGAAAATTTAAGCCATTTATGATATGAAATTTCTTGGTTTCATCTTTTCTTTAACTATTAAATATTCATGTTTAAAGAAAATTGTTCATTCTCCAACGATTTTCAATTAAACAAATAGTTAATAATTTAACAGAGGGACTAGGTGGAGCTAGTTTAAAATTTACATTATCGTAGGTTACCGAGCAACGAGACGCTCTCTTTGGAATACATTGCTGAGTTAAATCGACTTTTTGTAATCATAGTCATTGATTAGTTTCTAATGTGTTCTGCTTGAGAGACCGTATCAGTTTAAGAGAATGTTTAATAAAAACGTCCAATATCCTTCTTTTTAATATTGATAAGAAAAGAAAGAGAAAGCTATGCCGAAGAGTCCTAGCAATCGTAGTAGATTAACTTTAGATACTGATAAATTCTCTGATAAATATTCAAATTATTCCGAAAATTTTGAAACGGATGATGGAAGGAGTACGAGAATTACTGAAGATCAGAAAGGTAAATAAAATAGTAGAAGAGATCAAATATTTCATTGTAATGATGATAAATGATTTCGCTTTTAACTTATCTATTTGCTTTCCATTAAGAATGTTCTTAATTCAATTGAAATCGATATATTAATTAGTTAGTGCAAATTGACTTGCAGCTTAACCGAGTGTATATGGCTCCTAATGCAGAGAATTACTTTATAGATATTTATTGTAATAATTTATTTTTATTAGTTCACGGAAGGCTCACTAAAAAGACTATGGGTAATAAAGGACGTAGGACAAATCAGTCTAACTATTCTCCTCGTAATCAACACACGGGAATGAAGAGAAAATCTCCAAGATTAATGAAATCATCCGAATTTCGGAATCGAATTAATGAATTACAAATGGAAGTGAAAGAAGTTAAAATGGAGAATGCAATTTTAAAGAAACAGCAAAGAATACAAGAAAGATCAATTTATAAATATGAACATGCGCATGCAAATCTACCATCAGTTTTAAAAAGTCAAATAGCCGAGTTACGCAATTTACAAGAGCAGTTGAGAAGGCAAGAAGATATTGAAGAGGAAATTAATGATAAATTAAAAGATGACGATTTTGAAATAAATAAATTAAAAAGAGAAATAAAGAAGCTTAAAAAGATATCGGAAGATAATCATATTCAAGAAAGAATCGATTTACAATCAAAACTTGAAAAAGTAGAGAAAAAAGCAGCAGAAGCTGAGAAAAAAGCCGACGTATGTTTGAATATTAAATCTTTAACGTCAATATTAAAGTATTATTTATATTTATATATAAATTTTCTAATGTTTTTTAACAAGAGTATGGAACTTTGCCTCGAAAACTCTAAGAATAATCATAGTCATGAAATTAAATCATTTAAGGGAAAGTATAAGAGATTACTTCAGAGAATTGAAGATATGGAAGAGGAAGCTGATATTCTTAAAGTTAAATTAAAGGTATTATAGTAAAATTATTATTATATAAGTATTCTTAAATAATTCTATATTTAACGAAAAAAAATGACAAAGTCTTTGAATTTTACTTCTTCTACTCAAATTCTTTATTTTAAAAATTCAAACAAATTCAACAGAAACATTTGGCGAAAATATCAAAGTCCATAGTAAAAAGTACTCGTTTTTTTAGAACTGTAAATAATATACATTAATTATCTTAAATGTTTTAATCTCTCTCTCTCTCTCTCTAACTTTTGTTAGTAACTAGCTTTTTGATGTTTCTTATTATATCTATTTCTCCATATTTAATACTATATACATATATTGTATATTCACATGATTTTGTGTACTATTCAATTCTTTTTTTTTAAAAAAAAGACTAATCTCCCTTATTCTAACTATCCAACTAAGAAGCTACTAGTATTCTACTATGTACAGTATACTATATTGTTGTTATTGTTTTATGTTGTTTTAACAAGTTGTTATATAATTTTATATAGTCCTAATAACTTGCTAAATTAACGTTATACTGTCAGTATATTCATGTACTCTAACTGTTTTAAATGAAAAATCAGATATGTTTAAATATGCTACATAATCTTTTATCTTTTTTTTTATCTACTAGGAGAAAGAAAAAGAATTGGATATTAGAAATGTCTATAGTAGAAGAATTGTAAAGATTCCTCATAAATTACCTAAATCTGTTTCTCCAGTACTTTCCTCACCGCGACATCGTTCCGATTCTCTTAAATCTTTAGGAAAAGAGATTGAGAGGAGAGGAAGAGAAAATTATTTCATTTATGATGGAAAAGTTCGAAAAAATTACAAAATTAAAAAAGAGGTCTTTTTTTATTTATTTACTATCATTTATTAAGTTTTTAACATATATTTTCTTTTCTTTTGTCCCATTTAAAAGGAATTTGAAAGGGATTTAAGGGAAAAATTTGTCGAAATTGACAAATACGATTATAAAATGCATGAAAATCAACGAAGAGAAAAAAATGGCTCTCCGTCAAAGAGTCCTTATGGAAGAAAAAATTTTGATATTGATAAGAGAAGACAAGATGAGATACGAGATCAAAATGAAAGAGACGAATTCGAAGAGCTACAAAAGAAGAGTAAGGAATTAGAGGAAATTGCATATAAAGAAAGAATACAAAAAGAAAGAAAAGAACAAGAAGAAATTGATAAAAAACTCAAGGAAGAAGAAGAAAAAAGGAGGAAATTAGAAAGTGAGAAAAAAGCTCGCGAGGAGAAATTAAAAAACGATAGAGAAGAAAAGGAAAAGGCAAAAGAAGCTGCCATTGCTAAGGAAAAGAGAAAACAGTTGAATGCTCTTAAGGAAAAGTTAGCTGCAATGGACGCTAATAAAAGTCAAAATGAAAAAGACGAAGATCTTTGGAATAGACCTGTAAATGATATTATTAAAGATGATGATAACTCGTACTATTCTTCATTCTCCTCTTCTGCTAAAAAGCCTATCAAAAAGAATTTGCTATCTAATCAGAATTCGATTGATACTAATAAAATCGAATCACCAGAGATAAATACTCAATCTAATAAACCTAAAGGAAGAACAAATTCAAAAACACCACCAGATATGCTGGATGAAATAGAAGATCAAGTTGAAGAATTGGTGCTTTTATAAATAATACGTCAGTATTTTTACTTCCTCAGCAGTTCTCATACTAATCATAATAATTTAACGGAATTTCAACATGCAGATGTTAATTTATGAATTCAAAGATAAAGATATCAAATCATAATTTATATTTTTACTTTGCCTAAATAAAGGAATAAATGTTTTTATAATCAATTTCTTCTTTTTCCATTTAAATATAGAACATAATAATTATAATACTTATAATTCATACTTTCTAATCATTTACGTTTACTTTTTATAAATAAAACTATAGAAATTTAAATTTATATTTCCCAGTTGACGAGATTTTATAAAATTGAGCATTTTAATATGAAAAGTGATGTGTTTTACAGAAAACTTGATCAGTGAAATGTTCGTAAGCGTCTTTTTATCACCCTAGTTTATACAGTATATATGTTATGACTAGGGAAGAATTTTAACGAACTTAACTTTGTCACGCATTTCTTTTTCTTTATTAATCACTAATTAAGTGTAGCCAAAAAGGAAATAATAATGCAATTAGTACAATTGCTTCATGGAAGAACGTATGACATGTACTGTGTAAAGTAAAAAGTAAATATTCATTTATATGTATAGCGTATCCAGCGTATCATATGTGCTTTGTATAGGAATAATAGAGGATCTCATACAGTTTTAAAACTTACATTGTGAGCGGATTTTAACAGTAGGTGGCAAATTTGTTTGATAGACTCTAGGAGTTACCTGATTGAGATTACTGGTGAATATGCTTTAGGGACCAACCGACCAAATATTTTAGTTTATAACTCTTACAATAGAAAGGACTTGTAAGTGGGTGAAAGGTACTAAAAAATCTTCTCCTCTAATACTCCATTTCGATAGTGGAACTGTAAGAAACTTGCAAAGTATCTAACCTTGGCTGAAATTTGTAAATAGCACTCTCACAGTCAGAGAAATTTGACTGTAGCAAACAAATTTACTAAGGTTCTCACATATTTGTGACGTAACAACATTCTAAATTTTGATTAGTAGAAAGACAAATTGTAGTCACCTCCCATATAAACTCAACCTACCACAAGGTGCTGCAAGGGAATCTAACTCTATACAAGGCATTATACTTTCGTCAGTCAGTAAATTGTATAAAGAAATTAGAGAGATTACCATTTGAAAAAGTTATTATCCTCTTTACGATAAATTCAGAGATCGTTATCGATCCAGCGAAAGTGACAATAATCCCGTTTCTTACTTATCATATCTGAAAAAGAATGACATACTTTTATACATTGGAGACAGTAAAAGTAATTATTGATTTTTGTAAATTGATTTTTAGGGTGAATTCTACAGTGTCTTTCATGCGTTCATGATTTCCTTTGACAGAAAATCTATGATTATAATTTAGTTGAAGTTTTCCTCAAAATATATATATATATATACAGTATACTGTATATATATATATATATAATTCTCGCCATCTACAGGAGATAATATCTACTGTCTCTCTCGCATTAAATAGAAGCAAAAATAGCATTTTTTTTAAGAGTTTAAAAAAAAACCGAAGAAATCCATTTCATTCATTTTTTATCATTATTTTATGACCTTTTCTCTAGTCAACAATGTGGAAATAAAGATATAAATGAAAAATTTTCAAATCAATTATTCTTTTTATCGAATAATGAAATTAGAAAGAAATTGTTTATTTTTAGAATATTAAAAAATTATCAATATTACCTAAAAAAAAAGGCAATTTCCAAGATATAACCAATCGTTTTTAAAAAAAAAATCTTTTTTTCCAATAAATAACTTTTTGAAAAACTAATTGAGAGTTTTTGTTCTCTTATTTTTAACATTCTTTCTTTATTAGAATAAAAAATTCAATAATATTTCAAAATCAATATAAAATTGTTGGATAGTTTTAAAATTCGTTGAAGAAATTAACTTTCTTTTTATAAATATTACCTAATTATTTAATAAGAAATGGTTGCTTTATTTCTATATTATACTGTATAGTATATATTAATATTTAATATTATTGTTAATATTATTACTTTTATAATAAAGAATAAAGTATAATGGTTAAATGTTTTCTTCTTCACTTCTAGATCTTAGTTTTATTTTCGTATTCTTTAATGTTCTCTCTTTTTATTCTTATTCTCTTATTTCGATAAAACTAGACTTGTATTATTAATTAGTAGGATTTATTTATTGCGAATATCTTCTTACTATCAAGCGTTTTCTTTGTTTTCTTTTTTACTCTAAACCCTTTAAAGTATCTTTTTGCACAATAAGCTGTTTAAGAGATATGGAGATCATGCGGTGATCTTTTCTGATACTAAATAATATAACGGAAGCCTTCCTATTGAAAATAATCGGTAGATTTAAAAAAGTAATTTGAATATCGCGTGCAGCAAATAGGGATTAGACTATGAATATGCATATTAGTGTAGAAAAACGGGAAAGACTTAGATACGATCGAAAGCTCTCTAAACTCGTTTACCCGTCAAACGTTTTCTATACGCGTTAGAAGCAAGAAGTTATGGGCTGTAGCGGTTCAAAATCTACAGCAATATCTCATAACAAGGAAAGAAGTTTAAGTAGTCGAAAAAGAGCTGGAAGTATACATTCTATAAGAAGAATGGACGAGGATAAGCAAACTAGGTTAGTGTTTTTACGAATAGAAATCGATTATACCTTATGCATTTATTGTTCTATTAGGTACTAGGTTTCTTATGTTATATATTCGAATATTAATTTTTGAAGTACTTTATCTGTTTCCCGATATTTCCAAGAACAATTTTTTGAGATTTTCTTTTCTGTCAAGGCGAAAAATTTCAAATATTTCAATATGAACTTAAGAATTAAGATTAAATTGTAAGTTTTTTCTTTAATATATAAAAAAGCTAAAAATCATAAGAAAGGGAAAGATATATAATATAGCTCTTTCGAAGACTAGAATAAGTGAATAAATATGGGATTTCAATTGGCCTATGATTTTTTTAAATGGCTTGTAATTGTCTGGACTGAATTATATCCTTAAAAGGCTACAAAAAATGACATAACGCATATATAATTGATATATATATATATACATATATTAGTAGATGTGATATTCACCTGCTAAATTAATCTGCTTAGTTTCTTTGTTTCTTAATCAATTATTGCGCAATATGATCCGAAAATATTTTCAATACTTTTATATATAAGATATTTATATAAGATATATACATTTAGGGATGAAGAATCTTTTCCTAAGGAGAGAAAACCATCAATAATCAAAGCACCGAATCTATTACAAGTACCAGAAACTGACTATTAAACTATTCAACTTGTTCAAACTACGTTGTTTATTTTCATTTCTTTTTATTCAACAAACAAAGTTTGAACAAACACTTGATCATATATATACAATTTATATATATATATAAACATTGCGTGGAAAATTATCTCTAATTAATACAACAAAATAAAAGAAAAGGATAGATAGAAGAAAAGAAGAATTAAAAGAATAGGCGATTGAAGATGGATAGAAAGAGAAAGGAAGAAGGTAAAAATAAAAAAATGTATGCATATTAGACAGTACGTGTTACAAATTAAATTTTTTATATTATACATTTATCTCTTGTTTATTATATTTCATGTTCAAGTACTAGCTTTAAATAAACAAAAAGAATAAAGTATGAAAATGTCCATAAACTAGATGTGCTTTTTGTCCACTCGGAGAATGGGGATTTTGTATCATTGACTGTGTCGATAAACTTGGAAAAGCAATTTCCTTTTTTTTCCTATCTAGAGTATTCATAAATTGAATTGTACATAAAGGCTAACAGATTTTTTTCCTTATATGAACTATTCATAAAATTTGAATTTATTGCATAAATTAAAAATCTTAAATTAGATGGAAATTATTTCATTAATTTATTAATTAATTGCATATAAATATGTATATATATCTATATATATTTATAATTTATATATGCAAATTTCTAATAGTTTAAAACACCTTAATTTGATATACCAACTTAGCAACTAGATCGATTTATATGTTCTTCCTGTATCGGATCAACTGTACTCTAATACATAGTTACACCTACTTTAGCACGGATACATATAATTATTTATACAGTTTTTCTCATTCTTTCTTTCTTCTTCTATTTTTGATTCATAAAATTCATTTTTCAAAAGTTTATTCAGAACTTACTTTTTGTTCTGTTCAAGTTTTTACTATTTATAAATGTTATCAATCTATTTTTAGCCATTTGTTTATGAATTAATAGTTTAATTTTAGAAATAATGATATATTTATATTTTTCTCCTACTTCCTGTCTTTTTTCTATTGACATTTTCAAATCGGCCGCCATAATTGTTGTAGACTGCTTTATGGAATATACATTATCCTACAGAAGGCGCTACTATAACTTTAAATTAATAACAAAAATATCCAATTACGTCATAAGCGCATTTCGTTAGCTGAGTATGTTTATTACGTAACAATTCAATGAATTATGTTTTCAATAAATATTAAAATTAGATAAGAAGTTTTTTATTACGAAATCTTTTTGAATTTCACCTATAATTGATCGAAGCGCCACCGCTGCACTGTGGCGCCACGGTAACTTACCTTGAGATCAGTCAATATTGTTCGGCTATCGATGAAAATTTACAATATTGAATGCAAGAGCAATTTGAATGGTAAAGGATTTACAAAAAAGGCGCAAAAATGGCGCTTTCAGGTAAGAAATATATATTCTTAATAATTTGATTATTCTAAATAATATTAAAAATGATATATGAGTACTGACCTAATTACGTTAGGATTCAACACGTTTTCCATTGAATAGAGTGTACAGTCTCTACGTAGGGAAATTACTGAATTACTATATATTGTCTATAGTACAAAATAATAATAAAAAAGGGTGCAAATCTACAGAAAAATAACATTAATTGTGTTTGCGTTCTAACAATAAGGACAAAGTAGACAAAGTAGTGATAATAGATGATTTATAAAAATCCAAGACATAGTAATAAACGAAATTACCATTATTCGTCTACTGTATTTTGATATTATAGATGAATAATTGGAATTTTTACTATAGATATATGAATTATAAAGCTTATTATAGGTTTATTTCAACTGTTTAATTTAAATAACAAAATATGGATAGTTTATTAGTTAATAAATTGATTATTATTACTATTAAATTTAATATATATATATATATATGACATTATTATTGTACCAGGCATTTCCATACAATTGAATAGGATTTATCGCTTCTCTCTCTCTCTCTCTCTTATATTCAAAATTTTTTATATTTTATTTAAAATACTAAAGGTATAGACATTTATCTAACTTGAATTAATATATATTTATACATATTTAAAGGGTTTCTCTTATATATTAAGCTCTTTTTACTGTGCTGGATAAATATTTAGCGGTTTGTACATATTTCTTTCTTACAATTCAAATTCTCTTCCTTTTCATTCTTCAATCGAATGAAAGACACCTATAAAATTGAATATAATTTACCTCTTTCATCATTTGTAATTAGTGTTGAAGGAAACTATTTGCAGTATTTATTAGACAAAAGCCTCCGGTAGATCGTCTTTCTGTTTATCTATCTAACATAAAAGTAGGTTATAAATTTAATTTGTTCATATTGTATTGTTTCGCATAGATATCAGTAATTAGTCTTTTCTCTCTATCTATCTATTGAACTTGGAATGAAAATACAGAAAATAATTTCTAGTCTTAATCGATGCTCCCTTTTTTCCATTAACTCTTTTCCATTAGCTGATTTAGGCAAGTTGTAAAAATAAGATGAAAGAAGCGAGAAAAGCCTCCATTCATTACTATGTTTACATAAAAGATTTGATAACCCTGACATTTTCCTTCGTCCAATACTCCTCTTCTAAGATTCAATTACTCATTTCTCTATTCAATACAATCGTATTAGAAAATACGAAATTTTATTAACCTGTTAAATATTCAGTAATATTCAAATCTCTATTCAAAATTAAGTCTTTGCATTCTGTAAAATAATTAAACATATCAAATTATATATTAAATATGAGAAGAATATTTATTCTATACGATACAGATGGTATGTACTATAAATTATATATTTAAATATATTCTATTAGTAAAATTTATAGCATAAAGCATATGTTTTATATTGGTCGACTATACAGTATACTATTCGTGTACAGTATTTTACCCGTAGCATTTAATGTTGCAAGTTTCCAACTAAAGAAGAATTAAGAATAGAAAAGTAAATATTTACTATTGTTTTTTATTTAGGCCTTTTTTTGCTTCATTAAATACATTTTAACTATTTACAATTGAAATAAACAATAGAATAAGAAGCATTGTGGTATACTGTTTTCTTCTTCTATGATTTGAAAGAATGGCACTACTGTCTAGATTAGAAAAGGGAAACGTCAATCGGAATTTAGTTTTTTCCATGTGAACCAGAGATCAATTCGGAAATTGGAATAGTTTGGGTTGATTTATTTTAGGAAATTTAATATCTATTCAAGTGGGGTAGGGACATTTGAAGTAGGCCTTTATCAATAGGGGTTTTGGCAAATAATTCTATTGACTATGTTGGACTTGCCCAGCGTGTAAAAGTCTTAAATATCAAATGCATTTTTAGTTATCAGCTAAATGTACTGGATTACCTTACTTTTTCTTATTATTTATAATTTATAACAGTAAATAAGAAGCTTGAGAAATATAGAGCTTATGTGTGAAAATTTTGTAACAAACACGCTCTAAACGTTAACATTCAAGATAAAACAATAGATTGTACAGCACGTTCTGTGCCATATTTTCAAAACTTTACTATGTTAAAAAAAAAATGAATTATGAGGTTGTCGTTCAAGAGCGCGCGTACTATATTGAGAGAACGAGGAAAAATACCATATGGATATTGTATAAATGTACCTACAACATATTGACATTACATACGCCAACGAACAAAATCTGTACTCATATATCGTCTAATAAATAAATATATATATATATATATATATATATATAGATAGATATTTAGATACATATTTTATCTGAATTGATAATAAACCACAATTGTGAACGCAATTCATGACATGTCATTAAATGTTATTTTTCTTGATTTAGCATAAAGTTGGTATTAGAAAGAAGATTATATTATTGATTTTTATTAATGAATTCTTATTATTTCGTCTTAAAAAATTACGTTCAAGAGTATGAAAGACGTTTAAAAACCAAGCCGACTAGTCTTTTATCTAATTGTATAATATAAAACTCATTCTCTGTTAACCCCTTACGTTATGTTTGTTAGATAATATTGTTATTTTACGGCAGATTGTACTCTCTATTTCCAGCTGGTCTGGCATTCTGGCACTTAGATAAGATATAAGCAAAAGAACACAAAAACCCGCTGTTTTATATCTGGAAAGTTGTTTATATTTTATTTGTTTTTACAGGCAACGAGACTGCGGCAGCAGTTTGCGGCGGAATTAGTTTATTCTTCTTAGTAATACTCTTCATTTTACTGGTTTTATGGTATAGGTAAGTTTATTTGCATATTATAATCTTTAAAGCATACATTACGCACATACGTGTCTCTTTTAATATTAAACTGATTCATTCTATCGTCCATTACTTATATTTTAGCTAAGAATATTTACACTTTACGTTTTTATGTTACCAAAATCAACATTTTTATTAACTTTTTATAGATAAATCGAAAGCAAAACGTTAGAATTTCTTAGGTGTAAACGTGACTAGTAATGATTGTTTAATGTATACTTTTTTCCTTTAAGAATAAACAGGTATCGAAGTCTTTCTAACATAAAAAGAAATCAACTTATAAGAATATAGCTATACTATTGTTTTCTTATATTAAATAGGTCAAATAAACGTTAATTAATTCGATAATTAATCTTTTACCATATTATGAAATTTTTTTAAGTAGATTATAAACTTTAAAGCAAATACGCATCATACTTGGATAAAGTGTCATTCTGAGCACGTCTTATCGTTATCGTTAGAATTTCTATTTTTTTATTTACCTGCCAAAAAACTATGCCATTCAATATACATAGATATGCCATATAATTATAATAATATAGGATAAAATCTCTAATATTTTCTATCTTTTAATAAATAGGCAAGGAGCCAGTTGTGCTGAAGGTTGGAAACGTTTCTTAGAATGGAGAGATTATAAATCTGGCAAAAATACAAAAGATGCACCACCTCCCAGTTTTCCTGAAGTTGTTGAAGCTAATTTACAAACTGCGAAGCCAGAATACATGAATAATGCATTCGAATCTAATAGCCAATTAAATCAAAGACATGAAGATCTGCAACAACCTTATCAACAACAATCGAAACAACAAGGTAAACTATCATAGTTGAAATTACATAATACTAATGTTTGTTCGCTAATTAAAAGCTTCTTTCTTCTTCTTTGTTCAATTGTAATTAGTCAGGTTCTTGTTCAATTGTTCGATTTTTTACAGATTTCTTTTATCAAATTATCCTAGTTTGTTTTTACTGTTTAGTGTCAATAGTCAAATCAGTTAATGTAAATAACAAGTTAACTTTTCATCTAGATCTAAAATACCGTTCAAAACCTGTTTAAACAAATATATAACATAAGAATTAATTCAATTAATAAGTTAATAAATAGGGAATAATACGTTAATTAATTTCATTATATATTAATATATTTCAGATATTAGATTGCGCAATTTTATTTATTTAAATTTTTTTTATAAGGTGAATGCTCTTACACAATTTAAGACATTTTTAGCCATTCTCAGCTTTATCTCTATAGGCTTCGTTAGCGATTCAAGTTTTGCTTTTTCAGTAATTGCGTTTGTTTTTCTCTTTTTGATTATTTTATTTAAAATTATCTAGATCAAGTAGTCGTCCCACCTATTGCTAGACTCGATAGTCTTGGTCCAGCACAACTCAACAATTCGTATTCGGCCTATGAATCGAGAAGGGATAATACCATCTACACGATATCAGGTGCACAAGAATATTATCCGGATGAACCAATTCGATATGCTAATGCTCCAGGACCAGCTCCAGTTTCAGCTCAAGCTCCAGTTCCAGCTCCAGTTCCAGCTCCAGTTCCAGCTCCAGTTCCAGTTCCAGCTCCACGTCCAAACCTAGCTCCAGTAAATAGAAGTTTTACTCAAAATCAATATGAATACGACAATCCAGTCGTTGACGTGGCTGACGATGGAAGGACGGCTAGCTATAGATATTGTCAGCAAAATATGGAACGTTTACACCGCGACGGAGGTGATGATAGATCGCAGAGCTATCAGTACGCTCATCAAGAACTTGCTTTAGCCAGGTCTCACCGAGGGGTTGAAACTGAACTATAAAATTTTCTAATATAAAGAAGAAAAAGAAACGAAAAAACTCTTAGAGTTTGTTTATTGGATTGATATCTTTCTTTCATTGTCTGTCTACTTCTTATTTGCCCACAAAATTTTCTCTTTTTTAACTTCTTCACTTAATGGAAAGTAGTAGAGTTTTATATGTTTAAATATAACATTTTTATAATTATAAAAAAACTCAATTTTCAACTATCTTCTTCGTTAAAGAATAATAAGATTTGAAGTCTATTTCTGTTTTGTTTTTGTCTTTTTTTTTTCTTTATCTCTCTCTCTATTTCTTTGGTATATAATCGCATTTGTTTAGAAATACTTTTCACCATCCAACTAACATTGAAGATTATTTAAATTTATAATATTTTATAACAATATGGATAAAATACTTACTTTAATACTTTTTATAAAAATATTTTAATTAATTGTTTTTTTTTTGTATATAGAAAAAAGTTTATTCTGTAAAATAAATACAATTTATTGTTTTTTAGTTATTTACTATTATTTTAAATAAACAAGTATCTTTGTACATTTCTTCTATCTTTTAATGCGATGCAATTCCGGCAGATGGCGATAAAGTACATATATTTTGATAGAGTAATCACTATTTCCAAATTGATACTAATGAGAATAGTATTCGATTATTTGAAGAATTTACCTAATTTATTATAGACAACAACTTGAACAAATACTATTAATCATAATGAATGTATGAAATAGTACATTTAAAGTTCACATACTTTAAATTTGACTGAATTAGTAAACATTGAAAATGATTGAAAATCTTAATATATAATTAATCTGAACTATGACAATTACAAATGTTATCTTTGAAGTTGTATCTTTCTTTAAGAATGGAAGTCTTGAAGTTTAGATCAATTTGTGCTGAAATACATTGATATAATATACTGTTCGATATATAATCTTAAAATGAAACCAATCTGCAATTTGTACATTTTTAACTTATATCAAACAGTTGTAGCATTCTTGATCTGCTACCTAAAAGTTTGCTCATTAGAATATATTGAACAAATCCCAAAACTATCACCTTTACGTAAGTAATTTATGTTGAATTGATTGTTTGAGATCTCTGTGAAAGTTTTCTGTGAAAGCATCAATTAAAGTTTGCGGAAATTTTTTTAAACATGTTTCTCCATTATTCAGATTCGAAAGGCTCTAAAATATTTATAATAATGACTAAGAATCTAACTGCTACCTAATACTAAACTATATTTTGTCTATTTGTAACAATTATGCATACAACGTATCTTTCGTTCGTCTCAAATCATCTTTTCATTCAATAGTACAGGTTTATTTGCTATTATGTCGTTTTTTATTACATTTAATTGTATAGTAGGAATGAACCAAGCTGTCTCTATATTGAAAAATGGGAAAATTTTTCATTCATAATGTGGTAGTTAAAGAGCGTTTCGTAAAACGAAGGCATCAGGCCAATAGTTTATAAAACTAGCTCAATACATATAAAAATAAATTACATTTGTACTAGTAAAATTCGCCTGTTTTGCTATCTTAAGCTGGTTTTTTTGTTACATATTCAAAAGTACAATTATTATTGTCAATTACTTCTTTTTACATAAGTCTTCAAAAGTGGAGCAAGTTCGTCTATATGGCTATTAATAAAATAGTATTGTGGATTAATTTTGTTTTATTTTTATTAACGATTCCATTAATAACAACATTTAAATATTTTGCTGTTTCAATAATGACAAATATACCGTATGATAAAATATTAAATAATTCAACCAAGCCAACAACATATCCGGAAATTGATCCTTTTAAAGTTCTAGGAATCTCTCATGAAACGTTTGTATATCTAAACTGAAATATTATAAACTTAATACTTGAACATTTTCAGATATTTTTTAACAATTGTTGTTATATCCTATATTTTAAAATGTTTCTTTGTGGTTCTATGGTTATTAGCTATTTATAAAATGAACGAGAAGAAGAAATATAGATTATATTTTATCTTTCATCTAATATTTATCCTAAATATACTTTTAGAATGTTCAATGTTATCGAAAATAGGTTCCACTAATTTAATTGGTTCACCTAAAGTTATTCAGTTTGTATTTAACAGTAAAAAAGATACTGTAAAGATTTAATCGAAAAAATTTGAATATTCTTTCAGAGTTTCAGCTGGAATATTCCTTGGATTTTATATTTTAATTGATATATCACAGGCTCTCCGATGTAAATATTCTAATAATTTCTTATTCTTATTTTGTAGATATAATCTATTAAATGAATATTTTTTAGATGTTCTATCTAAAAATCTTTCTTCAGAATTGCCAAGAGGCAATCTAAGCGAAAATAGTCAAATGCAAACAATAAATAGGACTAATGGGGTAAAAGATATCGACTTTTTTAAAAAGTGTTAATTCATTTTTAATCATTTTCTGAACTTTTAATAGAGCTCCAACTGTCAAGGAATTTCTGTAGTGTCATCTAATTTTCTTAGTATTTATTCAGAGGAGCATAATCAAAATATTAGCTTGTATTAAATATTCTTAAATATTAGCAATTACCTAACAATACATTGTAGTAGATTACATCAGCCGATATCTTCGTCTACATCCAATGATATCATCCATTCACCTTCCATTTTAAATGCTTTGTCAATTTCATCCCGAAATACGATGGATACTCATACTACTTGTACCGATATTGAGTTAGTATACGAAACTAGTAGAATTTGTATATATTAAAATTTCTGTATGTCACGTTAATTTAGCGACGCTGTCGCTGATGAATATTTATTTGATGAGCCAATAGCTACATTTTACGATTCGGATCCTCCTTCATATACTGCTTGTATGTCAGAGCAGCCAAATGTAACAATACTGCAGAACGAATCATCGAACACCGAACCTAATCTTTCAAAGTAGTCAAGTAATGTCCAAACAACTATTTCTTTAAACACGATGGCTAACAGTTAATAATAAACTCAGTTTCGTCACGTAAATAGACCAATTTATTGTACATTTGTATAGTAAAAATTTAATACAGTAGTAAAATTTGAATTCTTTATTGAATCGAGTAGAGAAGGCTACGGCCGATTGCTTCATCAACAATGAAGGAATACATATATATATATATATATTAGTATATAAATTTGTATATATATATACGGTATAATGTCTAATACTAAATGATCTTTGCAACCAACTTCCACTTTTATGAGATTTTTCAAATCATCCAGTTGAATAGACTTCTTCACATTTCGCAAAATGGAACTTATTGTTAGATTTAGGAAAATATCTTCAGATTGTTTGATAATGATAAATTTTTGCATCTTCTCAACAACAATACCGATTTTAACTATATTACAATTTTTTCTATATGAAATTTGTAGTGTGGTACCATATATAGATTTAGGATACGATAGATCGATTATTACGAATAAATCACACGATATTTTACATGAATTGAACATTATTCCTCAAAGGTTAGTGATATTGATTTTTATTATTATTAATAAAATATGTAAATTCCGCTCATCATTAAATATTTTCAGCTTTTTCATTGCGTTCATAGCATTGACCTATATTATAAAAATTTTATTTATTATAATATGGATCCCAGCTTTGTATGATTTAAAGGAAAGACAAAAAGCCATCTGTCATACTTTATTATATTTTTTACTAATATTAAATTTTTTCCTTGAATTCTTTACGTATAATCATTCTAAGAAGTCTAAGTTAGCTTATACATTACCAAGTATTAGGTAAGATTTTTGGCATAATTCTTCCTTATTAGTATAATTATATTATTAATATTGCAGTTTTATGCCGTTATTATATATGCTAAGTTTTGTTTTAATTGGATTACTTTATACATGTTTTGGTAAGTTTTTTAAATAGACAATAAAAACTTATATTAAAGCCTATCTCTTTATTTTAGCATATCTTGGCAGTTGTATTAATAGGAAATGTTGTCCTACAACTATATAAGAAACAAATATCGTTAATCACTAAAATTTAGTTAGCAAAGTTATAAATTTTTTACTGGTATTGAAAATGAATAGAATCCGTTTTGAAACTGTCTATTTGTACCTATATTCCTTCATTATGCAATATATATACTGTATACCGTATAAATAGAGCATATATTCAATTTTACAATAAATAACAGTCGTAATAAATAATAACAATACTGTTTTGAAAGAGGAAGAAAGTCTTTTTCTACATGTTCAAGTTAATTATTTTTGGTAATTTAAACACCTAATATTTATATCTTTGGACAAAATTATTTAAAATTTTTATATATAAAATATAAATAGACACAAAGGCTCAATAATTCATAGTAAACTAATGATTTTAATATTACTAATCGATTATTTTATAAGTTTCCAACGTCATAAACAAAAAGAAATATCACAATATTATGGATTTTTCTCTATTGAAAACTATTAATCCAACGGTCAGACTTGCTTAACTATATTTGGAGATTAAAGAAGTAAACTAAAATTTGAGATTTTAATGTTAACAACTGGAAGAAAAGTTTGCTTTTCATAATCTGCAAAATATAATTTAAGTATATAACTATTCTACTGCATGGTTAGAATATTGAAGTGATCTACATTGTTCTATATACTATATTACCAATGTATAAGAGTCACGAAGAATTTATAGGCTAAAATCTTCGATTACAAGAGTACTTTCAAAGGAAAGTTTGAATAAAAATATAATATATTCTATGGTTAGAAAAGGTATTTATAAAAGCATTTGGTAATATTGAACATCTAGGTATATTCAATGACAAATGTCCTGAAAATAGAATTAAACTATATATCAATTTTATACTGTGTACACGCAGTACACGATACTAGTGTAAAAATAATTGTCAACTTGTATTTTACTGTCTCAACGTTTCTTTTTTGGATAATTGCGAAGGATTTTAAAGAACAGTAAGAAATTCAATTTCTCTAAATCTATATAGTTATTTACGACTTAGCTCCTCATACTGATATCTTTATTAGAGAACAATGAAAAAATCGGCAAGAATCTGTCTATATTTGAATTTTACAATCATTCTCATAATGAATATACTTTTATCTCTGTTTAATTATTTTATTTTTGAGAATTTCTCTCAATTTACAAAAATGGATAAAACATTACAATCTAATAGTAAATTGATAAAAGAAACTGATCCGTTCGAATATTTGGACATATCTTATAAAATGTATGTGTATATACTGTATATCTTTTAAA